AAATTCCTGCAGACGCTAGCCAAGGCCGCTCAAGCTGCAGGTCTGGACCCGCTGCAAGGTCATGGCATTCGCATCGGCTCAACCCTCGAGTACCTCCTACGAGGTATACCTTTTGAGGTAATGAAAGTCAAGGGCCGCTGGGCCAGTGACGCTTTCCTCACCTATCTGAGGAAGCACACACAAATCCTTGCCCCATACATGCAAGCCAATCCTCTCCACCACAACGAATTCATCAGGCTGACCATGCCACCCATCCGCCGCGGCTAATCAAGTGAGTCCACGTCATCATGCTCCTAATAGGGTGGTATCCGAGACTCGCTCGACGCGTCGCAGGACTCCTAGTGCTTGGGAATCGCAGCTCATCTCGTTTCCTTTCATAGATCAGGAACTCCTGCCGGGTCAAAAAGCCCTTCGGCTTTTGCCCACATATTACTTCTCATCGGACATCGTAATACTTCAGTCATTCCCTAGCGTACACCAACATTATCCTAATGTAGCTTCCCCGCTCTCTCAGACGTGCTCTAGCGCCAATACATAGATCAATTTGACCTTAACGTTCACCAGAGCCCCCATTTTTGCAGCCCACAGGGAGCACGCGAGGCTAAATCAAAGTAAGATTATCTCCTCTGTCTCTTATCTGCCCATGATGACCCTTGAACAGTTCCCAACACCAACCATCTCGATGCCTTTTTTGCATTTACGCGTCTACAACTTGCGGAAAGGAAGGTCAATTTCCAATCGAATATTTCTCTGTCGGCTGGGTGTCGTGGAGAAAACTTGTATCTCCATGCATTCCTTGCATCAAACTCAAAAGACTGGACGACCAGATCACTGAGACGCTTGCCTTTCTGAAGCATCTGGAAGTTCACCGTGCTGCCCTGCAGCCGGAGGTCAACACGTTTCACAACCCTTTTTCCGGCCTCCTTCCGACGGATATCGCGCCATGGATCCTTACCCTATGCACAAGTTACCCCAACGAGGATCTGGTCATTCCACGATTGTACTAAGCCGCTCATGCATAAAACAGATCCTGTTGAACGTCTCTCTCCGTCCACACTCAACTATCACAGGTCCAAGCATTGGTCCACCTCTCGCACCGTCGTCTTGAAAATGTTTTCTTGCTCTCAGTCCAGCACATTTGACCACGAAATCGACACGGTATGCAGAACATCTCTTCTTCGATTAAAACGCGAATTAAATGTATATTTCCTCCGCTTTTCTTGCACACCTGAATCCACAACGAATTTGTCACGCACCCGTCCGCCGGTGTATTCACGGATGTTGGTGAAACTGTCTCAAATGTTGTGCGAGAGTAGATATGTTCATTTAATACATCGGGTTTCTCGCCTTGTTCTGTGCCTTCAGTTAAGGTGCCTTATGTTTACCTTACATAGATGCTGCCTCCTCTATCAATTGTTTGACTTTGTCAGACCTGGGAGTAATAGAACACTCGAAAGGCTTCTTGCGCCTAATGAATGAGGTAAAGAGTCAGGTTTGAAAATCACGAAGACAAGAATTCGTGTACCAAATTAATCCAAGATCCTCGTAGTCACCGTTTACTTCGATTTCATTGCCGAACTTGTCTTTTGCCTTGCGAATATCGAAGCAGGCCAGGATCGACGCTATGGTAATCCACATCTGGAAGAAGAATAAGATCACAGTCCGATCGGTAAGAAGAGGAACCGCATATGTTACCGTAGAGCTAGCGATGGATTTTCCGACGCAAACCCTAAGGTGCTAATCAGAAATCGGAACATTGAAAAACTAGTGCTGTTCGGATGTCCACCTTCGCCCGAATCCATATGCCAAGGTTCTATCGTCACCATTCAATTCGCCGTTCTCATTGAGGAAACGCTCGGGTTTAAATTTGGAGGGCTCCGGATACTTATTTTCATCGTGTGTCATCGCCCTTCGCGATACATCAGCACTTCTGGTATGACCTTCAAGAGCCATGCTCACCAGACATTTCCAAAGACGGCGCTTCCTGCATGAGACTCACGTTAATACGGGCCATACAGCTCAATGCAAGCGCTAACAGGTACCTTCAGGTATAAAAAAGCCATCGCAAACGTCATCTTTTGACGCAGCATGCGGAGTTGCCATGCGGAGGGGTGGCTGGCATCTCATCAACTCGCGATAAATGGCCTCGATGTAGGGAAGGGAAATGCGGTCGTCAAATTCTGGAAGACGTTGGCCTTTGAGCAGTTTATCAAGTTCCGCTTGCCCCTTTTCTTGGACCTCTGGATGAAGGGTCATAAGGTACAGGAATGAGCCAGTCGCGGCGATGGTCTAGGTGCCATGTCTCATTACCTTACGCCGTCAAAGAAAGACAGAGACAAGACCCACCGTATCGGACGCAGCTATATGGATAAGGTCGTTAAACGCGAATTGATTATAATTCGACAATATGCAACGGACCACCGTATACCGTATAAGCCAGGCTCTTGACAACGTCTTCCTCGTAGGCCGTCGTGCCTTCCGTAATCTTCCTTTCAAGAAAATTCGACAAGAGCGAAGGGATTGCAGTCCCTTCGTTCTAAATTTTTTGAATAAATGGAACGAACCCAGTCAGCGTGGGATCAGAGAACGAGAGGAATCGACCGACGAACCATGGCTCGAGTGACAAACTCCATCGGAATGCGCTGCATTTCCTGAGTCCAATGCACAGTCTCTGCGGCAGTCCTTAGAGCAGTGGCTCCTGGAAACCATACGGGGATGTGGCGAAGAATTGGGAAGACATTTATTAGAGAGGCTCCCGGCGTCAATAACTTGGTTCCCAATTCGATCGACTTGTCCGCTGCATGAATGCATGGGTCGTCCAAGGACTGGACATCGTAGCCGTACATCATCTCCATCGTGATCGAAACGGACAGCCTGTAAAATTCCACGGTGAGAATGAAGGGGGAAGATGCTATAGGAAGATGTCGGCTTACATCTTATTATGGGCCGCGGATTTGTCTGGTGCGTCCAGTAAGCCCTGGAGCATCCGACGAACTTTCCTCAGTTGGATAGGTTGGTAAGCTTTCGCTGCGTTCTTGTTGAAGTTCTGTTGGGCCACCTTTCGATGGTCGCGCCAAGTTTGTCCGTACGGAAGCAGAGCGCTATTCCACCCCCATCCCAGTCTATGCATACGATTTAGCTTTGGTTCATGAGAGAAGAGATGGAAGAAAAAAAATTTGCGTACACGTCGACCATGGGTATGTGAGGCCGGTCCGAGTATATGCTGGCCCGTCTTTCAAAGAGTTCATCCGCAACATCGAGGTCGTTGACCACGATGACATGATTGCCAAGCGTGCTAGCATGAACAATTTTGCCTGGATAAACTGAGTACTCCCAGAATCACGATTAGGAAGGAGATTGCATACTATTGTACTTCCTTCCCCACTCCTCGTAGACTTTCCCGGAATCTTGAGCTGGAAAGTCGAATAAATTTCCAATGAGGAATCTACCGGGTGGACCAGGTGGAAAGGAATCGCGCTTCTTTGATGACAAGAGGGAGGCGAGGACTCCCTTCAATAGAACCAGCACAAGAAGGACAAGACCGACATGCACAGGCCCAAAGACAAGGTGGATTGGTATGTTGAACATTGCGGGAAAACAAGAAGGTAAAAGCGACGCTACCAGCGTCTTAAGTATAATCAGAAGACAGAAGTACCCTGGAATTACCCTCCTGCACTTGAGGCAAGGCTGACATCGCCAAGAAAGAGGGTGTGCGAGGTGGCGTATGCAGTCCACCTTATCTATTCCCTTTCTTTCACGCTGTCAGTGCTAGTCCACCGCTTCGCTTCATTTTTGAAAATGGGGTGACATACCCAGCAGAAGGACGTTACATAACGTCATTCCAAGACCACGATAGTCCCCCACGCACAAGGGTCGCGAGCGGTAGGAGTCGACAATGAGCCACTTTGAAATGAACCGTATTTGAAGAGAGGGGCGCGCATACCGAGCTCAGGAGGGGCACCGGAGACGTAGATGTCATGAGTACTGCTGCTTTCAGGCCTTCAGAATCCTTGAGGAAGGGCAGCTAAGACTGGTTGGAAACACTTTCGCATGCCAGGAGTGTCCATGAGCAAGTAACGGCATCGGTCAGCGCAGTATCGCCTGACGGTTAGTCATAAGTTCCCCGTCTGGCGTCATAGATGGGCACATGAGGACGTAAAAGCAGTATATCCTCCTTCCAGGTGACCTTGAGATGCAACGGAAAGTTCTAATAAACCGATTCTTCTAGGGTGTACGTCAAACAGAAGAGAAATGCAAATTTAGCTCCGAGTTGGATGACTCGATGAATTGTATTGGCATTGAGCTATGGCAGGGAGGGTTTCCTTCTACGATCTCGGTTTTCTGTGTATGTGAGTCTTGTCTTCGCAAAGAAAGATGTTGGGAGGCTGGCTGAGAGTTGTTGTGGTTTAGAGAGAGGATGCCTTGGTGCTGTCAAATTCAATGGCCAACGACGATGACGTAAGATCAAGATAAGATCAAGAGATCAAGGAATCGGGGCACTTCTCGTAGCCAACTCGTAGATCGCTTAAGCGAGTATTCGGCCAACTTTTCGCAGAATAGTGAGTTGTACAAGTCATGAATTGCAAGATATGTTTACAAGTTGATAATCCTATTTTTGTCAGAATCGTAGCGCTTAAGCCTTCCACTCAGAAAGCGGGATGCAATTTCCCTCCAGCTCGCCCATCAGATTATCCATGTAGCGACTGCCACCAACCTCCGCCTCGTCAATGACCTTCCTAATAGCCTTGACGTCCTCAGACGAGAGGGTGATCTCAGCACCCTTGGTGTTCTCATCGACGCGAGCGGGAGATCGGCTTCCAGGAATGACAGCCCAGGTAGGGTGGGCGGCGAGCGTCCAGGCGAGGGTGACTTGGGAAGGGGTGACACCGAGGCGGTCGGCAATGGCCTTAACCTTGTCGACGACGACGAGGTTCTTGTGGAAGTTTTCCTCGGAAAACCGGGGGAGGTATAGGCGAGCGTCGGTGGGCTCGAAGTCGGCGCGAGAGCGGTACCTAAAGAAGAGATCATAATGAGGTCAATAACTCGAATAATCAAGGAGAATGCTGCGTACCTTCCACTCATCAGTCCGCGTCCAAGAGGGCTGTACGCGACAAGCGCGACTCCGAGCTCCTCGCATGCGGCCGCAAGCCCGTTCTTCTCCACATCGAGGGTGAAGGGGCTGTACTCCAGCTGGACCGCAATGAGTTTCTCTCCAAGTCCAGGAACCTTCTTCGCGCGCCTCAAGGTCTCGACGCTGCACTCGGAGAGTCCAAGCCAGCGGACCTTGCCCGACTCGACTGCGGGGCGGAGGGACTCTAGGACAACCTCAATGGGCACCTTGGGGTCCACACGGTGCTGATAATAGAGGTCGATGTAATCGGTTTGAAGATCCTTCAACGCATTTTCTAGCGCGACGGGGACGTAAGCAGGGTCGGAGCATGCCCCTGCGAAGGGGTCGCCCGGGAGGCGGCAGTATCCGTATTTTGTGCCGAGGAAGATATCCTTGCGCTTTTCCTTGTTCTTCGCGAACCAGTTGCCGATCAGCTTGTGTGCTGGGAAAAAGAAAGTGTGTGAGAGGTAAGCATTTCGGTTAGATAGGTGCGTAGCGGACGTACAGTCTCCGTAGACATCAGACGTGTCCCAGAACCGAGCACCGCGCTCGACGGCGTAGGAGAGCAGCTTGTCAACGTCTTCCTGCGTGGAAGGCGTACCGTAAAACGCGCCGATGGCTACAGCGCGCAACAAGTTAGATCGGAATGAAATCGCGAGGATCGGACGGCGACATACCCATAAGGCCGAGACCAACGGGGGTCACAGCAGGCCCATTCTTGCCCAAGACACGAAGGGGGGTAGAGTTAGACATTGTGTTCGCGAAGTTCTAGATGGAGGTCGTTGGAGGACGAACATCCGAGTCCTGCTTTTTTATAAGTATCGACTCGACTTCTTTTACGAAGATGCCAGACTCGTACGTAGACCTTGCCGGGTTAGTTGACTTGTAGGAGCGCCACTCTGCCCACATCTGATAGAATTTGGGGGTGTGTCGACAGAAGAGAGTTATTATCTTCCTTCTCCGGTTGGACACCGATCCCGGTGCGTGCTGCGGGCGGTCGTCGACAAATGGAGAGATCTCGTATCGGAACTGTCAGCATCGCTCCCATGGAGGCGATGGATCTAGTAGAATGGTGATAAGTGCGACAACTGTGAGGGTGGTGATGGAAAATGGGAGGGCACAAACAAACCTGGATTGGGCGGATTGGCTCCGAGTAGACCAAACAGTGTCCTCTAAGAACGCTCGAGTTGAGAGTCGGTTTTCTCCCACACCCCCCACTTCTTTCCCCCACAGTCTAAGATTTGCTGGGCTCCCGGCTATGTCTATTTCTGGGTCTTGGCCACCCAGAACACTTGGAGGGCGCTAAATTGAGTCTAGCCGCCATATGTGTCGAAAAGCCTTTTGTCGAAGGGGGTATTTGGTTGGGGAGGCATGGGTAACGTTGGCGAAGGGTCATTGCGTTGTGAGTAATTCGCTTTCTCTTCTGTCCGTTTCTCTTTCCTTCTTGGGAGGTACACCCTTCCGAGATGCCCCTTCTTTCTTCGCTATCTAACCCTTCACGATGTTTACAATGTACTAATTGCTATGACTCTCATACCCGGGTGCGACGAACATCAACCCGACCCGCAGTATCTCAGATCGTCCATATTGTTGTCCGCTCCTCCCGCCATGCCTTACCGCCTCAGTTCCTCGGCGCCTTTTCGATTTATCTTGATACTCGAGGATCGGAATGGAACGTAACACGTAGTATCGCCCATTGTTTTGTGCGGTTCCCAGCGGCAGGGCAGAAAGGTCCCATCGCATGGAGTTTTCGATTTCTCATTGGGAGTAACTTGGACGGAGATTACACTGCCTGAACTTCGTGACCTTGCGCCCTGATATCGGGCACTTTCGTGATCTCTATCGAGGACATGTCAACTTTTAAGCGAACGGAGAAGTTGTCTGTACACGTCCCAGTTTCTTCTTGAGGAGTGGGAATGCGATACTTTTTTCTGGGATTCCCTCTGCCCTGAGTCGTGGTTAGGACTGGCATGTTAACTATTTATCCTTCATTTCCGCCATGATGGAATCATGTTTGAGCGCTAACGGACGTTCTATTTTTACACACTACTGAAATTCACAGCCCTCTCCAAGATCCAGGAGCAGTGTGTAATGAGTCCTTTACGGCCCCGATATGGTACCTTAACCCATTTACCTTGCAGAGTGGCGTCGGGATTCGCATATGCAGGTTGGCTACATTTCAGATTACGCCGAATCCCGATGATGCGTATCTGCCCAGCAGCAGCCTGCTACGCGCCAAACTGCCTAACTATCGCGTTTCACCGCGCATCCGGACTCGTCTGGAGCCCTAGAGACTGCCTGCGACTCCTTAGTGCCTGAATGGCCTTTGAGTCAGATTGCCGTATAAAACAAGGGAAACACAGCAGGAAAACCACCAAGTCCCAACTCTCTCTAGCTTTCTCTTCGTTCCTACTTACCACACCGCTAATTTTCCCGCGCCTGCCCGACATGCGCCACTCTCGTTCGAGCCTTCTTCAGCTCTGCTTAACAGCGATCACGTTTAGTGTGAGCTTCTCCATCCCCGAAGGGGCAGCTGCGAAGGTGCAGGCCTCGCGGCTCGCACAAGGACCGGCCAACACCTTCGAATCGGCAGAATCCTTCGCCGAGGTCACGCCCTCCGCGTTCGCCGCGTCGAAGTTCGACGTCATCATCGTGGGAGGAGGCACAGCGGGCATGGTGCTCGCTAACCGCCTTTCGGCGTCGAGGAACCCGGCGCTGAAGGTTGGCGTTGTTGACGCTGGGACGTTTAATCCCAATGGCGACCCGCTCATCGACGTCCCTATCTACAACTCGGGAAGCATTATTTTGAACAATTCCACCACTTCGACTCTCGGCAACCCCGCGTACGATTGGATGCTCCAATCTGTTCCTCAACCCGCATTGAACGGGCGTGTATTGAACTACCCTCGGTATGCTTCGTTCCATTACATTGATTAAGCCAATGTATTGATGTATTTTTATCTTCCGCAGTGGAAAGGTTTTGGGTGGCTCAACAGCTATCCACGCCATGGTTTGGCAACGAGGCGAGAAGGAAGAGTACGATGCATGGGGAAACACATTTGGAAACGGCGCTGGATGGACGTGGTCGGGTCTCCTTCCCTACTTCAGGAAATCCGAAACATGGACCCCTCCGCGTACGGGAGACGACGCGCTCCTTGAAGGCACGACCCCGTCTCAGATCCCCCCTGCGGCCGACCACGGGTCGAATGGCCCGATCCACTCAAGCTACAACACGTTCGAGACGGCACTCGACGCTGCCAGCATCCTCGCCACCACGTCTCTCGGGCACCCACTGAACGACAACCCGGACGATGGGACGAGCACATTTATGCCGCGTTCTGGCATGACGCGCTCAGTCGATCCCAACACTGGCAAGCGCAGCTACGCGGCCAGCGCCTACTACACCTCCAGCGTCCAAGCTCGCAATAATTTGAACGTCGTCCTCAACTCCGTCGCTACCAAGATCATCTGGGACCCGAAGTCTAAGACACCCAAGGCCATCGGCGTCGAGTTCGTCAACAACGGCCAGACGTACACTGTTGCCGCGTCGAAGCAGGTGATTCTCAGTGCAGGTGCGTTCTTACCTGTTTTGGAAATGAGATGTCCACTTACGGAAATGCCGTCGGCATCCAAATAGGTTCTTTGAAGACGCCGCAGATCCTCGAACTGTCTGGGATCGGCGACGCCAGACGCCTCCAGCAATTAAACATTCCTGTCGTTATTGACATGCCTCAAGTCGGCGAGAACATGATCGACCACCCTACCACCGCGGCTGGCTACCAAGTCAAGGACGGCACTTTCACACTTGGTATGTCTTCCCATTCCTAGTTTGTGCCTTACACTAATAACCCGCCTAGACATTCTTACCAACAACCAAACTTTCCTCGACGAACAGCAGGCACTCTAGTACGTTCCTATTGTATCTAACGTTCTGATGAATGCTCATCACTTTCTAGCGATGCCACGGGAACCGGGGCATTCTCTTATACTGCCCAAGTCACTGGGTCCTTCCCTCTCAAGTCCATATCTTCTCCTGCCGCCTACGCCGCCATGCGCTCCGCGCTTGATTCTGCCCTTCAAGGCACGACTCTTACGCCTATGCAGCAGAAGCAATACGACTTGCTCAAGAGCTGGGCTGATGGCGGCAAGATTGGCTGGGTCATGCCGGTTATGCTTCCTCGGGGTGGACTTACTAGTCTCCCTGAAGCTGGCAAGAGCTACATTACAGTTGCCTTCTACCAGCTGGTAGGTTTCCTCTGTCCTTAATCCCGGACTTACTGACGACCTTTTCTTTAGCACGAGTTCTCTCGCGGCTCCGTCCACATCAACTCTGCAGATCCCCTTGCCTCGCCTCTCATCGACCCCAAGTACATGAGCATGCAGTTCGACCTCGACGCTCAGACCCTCGGCGGACACTTCCTCCGTACCTGGGTCACCGGCTCGCCCCTCAGTGACCTCGTCGTGGGCCCGACAGTGCCCGACGCCTCTGTCGTCACCGATGCCGACTGGCAGAACTACATTCGGGCTTCGCTCGTGACGACGCACCACCCCATCGGCACCACCGCTATGGCAAGCAAGAACCTTGGTGGTGTCGTCGATCCGCGCCTCAATGTTTATGGAACAAAGAACTTGAAGGTCGTCGATGCGGGTATTATCCCGATGACTGTTGGTGCGCCGATCCAGGCTACAGTGTACGCCGTCGCTGAGAAGGTAAGCATGCATTCCTTCTTGCTCCCAGTTCATTTACTGATAAGCTCTCCCGCAGGCTGCCGACCTCATCTTGCAAGATCTCTCCTAATTACTGTACACCCTCCTTCATTCGTCGTACTCTATTTATAATGAACGCAACACCTACTTTCGTTTGCAATTGGTGTAGTCATTTATCCCTCCTTCCTATCATTATTTACATATAACTAGGACAAGCCTAGCGTCAGCTAGCAGGCTCTAATGTGATTTATTCTTATTGTCTTTCACTGCGAGCCGGAAATTCAATGAGTGAAGGTCGAGTCGTTGTTCTATTCTAGATATATTTTCACTGAGGCGTACTATGCCGAATAAGTATTGGAGGAAATCGTCGTGAATGCTGCTGTCTCTCAGCAAGTAGGAGTAGCCCTGGCACCAGGTAGATTTGTGACGGACAAACTTAAAGGTAGGGATATGTTCAGCTATAAGAGAAATAAGACTACTTGCGCTTAACCTATGCTCTCCATAAGTCAAGCACGGACCGAGATATGCGCGAAGATTGCGATTGGCGGCTTAGAGAATTACAGTAGTGCAGAGGCTATGGACTTTACATGCTCACAGTCCGAACACGCTAACAGATGAACTTGACACAGCGCAACCAAAGAACATCCACCTCCCAACAGACCTTTGTGATTGATAGTATTATGTTGAGATTCAACACGAGATAGTTAAAAATAACGAGAGAAGACGATGGTTTCGTCGATTCCCTTTCCTTCGACAAGACGGCAAAGTCTGTCCGATTACAAGACAAAAGCGGGCAGACTTCCATCACGGACCAAACGTTCGACTTCCTGCTTCATCAGGTTGACAGCGCCCTTAGAGCGCGCTTTGAACACGCATTTGAAAGGAGCTACATGTCTGAGGGTATAGATCAGTATCATCCCATGAATAACGAAAGGGAGGCTAGGCCTACTTGATCGTCGTTCGGCGGAATTTAACTTCTGGGACGATGGGCTTTCCGTTCTCGTCTACGGGCATACAGATGTCGTACGCGGAGAGAACCGTGGCCATCGCAATCCAGACGGTATCGATAGCCATCGCCTTTCCTGAGCATGACCTGAAGACGATAAGATGTGAAAGCTTATTCAAAAGCAGAGAAAAGAAGAAGGCTCATACCTTCTCCCAAATCCAAAGACGCCGTTATCGATAGGATCAGGGACGTTCTTGTCTTCATACCGCTCTGGCTTGAATGACTCAGGATCAGGGTAGACAGCAGGATTGTGAAGAATCGCCCTGGGGTCTATAATTAGACGCGGGTTCGTTGTGAAGTAGGTAAATCAGAAACGCACCATGAATTTCCGATAACAGTTGCTCCAGCAGGAATGTAATACCCTTTGTAAACATCCTCTTTCATCGTCTGATGGGGGATGGCGAATGGGACTGAGAAAGAATACGATCAGTGAAAGTGGTGAGACTGCTATGGGTCGTGAACGTACAGACGACAATCCATCTGAAGACCTCTCTCATGACGTTCCATAGATAAGGAAGTTGGTCGATATCGTTGAAAGTTGGCAGCCGCTCGCCGCCAAGGACGGAGTCGAGTTCTTGCTGAGCCTTCTTCTGAACCTCGGGGTGCATCATCATCGAAAGAACGAAGACGGTAAGAGAAGCGAGATTCTGAAGAAGGGGTTAGCAGAACTCGTAGTGAAAAGGGGCTCCAAGCGCACCGTGTCACTCCCTGCGGCGTATACAACAGCGGCGATGTTTTTGATGGCCTCTTCGCTCAACGCATCCGGTGCACCAATCATTCGGTCCTCAAGACAAGTGTTGACGAAAGACGGGTTGGCGGTTCCTGTAGCCTAGGAAGTAATTCTGGAAATCAGCGAATTGTCAAAACTGATAGGCCTTCACTTACTCTTTGATCCAGAACCATCTTGAAAGGCTTGTTTCTGACTATCTCCTGGAGTGCTCGCCACTTCTTGGCAATCGTCTTGAAGCCAGCACCAGGCATCCATTCTGGGGCGTATTTCACTGAAAGCGAAAGTAAGAAAATAAATTAGCAAATGAATTTCGGCTCACAAATGGGAAAAGTGTCGACTAAGAATGTGCCAGGCATCGTCGCAATAGCAGTAGATTCAGATGCCTGCTTGTTAATCGTGACGAAGTAGTCTTCCATCGCGTCCTTGAAATCTGTGTATCCGTACCTGCCGTGCCATTCGTAAGATCGACTCCGAGAGGGACTCTTGGGACTTACACCCTTTGCATAATAATCCGTGCAGTGTAGCTAAATGTCGACGCCTCGATCAGCTGATTTTCATCAAGAGAATAATGAGACTTACTGTTCTAGGTGGTCAAGGAAGCGTTCAGGCGTTCGGAGGAGGAGTAGGAGCAGCTCGGCAGCGGCAGGCTCTTGAATTTGACGATGCTCGTGGATAGTGGCATTGAATTGGTTGTGGAAGATTCGGCGATGCTCCTTCCATACAGGCCCGTAAGGCATCAGAGCGAAGGTCCAGTCCCACCCTACTCTATAGACTATGGGTAAACCTGTGGGAGACGTATGGAATCTGTGGTGCAACTCACAAGTCGACGATCATAGGCATATGTGGCCGTGATGAATAATTGGCGCCACGGCCGACAAGAAGGTCATTTACAGCTTGGGAGGAGTTCAGAATGATTGTGGGGTGGCCAAAGGTTGCAACCGAAATTACGTCGTCACCTGGAATGCACGCTCAGCGACAAAAATACATGTCGGAAGCAGGGACTGAACAGACCATAGTCCTCCGACCATTTTCGAGCAGCGACATGCACGTCCGTTACAGCCATATCAAGAACATTTCCAATGATGGGTAGGCCTGGAAATTCGTTCGACAACGTTCTTCTCGTTTGACTAAGGGAATAAAAACGTACCTGTGGGGCCGGGTGGCAATCTCGAACGCTTTCGCGAATTGTTCCAAAGCACAGCAGACACCACTGCTACCAGAAGAGACAGATACACAGTCGTAGAAGGCATCGCGTTCCCCGTCACTCGAGTTGTTGAACACTTTCCCGTGCGTTAGACGGCGGTGGCGGTGATAACCGTTGAAATAGGCTTTAGGAAATTTGGCGTCAGGAGCGGAGGCGCCAGGTTTTAGAAGACCTGACTTACCCAGCAGATCCACAGCTTCCCCTGCGAACCATTGACGCGAGGTAGACTCCGGCAACGTTGCGTAGAAAATGGCATGTTGCGGTCAAGTTGGTTTTCGTGTAAGAGACCTTGCTGGGTAAGTATGACGGGTGCTAAACCGAGATAAGATAAGATTTAGATAAGAGTCCTACTGCGATACTGCAAGGCGATTCCTCCGACTTCGTCGTCGTTCAGTCAGTCAGGATTCGAGGGAAAATCAAGGGACGTAAATACGCAGAGTATGAAATTAGATCGGCAGTGCTGTCGTGGACTACTTCCACCGAGGCAACGATACTGTCTTGCTGTCGGGATCGTCCCCATGTACGTACGGTACACTCTCCTGTCATTGAGACAAATGAGATTTTGGTACAGAGGATTAAACTTGTGCCATGGCATGCGCAGCCAACGTTTCAAGATTCAGGATTCGATGGATCGTTATTCTAAATTGGTGACTCTGCGCCAAATACAAACGGGGAACGTATAGATAGATAGCATATGCAATGAGAAAAATAATTATTAGAAATGTCGACTATGAATTTCCGGATCTTCATGCAATTTAAGCAATGAGGTTCGCCGAAATACGAGTTGAGAGTTGACGGGCGGAGAACGTGAAGGCTGTGGCCAAAAATCCAAAGAGAGCCGTCCAACCCCACCACGGCAGAGCGCTGTAGATTGGATCTTCATCGAGGGGCTTCGGGGGCGGTTCGCGCTTCTTGGGCAGGAGAACGACAGTCCGCTCTGTCAGGACCCTCATGCCGTCTTTCCTGAAATAGCGCTCACTCTGCGAGGTTGCGTAAATGTCGGGCACACGTCTAAAACAGGCAAAGGCATACCTCGAAGCTCCATTGGTCGTTTCCTCGGACCCAATTGCCGAGACCGAAGGCATACTCAGCGCATTCCTTGGTGACTTGTTTGTCCTTAAACGTAGGGACATTCTTGTATTCTTCGAGGAACTTGTCGACTAACTCGTCGTGGAGCTTTCCGATCCAATCGAATGCGCCTTGGACGTCGAGGTTGAGCTGGTGCATGACGATAGTGACAAGGTTGTGCCCATCATCCCCGCGGCTTTGTCTGCGCAATAATGAGTGAAAAAGAACGGATCGAGAAGGTGCTCCTTACTCGACGTTGTAAGAGCACAAATCGTTGCCGATGCAAAGCATGTCGATGCAGTATGCCGTGAGGTTCTTGATGACCGGGTGCTCCATAACATAGTCCGGAAGGTTCATGTGCACCTCGTTGATGGCGAAGGACGGCTTCGCGCCGATAGTGTCGCGCCTGACCTCGAAGTAACTGTCGATATCGCGAATGAGGTGCTTATCGCGGTCGGCGGACTGCTGGACAACAGAGTCGGTGTAGAGCTTGAACGCCTTGATGAACCTCTTCTGAGCAGAGGGAGTAGCAGTGCGGATGGCGTTAAGCCAGTACCTACGAATGACGGTAGTTAGTGGGAGGGAGAAAATAGCATTGGTTGAACGAACTGTCTAGTAACTTCGCCACCGACCCATTCTCCAGTTGGGCGAGGTTTATGAGGATCGTAGAGGGCGTCCATAATGATGTCGGCCATGCGTCTTGTCTCTTCCGCGTCGGAAACGTCCGACCATTCATCGAAGACGAAGAACAAATTCATCAAGTCGCATCCAATCCTGCAGCCGTCTGAGGGCATTGCCAGTAAGCCGTTGAGAACCGAGATGGAAGAAAGGAGCAGGCATACCGCGGTTTACTCGAGACCATGCAAGCGAGGCCAAAAGATCTAGACAAAAAGGTTAGGCTCCGTTAAGAAAGGATTCGAGGGAGGTACTGACTGAAGTCGCATTTGTTGAACGCTTTCTGGGCCTTAGCGCTGAAGGCCCCGAACTTCTCAACCCAGGCGGCTGACTCTCGCTTGCATTCCTCGTAATGGGGGTTAATTTCCCTGGGCCAAGGCCAGTTTCTGAGGGTGTCGGGAATGTAGATCGTCGGCTGCGAAGACTTGAAGAAGCTCATGACGGAGTGTGGATTTTTGGCGAGGAAATTCAAGAAGTACTTCGAAGAACCAGTCTTTTATCGAGACTGCGTTTTGTGCGTAGGTCTTCATATTTTGTTCTTGGAAGATCTCGCGGCCAATAGGAGCTTCAGGAACTTCTTCCCGAGTGTCCCGACCCGTTGGCTCGGAGAAATCAAAGATCAAAACCGGGCAGTGGGGGACCTTGCAAGGTAATAATGTACTGTTGAGAAATAAGCGCACATCTACCGCCTGTCACTTGCGTTGCGAGCGCGTTGAAGGTGGAGCCGCTCACACAACATGCCAAATTAAGGACACGTTTCGACGCGGTGTAGGTACGCCACCGTCCTGGAGTAACGACTACAGTCTCGGCACTGAGTACAGGACGCAAGATTTACGAAAGCTTCAGCAAGTTAACAGCGCTCACCTTGCAAGATTGTGACAAGGCGTCGATGACTTATTGGGTAATAGGTCCCTCCCAGCGAGGTATGGAAATAGATTGGATCGTGGAGCCGAACAACGCCCAAGGTTCACACCTTTAACTAGCCTGAGCGCAAGGTTTCACGAAGACCACCGTATTCTGCAACGACCTCTGCCAGCAGTATCCGCCCATGAGCACTTTTTACGAATACACTGTGGACCTTGCGTTGACCAACAAGCAGCTCTCGTTGGCACTACTGGCCATCGCAGGCGCGATCTCTTACGTCAGGTACATTCGAAGCCCGTGGCGAAAACTCCCACCTGGACCTCCTGGCATCCCACTGCTCGGAAACCTGCTCCAGATTCAGGATAAGCCATGGCTCTCGTTCACCAAGTGGAAAGACACATACGGTAGGCTCTTTACGAAGATTCCAGCGTGCTGTGGGACTAATTAACGTCAGGCCCTATCATGCATTTGAACCTGGCCGGGCAGCCTGTCGTCGTGCTAAGCTCGCAGAAGGTCGCTGCGGACCTCTTGGACAGAAAAGCATCGATCTACTCAGACAGGCCGAACAACATCGTCGCCTCCGATCTCATGACTGGGGGCTTGCTCGTCGTCTTTACCCACTACAATGACGTGTAAGTTGCCTTCGATGGTGAGGATCGGAGCTGATCGGAGTCCTTTTAGCTGGCGCCGTATGCGGAGAGCTGGTCACGAAGCCTTGAACAAGGGTGTCGTCCGTAAGTATCAGCCGATTCAGCTGAACGAAGCCGTCCTGCTCGCCCACAACATGCTCGCGAACCCAACGTCGTGGGATGGACATTTTCGTCGGGCCGCTGCCTCCGCCATCATTTCCATGGTCTATGACAAGGAACCCATTAAGACGACACAAGAGCCCACTGTCCGCGATGTGAACGACTTCGTCGCACGTCTTACCCGAGCTGCGATGCCTGGGGCGCACTTCGTCGAGTTCTTCACGTGGATGAAGTACATCCCGGCACAGTAAGTGCAATGCTCCACGTGCGAAGAATTGGTCTTGAGCACTTTACCCCACAGGTTGGCGGGCTGGAAGCGGCAGGCGCTCGCGTCATACCAGGCGGATTACAGGATGTTCAAGGATCTCTTCGACAGCGTTCGAGAACGAATGGTATTTTGAGACCTCGGAGTCGCAGGATGAATTGTTGATCCCCTTCTTACAGACGCAGGGAGACGAGAGGCCGAGTCTGGCTGCGACCTTGATCCAAGATTCTGAGCGCAACCAGTTGTCCGTAACCGAGAATGTCTGGCTCGCAGGGACGATGTAGTGAGTGTCGTCTGGCCTGAGCCCATCGCTATCTCTCATACTTTTCAAAGTGCTGCAGGAGCGGAGACCACCTCCGGAGTTCTGGCTTGGTGGATGCTGGCTATGGTCGCCTACCCCGAGACCCAGAAACGCGCCCAAAAAGAGATTGAAAGGGTCGTCGGTCGTGATAGACTTCCCAGCTTCAACGACATCGAAAATATGCCGTATGTCCGTGCGATGGTGGGTAAGATCGTTTCAGAGGCTTCAAGTCAGTTCTGATGAGGTCCTGCAGGCGAAAGAGGCTCTTCGGTGGCGCCCAGTCGTGAGTTGGATCCACAGCCGTGGCTTGGACGATGCTGAAAATGTTGACAGGATCCCGTCGGTCTGCCCCATCGGTCCGTCGAGGTAAGAATCGCGATGTTGCTTGCTGCAGTAACGGGCTGACTATTCCTTCAGGATGACTGGTACGAGGGACATTTCATCCCGAAGCACTCCATCGTGATTGCGAACGTGTGGCACTTGAACCGCGACCCGGAGATCTACGGACCAGATGCCCACCACTTCAATCCTGCTCGCCATCTCGACGCAAACGGGCAGCTCGGAAACGCGCCCCCGGACACGAAGGAGGAGAGCCATGTTACGTATGGCTTCGGACGGCGTATCTGTGTCGGTCGTCACGTCGCGAACAACTCCCTCTTTATCGACATCGCGATCATGCTCTGGGCCATGAACATCGAAAGGGGGACAGATAAATACGGCATGCCCACACCGCTCGATGTTGATGGGTGCATTGAGGATGGGCTCGTCGTGTACGTGTTGCTTTCCCGATAGGCTTGCTCCGAATTGAGACTGACAGATTCGCGTTGGCAGTCGTCCGATTCCTTTCGAGGTGAAGATAACCCCTCGATTCCCTGAGGCGTTCGCCATGCTGGAACATTCGAAGGAAGATCTAAACCTCAAGAGGGTAAAAGAGACTTAGATATGTAGATATATGCGGTACAACTCACACTCGCAACGACTATTTTCCTTGAGTCTTTCGTCGTCTATTGGTGGCGTGCACATACTGTCCTCAAGATATGAGACACGTTCTGCCAGAGTTCAGAGTTCCCGAATGGTGGATAGCTTGCATGAGAATATGCAAACGTAACACCACGGTTTACAGTAACTTGAACCGGACCTAGTCTCGTGCCCATCCGTATTCGGTAACTGAACGCTCCGAGAGATTTTGATCTTGTAGGACTGGGCCACAAGCTCATCTAATCTAATCAGTTAGCCGAACTCTGTCCTCACACCGAAATTTCTTTGATCTACTGTGCAGTCTTGACAATTGACCCCCTCCAAAACGAAGAACGGTTCAAATTGATCAAGTATCTTGCATGAAAGTATCACATTCTAAACCGTACTGCAACTTCAAAGTTCGAGAATCCGACTCCCCGTTTCGTGGTTTATGAACCAGCGGGCGCCATCGCTGCTGCCAGGAGGCTGAGAATGTCAGAATTTCGGGGCTCCACGTTTATCTTGAATGGCGCGACATGTCTGCATCGGAGATGTGAGTTATATGCGTCTCATCCCTCACCTCGGGTATCTCACCTTATCAGGCCCACGTTTATGTAGGCCTCAATGTCTGGTGTGATATCGACACCGCGTTCATCCTTAGGCGGAGTGAGATTGAGCGCCCAGAGCATGTATGCTGTTGTGATCATCAAGGCTGAACCGAACACGACTCGGTCAGTATCCGAGTGGCGCCATCTGTAGGACCATGGAGAAACTCACTGTTGTTTGCGAACGCGCGCCCGACACATTACGCCTCCCAAACCCGTACGTGCATTGGTTTATGTCATTTTCCTTGAGCTGACCCTTCACATCAAGGTACCGTCTGGGATTGAACACCTCGGCATCTGGTCCGTATATATCCGGGTCCCGATTTATCGCCCTAGAATAATTTGGTCGCCGTAAGGAAGGAGTTTATCGAATAAAACTTACCACACGTTTGCGATAACTGTGCTTCCTTTTTCCAGGAAGTAACCCTCATACCAGTCATCCTAGGAGCCAACAGATGTCAGCAGAGATACGGTCGGATCAACGGGAGTCTCCTTTCTTACCTCCCTCAAGCTATGGGGAATCGCAAATGGCGTTGGAGGAAACAAACGCATTACTTCGAAGACGATTGCCCGGACGTAATGAAGATTAGGTAGGTCTTCAAAGTCGGGAAATCTACCGCGTCCGACCACCCGGTCAATTTCTTGCTGACCGGCTCTTTGGACCTCTGGATAAACGACCAAAGTTTTCAGAATCCATCCTAATGCTGTCAAAATCTAGAGTGTCGAGAATAGTTTGTAAGCGGTACTTTGTATGGAAAGACCGACTTCACACTGACAGCTTCGGTGCCGGCCGTCATTAACGCGGCACCAATCCAGGCGGCCTCTTTCTCGTTGATAGTCGCTTGTTTGACCTTTTGGCCCAGAGATTGGGCGAGCGTCTGACTTCCGTCGTGTGCCTTCCAATTCCTCAAATGTGAGTCTCGAACTGTCGCCAAGTCTCTGCACCCACAGTTCGATCCATTCCTTCCCTCAGGAACTTTGTGAAGAGCTCGGTGTAGCGCTCATGGCTTTCCAACGCCGCCCGCTTCCACGGCGCCATCCAAAGAGGCAGGTGCTTCAGAGCAGGTATAAGCTGCGTCAGATGCTTTCCCGGGGCCGTGGCCTCGGTCATATCCTTGACATATTCCATTATAGCCTTAATTTCTGGCTGGTCGTGCGAACGCATGGGCGCGGTGCCGTATACCATGGTCAGCATGCAGGATGATGTCATCCTAGACGCCCATGAAGTCATGTGAAGGCCTTATAGGTGGTAATGATTCCGTACCTGTCAAAATGCTCCTGCCACTTATCCGGGTTTTTGATCATATCATCGAGGAAGAGGGTAGCCTCAGTACGTTGGAGTAGCTGAAATTTGGTGATGACGGATGCGCTCAGAATGTCGTGGGCTGCACGACGGATTCGTCGCCATCTGAAAAATGTTTGCAGATAGCACCTGATGCGGACGAAGAGATTTACCTGTCATTATATGCAGACAGCACCATTAAATGGCTCCCGCTGAGCATTTCGCCTCCAACTAAAGCCGCGTTGTTAGCAAACAAAAAGCTCGCAAAACGTGAAGCAAATCAGTTACCTATGTCGCGAGGCCTGTCGCTATATATCGCCGAGCTGTCGACTCGAATTAGAAGGCGAATACACCAGCAATGCAAATTTTCGACGTACCGACGATCGAGCAGGTCAGTGGCTGCCTTGAGAGTATTCAGCACGATCATTTGTTGCCCGACAATGTTCAAGGAGAGAATGGGACCATATTTCTCTTTCCATGCCGTGAATGGTATCCAGAGGTCCTTAGTGACTTGGAAGACGTGTCCCAATATTGGATAGGCGCCTGGAGGCGACGGAGGGCGCGGTGATTTCTGCGAATTTCGCCATAGTATAACGACGCAGAGGCCGACAGCGATGAAGTACAGGGGGTTAACGTTGGAGACGATAGTACGTGACGCGTAGGAAGACATTACTGTTCTTCCACTTCCCCCATGGTCCCCCTTCTATTCTATATAGCTGTCGCCGCGCTCTCGATCCTTCCCTAGAATTCGATAACACCCAATTCAACCGTAAGCATCTACAGGTAGTACCTTGCAGGATGATTTTCTGATCTCTTAGTGAATGTTATTTCGAGGTACAAGAGAGCCCCCTTCTCCTTGTGCTGGCGTGTGAGGGTTGGATACATGCGTAAGGGCGTCGAATGACGAAGGCGATATTGTAATTCCCCTTCGGGAACCCGCGATTTCCGGTCATGAGTGGAGCACCGGGCGTCATAAATTGTTTCCTGATTTCTGGTACTTCTGGTAGGGGATGATTGTAGGGCGGTAACTTGAATCCCAAGTACCAAAGCATTCGAAGACCCGAGTTACTTATCTTCTAGTGTTCTATTTGACCTTCCTTTGGAAATATACTCCGCGAATACCTTCACATCTATGAATAGCTATATTCTGGTCTGCTGGTGCAGGTTAGACGACCTGGTAGATTCTTACCTCTATTCCCCGCTGGATCAAGTCCCGCCCCACGTTGGCGAAAAAGTCTTACACAGTGAGCCCAGTCCATACACACTGTCAGTTATGACTTTGATCTAGCAACGTCAGAAAGGTTGTATCCCGTTAGATATTTAAATATGGCACCGTAGCATGAAAGCAAGATGATTGATCTGCACTCGTGATTGCCGGAGCAGCTGCCTATAAATAGGGTTTCCTTCGCCAACGGGCTGTTTCTCCGCGGAGACCGTCTTGCAAGTGGATGAGTGTAATTGGGTGACGTATCGCAGAACGCACTCTCCTGTATTTTACTTTGAAGTAGGCCTCCAGTGAGTCCTCGAAACTCGCAGTGCGAGAACCCGCAGTCCGAGTCAGCGACCGCTTTGGCGCATTGCCCAAGATGGAAATGGGGCATGTGGCGCACGCACGATGTGGGGGCCGGCCCTGAACTGGTCCCACTGAACCAAGGCAGCTCCACAATGGACAAGTTACATTTTTGTTCTAAAGAAGCTTGTCATCAAGTGGTTGATTCTGTCAGGAGACTCATTGCCAATTTATCAGCGACCAGGCTTTGTTCGGCATAGTCTTCCTACACCAGACGGGAAGCAAGTAACGTCTCTCTCGGTCTTCATATAAGATGGCTATCGCACACTGTGTACGGAGTTCTTGATAGTTCCATGTGCTTCTGTTGTCAATATTGGAAGCTCTTCGTCATTAGTCAGAATCATCCTGCGCAATGGTGAAGAGATTTTTTTGAACTCATTTTCTCTAACGGTACTATAACTGTTTGATAGAAATAGTACTTATGGGGTCCGAGAACCATCCTCGCATGCTGCATGTCTGCGTGAACGTCCCTCTCCACAGCTAAACATAGCGCGGTGTGCCTTCTCGCGTCGGCTCTGACGGCGCGATTGTCCTGAGCGGCAATCATCCGTAAAACACGGCCTACGTTTTACACTCTAAGCCTTCTAATGAACATATGTGTGCAGCTGCCGATTGTTTTATGCTGCGGTCGCTCATACCTGGGCCGCGTTGAGACTGAGGTATCTTGTGCATTGTTTCGGAGTCGAAAGCCCGAAGATGTGAACGATGGGAGCGCCAGAATCATTTGGCGTTGTCCCGGTTATTTAACCGTTAGGAAAGGCCCCAGACAATTGCCTTCCATCATGATCAAACTCCCCACAGAGTGGGGATTTCTGGGGATTTCTCTACTCTACTGGACGTACGCGGGTGCCATGCTCAATTCCCTTCCTTGCTTAACGCTATGCATTACACAACTGTATCAGCGCCTAACGGCTGCAATCTCACGGAGCGGGTTGTATCAGAAGCGCGTGAACAGATACACGTCCCAACTTCTGAGCATCAGCGCCTGTGCGAAGATACATAGTAGTACTACACGACGGTGTAAAGAAATATGACGACACCCGCAGTTAATACATGACCCTCCTGTTAACGTGGGAGCGTGCATACCTCCCCCTCCGGTAGCAATGCTACCAGCCTCTCAGATCCGACCATCCGATTACGACCATTGACCAGGCGACTACTTTTTGGAGGACGCTAGGCTCCAGCTCCTTTACGGCGTCAGTGACAATCATGTAACACCACAAAGGTTCTTCGGTCTGATTTGCCGGTCGTCCCTTCCCTGGATAACACTCACCTAAATTGCCTATCAACGTTTTGGACCGCTTCTCCGCCGTCAGATAGGCGGGCCGTAGTGCCGCAAACGCGCCCAAGGGCGTCAAGATCGGGCCAAGTCAGCTCAAGGTAGGCACCCTGGAGCCCGCTGGTGGAAGCGAGCTCGTATGGAAGTCTTCTGTAACATTACTTAGGCCTTGTCAGGTCTGACTGCTACTACCAGATAACAAAGCAAAGGCCGGCTTTATCATAAGGTAATTTTTTCGATGAAAGCTATCTTTAGTCCACTTTCTCCACTGCACGGGCCTCCGGTGCGAGGAGGTAACTAAGAAGCGGATTCCAAATATTCAGTGGACCATGTCTGTTTCACGGATTTCTTCTGTAACCGCTTCCGCCGCTCCACGACAAGGATTTTTGTCCCGATACAGACGTGCTGCCTTGGAATCTTCGAGCGCCGCCCATTTGCAGGCAATCACTGCGAAGGGAAAAAATCAGGTTACGTATGGACCATTGTAACGCCGCGCGTGAGGCAGTGGCCGATATACGAGGTAATATTCCGTCAATCGCGCACAGTTAAGGATCAATTCCCATGATTTATGTCACTTCGAATCCCCCAGACCTTGTATCAACATCGGTTACAGCAGACGGCGTCGCTGTCATTCCGTGAGGAATTATTTTAGCTAATGTCCCATTTGACGAATCTTTGATGGCCCCCTTAATGGGGGTTCACCTCGTTTTTACCCCGAGATGTTTGGTCCGGTGGAAATGGAGATAGATCTCGCTTGGTGGTCTGCTTCGCTCATTGAGTTTCATGGTCAGGGTGACAATTGTCTCCTCCTTCCGACAGCTTTTCCAACACTCACTCGCAGATATAAGGGGGCGCATCAACGCTCTAAGAACTTCTGTGCCATGCCCAAATCACCCCAGTCAAACAAGGTGAGTATTTCTGATCAAAATACTTGTACGAAGACTGAGCTTTACCCAGCGATCTGACACCAGGTCTCGCTCGCCTTCTGTCCTCAGGGTCGATAGAAAGTCTGGTATGCCTTGATTCAGGATCTCTTAGCACTGTGTATTCACATCACCGCCATAGGCAATCTCACGCGCGCTTCGACACCCACTACGTCTTCTATCATTCCTACAGAGACTCCAACACCTTCGTATATGACCAACGTCCACGACTCGTCGACGAGTGCTATGGCTGGTGCCACGACGCACATATTCGAGATGGTACACTCACGTCCTGCTCAGAAATTTCACCCGGTAACCTTTTGCCTAGCTCGAAGCGCTCAGGGACCAATATGGAGTGGAGACAGTCCTCGTCGTAACTCGAGGCAACATAAAGCAACCGCGTTTCTCGAGGGTTCACGCGTCCAGGAAAGCGTCGCGCTTTCTACGAAATGTCGTTCGTACGGATGCTGGACAGCTCGCAGAGAAGCTGGAGGGATACATTGTTTCCGGAGCTGCTGATCATGGTACTTTCATTTGGGCTTCTTCATGGTACCAGTCGCTCATTCTTATGCTCAAAGGCGGAATACCTCATTCAACCGTGAAAATGAAGCAAAAAGAGCAGATCAAGATAGCGAGAGATTTTATCCTCAATGGCTTGAGTAAGTGGGTCATCGTCCGGAGGCGAGGTGATTGACGAACGATTTGTGTAGTTGACATCCTGCGTGAGGACAACATGCCTGAAGATCAAATACCAAAGTCCATGAACTACAAAAGCTACGAAACGAAGATTGTGGAGCAATGTGGTGTCGTCCTGATCGGCTATCCAGGAGACAAGGGCATCGTTAATCCGGGAGAACTCGATGCGCTGATGCTTAAGGAGCTTTTGACACGCCTAAACGATGGCCGCTGCTATTGGAAGAAATTGAACGATGTGGCGTCGACATCTCGCGTGGAACGCCATACTTCTTCCCTATCAAGTCCTGCCACTCCAAATTGCGAACGTGCTCCTGCGTCCTTCGGCACGCTTCCTCCTTCTGGGACCGAGTTCGAAATCCCGACTCCAAGCTCCACAGACCTGTCATCTTCGTGGCTTAAAGATATCGTTTCGACAAACACGCCTCCGGAAGGTGATGGATACTTGCTCATGGCCCAAGGTTACGACAATCCCGTTACAGAGTACCCATCCCAGGCGGCGCCCATGCTTCATTACGAACCACCATCTTCTTGTCTCAACCAAGAATACACAATGCCTTGGCAAGCTCCCGACCCGGTTGCTAAGGCCATGAACGTATTACACCGCGCATATCTAGAGGCCTTCATCTCATTATTCCCTAACCAAATGCCTAACATGACCGCACCGCTTCCCTCTTTTACAGACATGCTCCCTTCGTTCTCGCCATCATCCAGTACACTTTACAGCGGCTCCGACACATATACTCCTCCACCATCGGATATCGTCACTCCTCCCGCCACGAGTCCACTACCAGCTCCAACTCCATCCGACGTGTATGATAGTCCGATTCCCGCCGACATGCCCAACCTCATCCCAGAGCACCAGTGTTTCGCCGCCACTGCGGAGACAGACGGGATTTCTGCGAGTTTCTTGTCTCTCAACAGCAACGTCACTTCCGATACAAATTCTTTTCCTTGGCTACAAACATGGCAAACATAGAGCCACTCGTCCTGTCTTATCTTTCATGCACATTTACATTTAGACTTCATTTCACATTTCTTTCATCTCCCCCTTCCTCTTCGGGAGGTCGCATCGCCTACAGAATTTTCCGTGATACAACGTCAAAAAATTGCATCGATTATAAATCATTTGTACGACTAGCTTCTTTTTACCCCGGTGACTGGGATAAATTTTTGGAGGCCGAGTTTGAGAAGAAAGTTTATTCACTTGTTGTCGGAAGTTTCTGGACTCGATCGGTGAAGCAAGATCCTCAAGTGCTATCTCCCGAGATATGAATAACGCTGGAATGTTCTCAGTTGACATGAGCGCGTGTGGCTTCTCTGCCTGTCTTCCGAGTCCCTGTCTATCTTAACGGCGCCGTTGAACTTTGAAGGTCACGAGGATCACGCTTCATGGCATCTGTAACCCAGGTAGAAAATGAAGTTGCGTAAAGTGTCGACCAAATTCCACGTACAGAACGCGTCACGAGGAAGGGTGGCGCGCGAGGTGCGCTAGGTGCGCCAGGCGAAACTGACGCTCAATAAGGGAATGATTTCCATCTTTGTCTGAGACAGATCTTCCACTTGGCTCCGGCATCTCCCGGCTACCGGCGGTCTTGGTCATGCTCGACGTGCCACACATTGAAAATAAGCATCTACATTTGCCTTCTGAAAGATTACGGGAGCAGTTCTACTTCAAGCACACCAGGAAAGGGAATTTCGTCAGAATTAAACTGCACGAGCCTCTTCGACCTTGATATGCCTCGCCTCCAATTCATGCTCGATCGTTTCAATAACATCGGGGAATCGAGGAGTGAATTTGGGTTGAATTGGAACAGGACGCCTGCCGACGCATATTTGTGAGACCAACAGCCATCAGGAGCCAAGAAAGAGACACGTACACAGCGAGGCCATGAAGGCGGCAATCGTCGACATCCAGCGGGATGGGCTTGCCATTGGCGTCTTTTGGGAGTTCAATGTTCAGTGCCCAGAGGATAATAGCGATTTGCAGGAAGATGTGGTTGTTGGCGACGTATCGGCCCAAGCAGACGCGACGCCCGAAGCCGTAGCTGAGCTGGTTTTCTTCTTTGGTATCAGGGATCACGACGGTCAGCTTCCCATCCTTGTCGAGGTGGCGTGCTGGGTTGAAGTGCTCGGCGTCGGGCCCGTGAATTTCGGGATCACGGTTCATAAGCCAGACATTGGGTATCATGACGGTTCCTTTCGGGATGAAGTAACCCTCATACCAGTCATCCTGTCCAGGCGTCAATTTCTGAGTTATCATATCGACAATTTATTCACCTCGGCAGCGCAATGTGGAATTCCAACAGGGTCCTAATGGGGTGTAAGATATGTACAGAAATATAGTTAGTGTCCACACTTACGACGGGACGCCATCGCAAGACTTCTTTCGCCTAAGGAGGTTTATCAAATCCTGGAGTTCGAGTTACAAAAAGCAGCACCCACCATAGCCCGCACATATGGAAGGCTGTCCATGTCTGCTAGCGTTGGGATCCGCGAACGGCCAACGACGGAGTCAATTTCGGCTTGAGCACGACGCTGAGTTTCCGGATACAAGCACATGGCGAAAATCCACCAATCGCCAGCAGCGGCGACGGCATCGGCCCCTGCAGCGCTATAATCATGGACGATGAGTATACTTACTCGCATTTCGGCGACGGTAACGTACAAGACATTGGCCGACAACCACTCATTCTCGGTCTCAGAGAGCCCCAACCGTTCGGCATCCTTGATAAGAGTTGAAGCAAAACTTTCGTTCTGTTGGCCTTTTCCCTGTAATGCTTAATCAGCTTCCTAACATCATTGTATTTTTGGAATACTTGACTTACCAATCGCCGACGAACATCACCGAAAAGTTTCTTGAACAGGGCAGAATCGAGTGAGAATCTCTCCTCAGCGCGCCTCTTCCAAGGCGCCACGCTACACGTATTTTCATCAGTATTACCGACGAGGCCCGTCATAAGAAAGAACTAACCTGCTTGGGAGGTACTTCATCCAAGGGAAGAACTCGACCCAATGCGCTCCTTGAATCGCCGCTGTTGTTTGGACGTTGGCGCTCTCCCCGATGGCAGTTACAGTGGGGTCGTGCTCGTTCAGAGTCGGAGCGAGGCCATAAACCATCGTCAACGTGGTCGACGCTCCTGTGCGACGTAGTTGGGCGTCCCAAGTTTTGGGGTTTGCAAGCAGACCGGCGGTCAGGATCAAGCTCTCCGTTGCTTGCAGGTATCCGTATTTTGGAGCGATACCTTTGTTGAGGGCTTCTCCACCCGCTCGGCGCATGCGTCTCCATCTGAAAATAAAGCATTCGTTACTCCGCCGCCAGGACAAGAGACCATACGTACATAGGATCGTTATGGTTCTGGAAGGTAAGAAAGAGACCGCCCGTGATGATCTCTCCTGCGACGATGTTCCTCGGACGCTCTGAGTAATTCGTAGCACGTCTATCCAGAAGGTCACTGGCCATCTTGAGCGAGTTGATCACGATGACCGGTTGCCCAGCGGCATTCAGGTAAATTAGGTCACCTTTCGGGAGGTAATCAGTACAGAGTCTCAAAATATCGACAGGGCGTTACATACCGTATGTCTTTCTCCATTCTGTGAACTGGAGCCACTGCTTTTCGTGCATTTGGAGGATGTTGCCGATGATGGGAAGGCCGCGCGGCCCTGGCGGGAGCTTGCGCCATGGACTGTTGTAGTACCGGACGATGAGGTAGGAAACTAGTCCACAGAGCCCAACAATCGTAATTTGGGGGTTTGCCTTTACGATTTCGACAGCAGTGTAAAGCGCAATAGCCATGGTCGATCGCTTCTCATCTGCCTCTGCGCGATGCAGAAGATATACCTTATAATCGGTATCCTTGCAAGGTTGTTATTCTGCTTAAACCTCGCAGGATAGTCCATCCAGAAGCTCGGGGAGAGTGTGTGCTTTCTTTAGAGTGTTTCTTCCCAAGGGGAACTCGCAGAAGTTGGAAGTTGGACGCAAGCTGAAAGTGTGAGCTGGAAGCCTGTTGACGACATGCCGTGGAATTCAATGTCCGCTCCGTGCCTACTGTCGCCGACGCTGCCATATTAATAAACCACTCCGTGTTAATAGTTGTTCAATCTCCGCCAGGGAGCTTAATTTCGATTAGGAAGTCGGAATTCTGGAATCGTTTGTCAGCCCGCCCCGCCTTTGTTTGTTATTTGGCCACCTAGGCGGGACATAGCCGCCAAGTTAGTCGCCGCACAATCTCTCAGAATCCAGGCGTCGCCAAACAAACATTTCGCGCCAGTTCAAGTGCACACCGATGCCATGATGAACTAGGGATTACATTATTGAGCAGTAACAAATGATACAATGTTGACACAAAATGAGGGACTACAAAACAACCTGCAGGTGCTCTGCAGCGCGAGCAATGAGCGAACCTCAGGCTCACCGCTCGAATCCTCTTCATGCACCGATTCTGCCTCCAAATCGATGCCCTCCTCCTCCACCGTCTCCGTCTCCCGTCTACCACTGGACATCACGAGTCGTTGAGAAGCACGAGGGGGCGAACGTTGGCGAGGTGAGAGTGATACAGCCGTATGAGGATGAAGCCACAGCGATGAGGGTAACACCACGAGGGCGAGACCGAGATCGAGACCGCAACGACGCCGAGGGAGAGATAGGCGGAAGGACCACAACAGCGAGCGGAGCAGGGTCAGCAGGGCTGTAGGGTGAGGACAGTGTAGAAACAAGCAAAAACCAACGCGGGGCGCGTAAAGAGACCCACTTTTCCCATTCCCCACGCCGCCACACCACCCTCCGAAACCCGTCCGAGCCAACATCCCGCCAAGACCCTCACTAAAAAATATGTATGAACACGTTACACAGCGGCCATGGCAAGGCGATGGCTACGACAATGCGACGACCACAGTGGCCAGAGCGGGACGAAAGGGGATGACGAGGGTGACACAGGAAGACGGCGAGACGACGGCGAGGGCGGGCAAAGGCGGGGGAGGACAATATGAACAGGACGATGAGCTGAAGCTGGATGACGGGTATTGGCGGGAGCAAGCTAGGAGCCGATCGTGACTTGCATCTCGCGTCTCCCATTCTGGCAATGGCACCGCGCTGAGATGGGCGGGGAGAGTTTGCGATGAACAAACAAGGGCGGGATTATTTTTGGAACCTGCCTCAGTAAAATTAAGCTTCATGGCGGAGTTTTAAAACTGCGTGTTAATCGGTCACATCGGTGCGTCTGCTAGAACGTTAACATCAAGCACTAAAGCCAATGTGAGCCCATCGATAGTGCGTTGATGTCAAGTTAGACACGATGAGAAAGTGATGACTGGTCACCGGTCAGGAGCCAAACGAATTCGGAGAAGATACGAAATTCAGCAGTATAACAACGATCTCCATCGGACCACTGCTTTGCTCCTTGCTCCCACAGGTTGACAATTGATGCTCAAGAAGATATTCTGCCGTGCCGCAGTGCGTCGTCAGCCTCTATTTCTGGAACAGCTAACATTGCTCACCGCCTCTGGTTAATCGGTGGGGCCGCTACCGCTCTTATAGAGCGCTCTCCATCTCGATGGACACCATCCACCACCCACATCTGAAGAACATACAATGACTATCCAAAGCACCGTGAAAGTTGGCAACACTACTCTCGCCAAGATCGGCGTACGTAGTGTCCCACATCTACCGATTGAATTATTCCTGACTGTTTTTTTCTCTTTTTCGTAGCATGGACTCATGACCATGACGTGGGTGCTTTATTGTCGAGATACCTCTTATCGTTCTGATTGTTGTCTTAGCTGGGTCCCCACTCAAGTTCCCGACGACGTTGCATTCGAAGCTATCAAAACCAGCTTGGACGCCGTTCCAGCCGGAGTCAAGATGCTTTTGAACGCCGGTGAATTGAACTACTCTGACTAGTTATGAGTATTATCACTCAAACAACGCACGCGTTGTAGCCGAATTCTATGGCGAACCCCATGATTTCACTGCCAATCTCGATCTGGTGGCGCGCTTCTTCGAGAAGTATCCCTCCTACGCCGACAAGGCCTTCCTTTCTGTCAAGGCAAGAAACTTCTTTTATTATTCAGCAATTTTAAACTCATATGGCCTTAGGGAGGAACGAAAGAAAACGCCTACGCCCCAGACAACTCGTAAGCGCCGAAGATAAGGATTCCCACGCCCCTGTGCCTGATCTACTTAATCTATTCATTTAATTAGCGCCGAGAACCTGAGACGCAGCGTCGACAATTGCTTGAAGCACCTCCGGGGAGCAAAGAAGATTGATCTTTTTGAACCATGCCGCATTGACAACAAGTATCCAGTTGAGGACCAAATTCGTGCACTCGCTGCATTGCAGAAGGAAGGCAAGTTCGGCTACATCGGCCTTTCTGAGTGTAGCGCGGCTTCTCTAAGGAGGGCACAGGCGGTGAGTTACATCTTGAATATTCCTTATCAGATGCAATTTTACTGACGTATTCATATGGGGTTTTCCTCCGAAGGTCGCACCAATCACTATGGTTGAAATAGAAGTCAGCCCCATTGCCTACGAAGAGGAAACCAAGAAAGGTATAGGCTACATACCCATCACAGATAAACTTTTCATGACACCATACCTCGCAGTAATCGCAACTTGCGCCGAGTTCGGTATCATCATCGAGGCCTACTCGTACGTGCATACCCAATGACTTGAGCTCTAATCTCATAACTTCTCGCAGGCCAATGGGCAAGGGACTCCTTACGGGAGCTATTACCAAGCTGGAAGACCTTCCTGCCGGAGACCACCGAAGCCGATTCTCCCGTTTCACACCCGAGGTAAGCTCCACTTTATTATTACTTTGACTCTGGATACACCAATGATCTCGAACCGTAGAACTTCGAGCATAACTCCAAGATAGTGAATGCCTTCAACTCCATCGCTGCTTCTAAGGGTGTCACGCCCGCCCAGCTATCCATTGCCTGGGTCAGCTCGAAGGGACCTCACATCATCCCCCTGCCCGGCTCCTCGTAAGTTCTAAAAATAACTTGTCGGACCGCACCCCTTAATACTGGAAACCAATTAGCAAAAAGTCCCGAACGGAGGAGAATCTCGCGGCCTGCGATATCAAGCTCACTGAGGCGGAGATCGCCCAAATCGATGCGGCGGTGACGGCCACTCCCGTTAAGGGCGGCCGTGCTGTTGATGGGTTGGAGTCCGTTTTCATGCTCTGGGGATGAAGGATGCCGATGAAGTTCGAGACCTAAGGATTGTCGTCAATGTATCATCGTACCAATGTAACATACGTATCGAAGTGATTTCTTCAGTTCCGCATCCGTGTCTAAATTTCCTAATTGTCGCGAAGTGATCCCGATTCAGAGACGGCGAACGTCCGATGCTCGTCCCTGTCCAACACTGGTTCAACATGAGAACTTCGATACTCTTCCCTCCGACGATCTCCGGAATTTGTCGCCATCTAGTGCATCCCTGAACAATAGGTTAGGGTGCTCTTCTTGCGTCCCTTCTACCTTGCCGTACGTGATAGATTGATTTTTCAACAGATAAGTAACTCATGGCGCGGCCACCTAGTTGATTCGGGGAAACACGATCTATCGAGAAATGCACCCAGGCATAATGGGCTTTAGAACTCTTTTATTGGATGAACGCCACGGGGAGACGGGTAGCTTCTAGGACGCTGGTAAGTAATCTGCGACTCGAAGAGAGAAGGGACCTCATCAAAAACCAAAATACTTCGTAGGAAGCCCTCATTAATTACAGCACTTTACAATGGACTATAATCAACGAAGTCGTACATAATCTTGACGTGTATCTAATTGTCCGGTTTCTACGCTTTCACAAACTCAATGACTGAATCGGCCGCCAACAATCGATTGACTTTCTTCAACTTGAAGCCGACCTTCTCCAACAGGACGATAGTTTCAGGTAGCGTCCTCGTCACGGCATTGTTCAGAGACAGCATGTGCATGCTTGACGTGCGGATGAGGCGGTCCGAGTCCTCGTGCAGGAGCACTTCGACGACTAGGAGGACGCTCTCGGACGTCATGGCGTCGTGGATGTTCTTTAAGAATACAAGGGCCTTATCGTCCTGCCATTCGAGGAAGATGTGGCGCAACATGTAGGTCGGTGCGCCGGCTGGGATGACGGAGGGGGTTTGGAGGAAGTCACCGGAAATGAAGGTGGCCTTGTCTTGAACACCCGCGTCCTCCCACAACTAAGAACGAAAAGATGTTAGCATAAGGGGTTTTAAAGATGATGTTTCAATGACGGACTTTCCGAGTCTTTTCGAGCACTGGAGGCAAATCGAACAAAGTGAAACGGAGGTGTTTTGTTGAGGCATGCTCAAGCAGCGTACGTTCAGTTGAGGCGATGCCGCAACCTACATCGACAATAGGCGATCCCAGTGCTCCCCATGAGAAATCTGCGGAATAAGTAGTGAATGCTGATAACAACTAAGGGTAAGGAATTTCATTGGCATACCTTCCTCGAGACCGTGGTTGGCCATGTGATGAAGCTGGTCGTAGGCCTTCATCTGTCGCTGCAACCGCCAGGCATTCTCAGGCTGAGAAGCGATCCACTTAAACAGCGTAATTGGAGCATTGAAGGCGAGGCTGCCAGCTGGAAGACCTGCTGCTGACACGGTCGGTGACGCAGCATCAGTAAGCCTCGATGCAGATTTGAAGCCTTCATCACAACTAGATATCACGTCGTCAGAGGGAAAGGGGAGAAGATGGGGACGAACGACGTACATGAACCCGATAGCACCGTCAACTGCGTCTGGATGACTGCCGGAGAGTACCCGTGAGTTTTCGTTGTTCTTGAAGATCTTGCACCCGAAGCCATCCACTTCTTCGAAGATTCCCTTTGAGGCTAGGCAGGTCAACGCGGTCCCTGTAAACCATCGTCGAATAAGGTTGATTAACAGAGAATGAATGGGCAAGTTACCGAGGTGATGAGCGCGATACCCGGTCTTAGATGCTAGATCCTGGACGGTGGAATGTCCGTCTCCTAAAGCATCTGCAACTTTGGCAGCTGTCGCGAGGTTCAACGCAGAGCTTTCGTGGAAAGCCTCTGAGGAAAAAATATCAGCAGACAATATGGATAGAGCGTTGATAATAGTTTACCAGCCACCAGTATCGCATACTCGGATGGAGTTAGGATAGCACGGAGGAGTTCGTCCGACGTGTCTTGTAGCTGAGCTCTGATGCTACGCCGGCGAATTTCGTTGCTAGTCTCGCCTTCGTATTGTTGTGCAAGGGCGAGGATTTTTTGTGCGACGGCGACTGCTGGTCCAGGTACTGAGGTCATGTTGCTTTGTGGTGGGACACTTCGGAATAGTGGGTTCACCAATTGGCAGGTCAGACAGGAAGCCCGCGGTCGTTTGCGTTAAAAGCTTGAGTGCTTTCAACCCAGCAGGATTCTATAGCGAGAGTATCCATTATGATACCTTATTTTAAGCCAGATTTAGCCTTGAACATCGCGGAAAAACGACAAAAAGTTTACCCTGCAAGGTATTCCGAGTTGGAGGTCGAGGATTCGGCGAGGAAGGGCGAAGAGATATTTGTTTCTTGCCTGATGTTCGACAGTCTGCAAGACGTAACGTTTTCTGGTAGTCGCTGGCTATTCAACGATATTCAACGTTCAGAAGGTTCATCCTCGATTGTCGATATGAAGTTATGAACTGGCAGTGGCATGGTGCAGAACTTGAACGTGATCTTTGTACGCTTATGTAATGCTGTGCAACTATTACGTTGGCACCTGGGTGCAGAGCGGGCCCTGCCATCCAATTCCTCCACGTTGGGGCATTCGACTTCGACCATCCTCTGCGCAATGTCTGCGTACAGAAAGTTCGACAATCTAAGTATATAGAGGGCCTACATCTCCATAGCCTCTCCAGGAACTCGGGCACGTTACGCGAAGTTCTTATAAATGGTACATCTGGACTGCCACCTTCACTGGTTTCTGCTAATTTTTTTGTTTTCGCTCTCTAGGTGGTTTTCCGTTGCAAACAGGATATTGGCTATTAAATTGGCTGTATTCGTACACGAAAGCTCAGAAATCGAAATCATCAAAGTCATCAGAGTCATCATCCCAAACCTTCAAACGTTATAACGCTGGTCGCTCGACCTTGAGTTACTTGTCTGCATGGCAGCTTCGTTTCCCGGTGCTGAAGTACTGTCGAATACGACTGAAAATACTTGGATGGGATGAAGACTTGCAAACCTCCTCGGAAGTTTCGTTCGGAAGACTTGTATTTTCATTTACAGGACTACAAGAAATAAAAAGATATTGAAGGTTCGTTCCTGCAGCTGAGGATGCCGTCGAAGCTTACTTGGCTAACTGTTTCTCAACCTCCAACAGATAGTCAACAGTATCAACGATAGTCTTTTCGAATGGCGTGTAAACGATGCCAAGGTCCTTCTGTGTCTTTGAGGTGTCGAAATTGAACGGGACGAGCTGCTTGATCTTGACGGGGTCGACAGGCGCGAGTCGGCTCTCCTTCAACTCAGGGTGAGCCCGACCAATCACTTCTACGGCCATATCAGGGTTCTGATCACGGGTTAGATATCGTTCATGGGGGAGAAATCAGGAGCATACATAGTGGTTGGCGATGACGAGGTAGCGCTGGTTCTTGGCGGCATCCCTCTCGACAGCACGGACATGGGCGAGGGCCACATCGCGAACGTCAGTGCACACCGGGAAACCGATAGCTGGAACGCCGTTCTTGAAGGTTCCATCCGCCATGTTCCAAAGGTACTTGACAGAAACGTTCAGGCCCGCCAAAGACGTGATCTTCTGGAGAGGAGGGCCGAAGCACCCGCTATCCACAGGTAAGCCCATGTTCCCGAGTACCCACAAATGACAACCTGACATACCATGGCGCGATGACAGATCCAGCCCAGGTCGGCTTCTCTTTTTCGATGTATTCCCAGAAGGTCTTCTCGGCCAAGGCCTTTGAAGCGCGATACACGAACATCGGCGTAGTCTGGTTCTTGGCCTCCTCGTAGGTCATCGGGTTCCACTCGTCGGGAGTGTGGAGGGTGTCAGCAGGCAGAGTGGGGTTGATCACCGCGGCAAGCGAAGACGTGAAGACGACACGCTTGATCTTGGGCTCAAGCTTGGTGGCTTCAACAAGATTCTTGGTTCCATTGATGGCTGGAAGGAGAATGTCTTTCTCGTTGTCCTGTGGATCATCGCACCGTCGGTCAGCCATTCATCATCCTGGATTCGTCAAAATTCAACCTACACCTTGGCCCCAGAATGCAGGGGACGCAACGTGGGCTATGTAATCGATACCCTTTACCGCATCGTTGAAGGCACCAGCCACGGTCATGTCAGCGACCACGACGTATTCAAATCTGGCCTTGTGCTGCGGGAAGAGCGCGATCCATTCGGCCCCTTTATCTGCTGAACGAACGGTTCCTCGCACGGAGTAACCTTCGTCCAGGAAAGTCAAAGCCACCTGGGTAGCAATGAATCTACGTATTATCAGCATGCATTTTTCTTGCTGAATGGAGAATCCAAATACCCAGTGACGCCAGTAACAAGAACATTTCCTTTCGACATCGTTGTAGAAGTTGTGGTTGAGGTAAGAGAGCTCGCTGATTGATAATCGTTCGTTGAGACTGAGATAAGGATATCGTTTGTGAAGGACGCTTTATATCAGTCAACGATCTCCTATATTCTGCTATTGCCTTTCAATCCTTCAAGTCTCCTCCACCATTCCAGAATCGAATTACTTCACACATCTGCCGACTTGACGCGTAGGTGTTACCGGCCAGACTTCGCAGTTATTCTTAGGTCGGCAAGATTAATAAACGCTGGCGACGTCCTCTGTAGGAGCACACTCGAACATGTGATGGTCATGCCCGTCAGGCAACATACTAATAATACTAATCTCAAGGTAAATAGTGCGTCTAAAATAACTCGTTAATAGCCGCACTCTTCAGACGCCCCTTGGGACCTCGAAGACTCCTCGGCTTCGCACCACCTATCAGTCTACCCACATGGTTCCAAAGGTCGAATACACTATTGCTGGGCTGGACTGCGCATTTGCCGAGTTACAGCAGGCGAGTGAATGACGGCAAGCACCATAACAGACTCTCTTGCATCCTTACTGTGTATGTTACAGCAGAATTTCGGACGAAGTCTCTTTCTATCGTTCGCACTAGGGAAGAGATTAGTGATACGCTCTGTTCATTGGTGCGTGATGTACTCTGCGGCGTTCCTCAAGCCCATCAATACACTATCTATTGGAGCATTGTCCTGTGTCATTGATAAGTAGTGAAACAACAGACCTAAAAATATTTTGGCATTGGTACTCCCATTCTTCAGAGCTCTCTTTCTCAAGCCCCACTCGCCAGAGATGCCTCGACGCGCTCCTCATGATACCCTGCTGGATGTAATTTTATTGCACTATTTTGTGAGTACGACTTGTAGTAGAATTCTTTCATTCGTTGTGCTGATGCTGCGTACCGGTCCTTTCGAAGTATGCCGACGGTCCGAAATTTCCTGGTTGGCTGCTGATAAGACCGATATTGAATTTTAGTACAAGCTTTGTCACTCCGGGATGCTGAAAGTGCGACATATCGACTTCCAAAGTCTATCGACGCTAATAATAACTCCTTTATCTCGCCTGCATGACGCTCCCCAGCTGGAACGCTGCGAAATTCGCAGAAACGATAAATTACTATCCAAATTCGAGGGGGCCGGAGGCCTCCTGTGGTCGTACAAAAGCCATCTCTCTGAAGACAACTTTCTTTAGGTGATTCAACACCAATTTCTCCGTCATGTCTGACCAACTCACTGCTTTGTCCTCTCTTATCTCTAATGGCATCACGGAGATCGCCAAGAAGTATGCAGAACGTGGCCAGAGTTACCCCATCCTCGCCGACCCCGCCGCCGGGGACGGTATCATGGACGATGCGGACATCACTAAGGCCACAAACACTGTGCTTGCAGCAGCAGCACAACTCATAGAAACGTGAGTCAGTATGCTCCACATGTATCGCGCCTCCATCGTTTCCGCTTTGTTAGCATCATTCCACGGTTGTACGGGATGCTGACCCACTCCATTCCTACAGTCTTCGTAAGCCCGCCGATGTCTTAATGGACACAGTCTATGCTGTACGTACTTGTTTGTTATACCGAAGTGACATCATGCCGATAATACCACGTCTTCAGATGCATACTACGTCTGCACTGCGAGTGGCAGTGGAGACTGGTATCGCGGAGCTCCTGAGAGAGGCTGGACCTGATGTACGCATTTCTATCTGGTAACAAATACCGGAGTCCTCATTAGAGTTTGACAAGGGTCTCCATATCAAAGTAATAGGGGATAAAGTGGGAGTAGACGGTGACAAACTAGGTTATTGGGTTCTCTAAGAACCCGAGGGTCAGCGATGGCTGATCATTCTTCCCCCTCTCCCCAGGTCGCTGCCTGCGTTTCCTCTCTGCCCGCCACATTTTCAAGGAACTCGCTCCTGATGTCTTCGCTAATAATCGGCACTCTGCCGTGCTTGATACAGGCAAACCTTACGAAGCTATTCAGAACCGGTACGTGCCCACTTATGGTATTAAATGCCACTTCTGGTTCAACTGACGGCGCCGCGTTGTCTTGGCTCTTGGCGTCGGCTACGATAGCCCTCTGGACAGGTTCGAGAATGCTCAACGAAACATGGCCGCTTTCGTCTCTCACGCGTGCGTGACCACAACCCTTTTCATCTAAGAGGCAATCTTTGACATTTACTGATTGTGATACTGACTTAGATCGGCGGAGCCGTTTGCGAAGGGTGCCATGTGCTTGACGGACTATCTGCTGGACCCAGAATCGTCCTTTTCCATTGATCCAGCCATCACCCCAGTTTCTCGTGGACACGGTCAGAATATAGCTTGGTTCGAGTATATCGAGCAGCCTGGGAACGAACGTTTGCTGAAGAACATGGGGGCGGCGATGGCTGTCAGTGCTTCTTTGTTCCCCAAAGAACTGGTTCTCAGCAGTGAGTAGACATCAGGAAGACGAGTTCGTGATACTTACAGCGGAACCATCTTCCTGACAGCTTTCGATTGGGACTCCCTGAAAAAAGGTGATCTGGTTGTTGACGTTGGCGGAGGCATTGGATCGTGCACGCTTCCACTTGCTCAGGGCTTCCTCCATCTCCGATATGTGATTCAAGATCGTCCGTCTGTCATTCCTCAAGGATTTAAAGTTCGTGAAATCTTTCTGACTCTAGTGATGGAGGCTAATGTGCTTCGCTACCTTTTTCCTTCATTCTCGTCTGGGTTGCATATCTGTCATTTCTGTCAATGAACACCTGCGTTCCTTGGCGTCGAATGTACAGTATTGGGCATCCGAGTTCCCAGCAGCAATAGAGACGGGAATGGTCCAACTCCAGGGTACGCTATTACTCCGTAATTGGTGAAGAATGTGACTCTAATCATTTCTTTCTTTCGCGCTTGAATCGCTCAATAGCCCATGACTTCTTCCAGCCCCAGCCCATCAAGGATGCCTCTGTCTTCCTGTTGAGATTCGTTATCCACGACTGGGCCGACAAGTATGCGAAGGAGATCATGTGTCTTCTCCGTGCCTCAGCAACTCCGAGGACGAAACTCTTGCTCCTTGAATTCGTCGTTCCGTACACTTGTAACGCAGGCGCTGATGGGAAAGGGAAGTATTCCTACGTCCCTGGCGCGGAAGATGACCAACCTCCGTACCCTCTACTCCCTTCAATGGGACCGGTCTCGTCTCATGTCTACTTCGCCGATTTACGGGTATGTCCACGTCCATAGATAGTTTGAGGCGGTGCTAATCCGTGTAGATGATGGCCAATTGCAACTCTCCGGAGCGCACCATCGGACAGTGGGTGGACCTCGCCGAAGGAACGGGTTGGAAGTTGGAGTCTGTCAAGAAGGGAGCATTGTCGGCATTGGTCTACGGAGTTGCATAACCTCTATTCCTCCTTTCATTACTGTTGGAAACCACTGTGTAACCGCTGAATGGACGGTTCTGTCGAGATGTCAAATGCCACTGCAACAAGGACGACTTGCACCAGACTTGAATGGGAATTACGACGCGCTGCGGTCTTCCACGACCTTGTTATCTTGCTCCCTCTAGTTGACAATGATATTCCACCTCATTCAACAAATTGGCTCGGAGTTGTACACATCTACTATCTAGAAGTTTGAAACAACTATGCCGTCATACGGATCAAAAGACTAATTTTAACTTCGATATTCCTGGATCCCGTCGCTCCTGGAGGCTTCATCTCGTTTCAGGCACTTTTGACGTACCTGGCTACATATGGGAGGGCGGGTCGGTACCGCCTGTTGGAGGGCGGCAAGTCATTCTTGTCCATTTCCGGGTTTGATTCAGTGCGTTGAAACCGGACGAAGGGGCGCCTGCGACCTACTAGTGCGATCCAGGAACAGCCATGCCGCGACGATGGCGGTGGCGCTGCAAATATACTTTTTCACTTTCCCTTGAACGTGCGAGATGCATTTCTATCGATTTTTGCCCATTTGAATGCAATGAGCGAATGGGCCTGTCAGGAGACCCACCTCCGAGCGTTTCAACGAGAGCGTCAATAATTGGGCTCGTCCGAATACTAGCCATACTGCGCGCCGGGAGTGCATAATTTCCTAGATTAACGGTGTGTCGGAGAGACGCCATTTGAGAATGCAGGCGCATCACCAATCAGCTCAGCACTGAACGTATATAAAGGCTTACCTTCAACACATTTTCTCTATCTCGAGTCTCCTCTTTCTTTCCTGCCACCGTCATGCGTTCTCCGAGCCTCAGAACCAAACTTTTAACCACCGTGCTTGCCAGTCTTGCGGTTGGACGTGCTTACGCCCAGATCAGCGTCACTGGTTCCTCTTTCGCTTCGAATAAGTTCGATGTGATCATCATCGGCGGTGGAACAGCAGGCTTAGTGCTAGCCAACCGTCTCACCGCAGCGACAGGCAAGAAGCAGCTGAGGGTGGGTGTCATCGACGCAGGCCATTACAACACTTCTGGAGACCCCCTTATCGACGTCCCGTACATGCCCAATATTTTCCTCAACGACCCTACGGCGTCGGCCATCGGTAACCCCGCGTACGACTGGAATTTTGTCAGTGTGCCACAGAACCAACTCGACGGACAGACGATTGCATACCCTCGGTAAGTTGCCTTCGCTACACTAGGCGCTGAGTCTGACGCATCAAATCAGTGGGAGAGTTCTCGGCGGTTCATCAGCCTTAAACTTTATGGCATGGCATCGTGGCGCCCGTGAAGAGTACGATGCATGGGGCACTGCTTTGGGCAACACCGGATGGTCGTTTAACAGCATCCTGCCATATTTCGAGAGGGCAGAGAATTGGACTGCACCGACAACCAAGCTCGTCCCAGATGCCGACTTTGGAACCCTCGATGATTTGGCCGCGGTTAATGGCGAGGGTGGACCGATCCAAGTTCGCTACAACACCGTAGTCTTCGACCCAGAGACCAAATTTACGCAGGCCTGCGAGACGCTCGGATTCTCCCTAAACAACAACCCAGACGGTGGCAATCCAGTATATCTTCCTGAATGGGGTATCGATGGCTCTGTCGATATCGCCACCGGAAGGAGGAGCTACGCTGCACCCGCATACTACAATGCCGCCGTCCGTGCCCGGAGGAATCTTGTTGTCCTTCAGGGTGCGGTTGTCAACCGTATCGTCTTCGACAAATCGACAGTAGGAAGCAAAGCCGGCGCCAAAGCCTCTGGAATAGAATACTCAGTCAATGGCCAGAAGTTCACTATTCCAGTGGGCAATGCTGAGGTCATCCTGTCAGCAGGTGGGTCCTCCTCTAGTCTGAGTCGATGGTCTTCCTAAATTCACCTGTAGGCACTATCAAATCACCCCAACTATTGGAGCTTTCGGGTATCGGAAACGCGACGCTGTTGAACAAGTTCAAGATTCCTGTCGTGGTCAATGCTCCCAATGTCGGCGAAAACTTCCAGGACCATACTCTTACCTTGACCGACTTCACCACGAAGGCTGGCGTATTCACCCTTGGTATGTTGCTTATTTTCCTCGACGTCGGATTCTGCTGGAACACGCTATAGACGAGCTGAGCAACAACCAAACCTATTTGGAAGAACAGAGGAACCTCTAGTGCGTCACTCCTCTTTTCTTCCAGTTGAATCTCGTGTTGACTTGCGACCTTCAGCACCACCACAGGACAGGGCGCTTTCACCTGGACGGTGCGCACCTCAGGACCATGGCCTCTACAGACCTTCATCGGGCCTGAGGAGTATGCCCAAATGCGCGTCGAGCTCGACCAGACCATCGCCAACATGACCATCACTCCTCTCCAGAAGGCCCAATACGACGTCCTGAGGACCCTGGCCGACGGCGGGAAGACAGGATTCGTCTCGACCATCGTCCTTCCCCGTGGAGGCGCGGCCAGCACTCCCGTTCAAGGAGAGAGCTACGTCAGCGTAGGCGCGTTCCACCTGCACGAGTTCACTCGCGGTACCATTGTACGCTGAATTCAATCGCATGCGTGCCCCGAGTCCCAACTGACGCCCTATCTCAATAGCACATCAACAGCACTGACCCGTCCGCGGCCCCGCTCATTGACCCCAGGTTCCTCTCTATCCCATGGGGTATGTGCTTCCTTGAAGCTTCTCTCCACAGCCACTGAATTCTTGGTTCAGATCTTGGCGTCCAGGTCAACAGCGGTAAATTCCTTCGTACCATGGCGGCAACGTCTCCCGCATCGGACGTCATCGACCAGCCTGTCACCCCTCCCGCCAGCGTTCAGAGCGATGCCGACTGGACTGCCTTCGTTCGGAGCACGGTCAACAGCATTTCGCACCCCATTGGGACCGTCCCGATGGCGTCGCAGAAGCTCGGTGGTGTCGTCAGCCCGCGTCTCCAGGTTTACGGTACACGTAACTTGCGTGTCGTTGATGCTAGTGTCATCCCGCTCACCGTTGGCGCCTCAATTCAGCAGACTGTCTATGCGATTGCGGAGAGGGTAAGCCATTTGTTTTCGTGGAGAACGAACGTACTAACCTTCCATGACATAGGCTGCTGACATGATCTTGCAAGACCTTAACTAGGCATTCCCTCCGAATTCAACTTTTTACAGTCCTATTCAACGCCAATATTTTAAACTTCTGTTAAACTTTCTTCAGTAATTACGTCGCGTTATAATGTCGAAGTAGTCCTTTATCAACTTACTGCAGAACAATTGTAATTGTTTACTTTCTTTGCGGCCGCCGACGCCGATTTACCGAACGAGTCAGGCCATGGCGGGAGAGCTGGAATCGGATTGGGGTTATCGAAAGGTCCATTCATAAGAAAAGGTCGAATGCAAAGCTCGATTCAGTCACGCTTTGCGGCGCTATTGCCTAAATTGGACAGCGCGCCTACTCGGCCGATGTCCGCCGACGTCGGTCTGACAGGGGACCAATTTCAACTGGCGCGAATGTTGTGGAGCATGCATTTTGGTTGGGTTTCCCCGGGGACATCTGGACATAAAAAAATTCAATTGAGTGGGGGAGGGGTGTTAATTGAGTTGTACCATTTTACAACAGAATCTTTTCCAATCATTCGTTGATCTTCATCGTCAACTCTCCAGGACGCTTCTCGCCCGCCATCACGTCCAAGTATTGGTCATCATGCACCCCTTCGTTTGTACGGCCGTTGTCACGAAATCGTCCTTGCACAACTGTCCAATAGCCTTGACGACGTCGTAAGCACTCGTACTCGCCGATACTGATGAACACACATAGCACCACGCCTTCGAGCCCGTCGCACTCGCCTTCAGGAGCCTTTCAGAGCCTTGAGATACGGTTTCGCCCCCTCTGCACTGATTCCCGGAACCTCAAGGATGGTGCACTCTGTTCGCTCAGGCACGCCCAAGTGTATGCGGGCAAGACGTCCTTGTTCGGATTGAGCAGGTGTGAATCAGTCTTTCCATCGACTGAGACCCAAGGTGAATGCACTGCCAAACTTGGCTGAGATATATGGGATGGTGGACACGGATGTGCGAGAGAAGCTGGAGGACGAGAGCCCTGCCTGCGAGATGGATGTTCGAGGGGTATACACCTTGCTGGAGGAGGTAGTGGATGGCCTTGATGAGCTTGGGGAGTTGGTTGGGGACATAGGCTTCTGGGATGAGAGCTTATGGAGATAAGTCGAGGAATAGTCGTTGTAGGAGGAAACTCACAATAGGTCAGAGGGACAAGGCCGACCTTAGTCTCAGTAGTCTTCTCGACATTGTCGATTGCGTCCTTGCAGAATGTGGCTGCAAAGTCTTGGAGAGGCAGGCAATACGTCCCACCTAAAGACCCTCAGTCGTGGAACCAAAAACAGATCGACACGGAGCACCAACCGTGAATCTAAAGCAGGATCTCGTCTGTACTTCTTTCTTTGAACCAAAGGAAACGAGCATCGTCGCCCAGCTCGTCGACCCTAACCTCCACGCCGTTCTTCTCCCCCCATGTCTCGTAAACATTCCGTGTCGTGCCCACGGCGCTCTGCTTTCACGCAGATGGAAGACGGGATGTAGCTGAAGCAGGCGTCAGTGAGAACACACCGCCATGTCTTGTGCTTCTCTGACGCGAGAAACGGGGAGAGGAGGCGAGAGAGGGACACGAAGGCTGAAAATGGGAGATGTAAGTGACACACCCCGAGAGATATAATGAAGACATACGAAGGGGTACCAGAATGAACACTGTTCGGAGGCGCTCAAACCACGAGACCGCGCCGTACATTTTACCTGCAATTATTCGGCAGGGCGAGAAGAAAAAGGAGGGATGGAATTTCAATGGCTTGCAGACGATCGTCTCCTTTTCTGATATTTATCATGGCGAATGAACAGTGCCTCGGGACATTTCAGGAGATGACCAGGATAAATGTCGCGAACGCGTATTGGGGCGGGTGGGCGAGTTATTTTAACCGCTGCAATTGCGAGAAATTTCGAAAACGAGCTTGGGAGGATACGATAAAGGACCAAGGACCAAACCTGGACCAAACCTGGAACCATGAACAAAATCACAGTCACGTGATGGAGAGCCCCAGGGCGGCAATATCCCTGTTACATTTTGAGCCCGCCAACGATTGCTTCTTCCTCCTTACGCTAAGGCAAGTTATATTCCACTCCTCCAACACACCTCAAGTTCTGTCTAAAATCATGCAATTTTTCATAGAGTCAACTCGGAAGAGCACGGAAATGCCGCCATTCACAACATTGTGGTTTCACATAAAGCTCGTCCAGAGTGGACCAGCATCCGTTCGAGAAATGCCGGTCGTGACGTGTACTATATCGAGGGGCTACCATCGCGCCCCGAGAACACGGCTTCTCTTTACACGGACCCGATAGGATCAGATGGAAAGACTCGAGAAGCTTGCCAGGCTTACGTGCCCTCGATTAATACGACCAACATTGGCTTCGACGCATTCGGGCTTATTCTTCAGCGACAAAATGTGCTTCTAGCGAAGATGGACGACCAAATAGTCACTCTTGAGAGCTTGAGAGTTGGCCGAATTGGAGCTGTCGGCGGAGAAGGACGTTACTGCAGAGGTCGACAATACTCCCTCACCCGTCAAGTTGTTCTCGACGTCTATGGTCAGATTGAGGATGCAACAGCGAGGATGCAACAATCTCTCTCCGATACGGTAGGCTGTCCGCGTGACTTTGGTACTGATGTTATCTTACAGTTGTAAACGGCCCCACTTGGAGGCCCATCTATGAGATTCGCATCGACACTCAAGCCAACAATGGCGCAATTTCCATTATCTATAAAACCTGCATCGATCAAAACACTGGAGAGGTGCGAATTCTTATACCACATTCTATTTCGACGCTAAGGCAAAGCATCTCTACGCCAGCCTTGGGAGAGTGTCCCATCGACTCTGGAAACGGCGACACCTTCATATGCAGAGCTGCCTCCCGTTCGGCCCTGGACCTCGAAGAGATTGCGCCAAGCCCACCGCCAGTTGTTGTCAGAGACAGGCGACGCTCACGCTCAAGATCAAGGTCGCGCACACTGGGCCGTGCGTACTATGACCCAGGTTCGGATTGGCACTGTAGAATCCCTTCTGATTGTTTGGAGACGCCATCGATGTCCTGTTCCGGGGGTCCACCGCGGCGGCGAGGGCGCACCTGGAGCGCCAAGTCCACGCAGTCGATTTCCACCACACATCATCAACACAACGGCAGAAGTAAACAGCTTGTTCGCAATGTCACAATAGTAGAGCTCAAGCTCGACGGCAAAATCCCGTGGTCTGTCGTCCGGTAACTTGGCGCAAGGACCTTCATATAGGTTAGATTCTCTCATTTATTTTATTCTACACGAGGCGGATTCTGAACAATATTGAAGGCAAGGATCAAGAATAACTCAGAATACCCGCTGGTGAGAGGAAGGCGATTGCCTACGTTGATGGTAGGTTTGTCTCATCCTTCAAACTGCCATCTGTAGCACCACACGAAATCTTTGATTGTCCCCTTGGGTGAGCTTGCACATCTTCCTTTATTCCAGTAACGAGCTTCTGATTTCTGTTGGATTCGCTTTCAGCCTGGACGCATCCGTTCGTGTAACTAACCGCCCCGCAGAGACGAAAATATCTCAATCAGGGCTCCTGCAGAAGAGCACTCCTCATTCTACATACCACCCAGCGCATCATGATGATCAGCAATTGCATAGCAATGATTAACACTCCGAAGATCTTGGACAACGTCCCAGTGTCGCAGACGGAGCGGATCCAGGTCAAGATAGCGAACGTCACTCACACTCACGGACAAGGATACGAAGGTCACCCTTCCTGTCCAAGTTGTCGAGAATATCAACGCACAGTAGGATGGCGCGGATGATGCTAACGAAGATGGATCGGCGGTTGGAGAAATAAGAATAGTAGGGTTGATACAACATGAAACATAGGGATCACGGAATCTAGTTCAACAATGTTAATGAAGGGGTGAACCATCAGCTCTACATCATCTTGATATAGTTCTTCTTAAGACAGGTGGAATATAAAAGGCGGATGTCGTTCCTAGTACTGCTTTCTCATGAGCTGGCCTCAATAAACAAAACAATCTCGACACTCAATAGCCCGCCTCTTGACTCCATCATCCAAAATGCGGTGCTCATTCACCACCCTCGTCTTCTCCTTCTTCGTGATTGTGCCATCTCTCGCCGTTCCTATCTCTACCCCAGAGCGATTGGAGGAGTAGGCCGTTTAATATCATGCGTACTGAGTATGCTAACCGAGTCCTCGCAGGCGCCAAGTCAGCGATGGCACAGAGATCCGTGACTTCAACGGCCGTCAATTCGCCCTTCGCGGCGTGGAATATTTGGACCTCCTGGATAGAGATTTACAACGACTTGAGGAGCTAGACGAGCGCGATCCTGGTTTCTTCAACTCCATTGGCAATACATTCAGGAAGATCGCCAGCCCGACAGGCCTCCAAAACGTCGCAAAGGTGGCAGGGCAGGTCAGCAATTTGGCAAGGAAGGCGAGCAGGGTCCATGGTCGGGATATAGAGGATATCCTGGAGCGGGATGACGAGTTCGACGAGCTTGGTTGATAACAACGCGTTGGTCGTGTTCGTCTGACATGTAACTTCGATCAGTTTCAAAATTATGCTGTTGATTCTGTTCTCGCGTGGCCGTCACCTTGATCATCTTGAAGGCAGGTCGCCTGCGAAGTATTCAGATCTTCGAACTCCAGCCATCTGGAACACAGAGATGATGGTCGAAGGGCCGCTTCGGGTATTACCCGCGGAGTTAATTTCGACGGCGGGATCATGGATGATCCTGGAGGTGCCGTATATGGATATTCAATGGGTGGCGCATCTCCGGCTGTTCAAGAGAGAGTCGGAATCCCTGCCACCCAGTCCTGGCGACTTTTCAGGTTTCAGATCGAGAGACCAATCTTTACTCTCTAGAGAAAGGTAAGCGGCCAGAATTCTTTATATGCAACGAAACAAACATTCGATAAGAAAATGTATAGTGGATCGGCTATGGATAGTACATTAGGAGCGTGTGGCCGAGCATCGGTTCTTCTTCTTCTCGAGAAAAACTTTCGTACCTTGACAAATGGACTATGTGTTTGCATCTCTATGTACGGTAGATGTTTTACTAGAAATTTCGTGGCAAGTATTACACAGAGCAGGCTCAGCAGGGAGACTATTGCGAGAATGTGTACATCGAACGAGGGTAATCAAATGTTATCTGAACGTGGCAACGTTCTATTTAGTTCCATGCGGTTCTATCGGCCTCTATACTGTACCGATGAATCCGATTGAGTTCTTCCACAAATCTTCGGTCGAAGATAGAGATCCATCCGTCGTAGAGCATATAAAAACCACCGCCTGTCGGATTATTGCGAATCAAGGAGACCCTGTTCTTGACGATAGCAATGCCTAAAACTTCTCCGTGCCACCTTTTCCCTGCCCACTCCAGGTAAATCACTGTCTTACGGTACACCTGCCAGAGCATCCTTTCGTCTGAGCCAACCTCAATTATGACACGGATGATGTCTGCCTTGGGGTTAATATCAAGGTCAGGGCCCCAATATTGGCAGATTGTGAAGTCAGGATATTTCTTTTCATCGGTAACACTGACCCCTAATGAAGAGCAAGGCAAAATATGAGAAGTTAGTTGGAAAGGAGCAATTTGAGGAGCAATTGAGGAGCCTACCTTGAGAATCGAAGGAACGATCTCCAGCACCATCACCATCTTCATATCCATCTTCATATTCATCTTCATCCTCGCCAACGCCATCGTTGTCGTTATCACTATTGTTGCCATCGCCGTCATTGTCATTGTCATCTACATGTAGGGTGATTAGCCATTCTATGTACAATCTTTGCCTGATGACATACCTGGAGCATCATCGGAGCCGGTTGTGTCTGCGGAAAATGAGAGCAGTTTCGATGATTGACAATCCAGCTCACCTGCTTCTGTATTACTCGCATCCTCTTCCCTCAGTAGGGCCTGCGGTTTTACGAGAAATTTGGTGGTCGTAAACTTATGGCCCTGAAGGTATCCATTTAACGGACCGTAGACCTGAAATTGACTTTTCGGAGGATCTGTGTACCATGAGTCAAGGCGACTCTGGAGGCGTCGAGGAAGACGCGCTGCGGGGTCAAACAAAGCCATGGAATCCATAGCTTCTCGAGTTGCTGGAATTTATACCTTCTGGGATGCGAGGAGCCGAGTCGGCCACCCGTGCATTCTTGGTAGTCCCACCTATCATTCATTATACGACAATACTGTCACAAGTTGCAGATAGGGCGGACAATAACAACCTCTAATGAGCCACTTAAACAATGGCAAACTGCAATCGGTACTATGGACAAGAAGTTGGGCCACTCTTGACCAGATCTCTGGGCAGGCCACATATTTACAAGTCGCCGACAGTCGAAGACATCTTCGGCGACGTTAGTCATCTGCTTATGTACCATCTCTTCAGTATTGTACGCTTAGGGAGAACAACGGTGATGCAGCAAGTGAACATACCGGCCTAAGCAGCTGCACTAGGAAACTCTCCACAAAGGCTCGACATATGTTTCTCTTGAGGAGGCTTGATACGCTGTCCTCTACTACAAGGGTGCATATCCGGCCAACAATGGTCTGCTGTAGTGCGAAGATATCCGAGTCAGGATGACTATGCGCATGCCAAGACTGTACACTGCGTTGTTCTTGAGGATACCACGTGACCGAGAGACACTATAAAAGGCCCCCAAGACGCTGATGTTGAATTTCACCACCATGTCCGGCTCACGTTCGCAAGATGCTGTTTACAGTGGCTACCTAGTGTCGGTGGACGACTTCAAGAACTTCTTTGTGACCATTAAGCCCTCTCTTGCGGGGAGGCCCTTCGACGAGTACGTCGTTGGCTACGACGCCTGGAGATTTCGCCTCCCAAAGGCTGATCAAGCTAGAGTGCCAAGGCTCCGACGTACGTCCCATCTACTCCCTAGTTCTTCAGTTCCTCACTCTCGCTTACAGTGATTCCGCTTCCTGACATCCCTGCATTTTGTATGCCCACCGATGACATGGTCGACAAGGCCTTCTTACCCACTCGTTATGTGCGCTACACTAGCAAGAAACAGCTACGCCGCAACGAAAAGAACAGACACCTTTGGGAGGAAAATGAGAAGGACCGAGCGAAGCTTGAGGAGTTTTCTCGCTTCATTGCGTCTCTGGGTGGCAAACTGGATGTCACGACAGTTGCTGGTTTTGGTTGTTTGAAGGACATGCATCCGAGTTTTACTTGGGGTTTCTGAAAATCTTCTATGCCGACGCTACTGAACTGCGCTCTCTCCACTAGTGGTGAGCGCAAGACTAGTTACCGATTATCTGCTCCGCGTCTTCGCTCAGTACAATACCGCCCATTTGTGTATATTATATAGCAGTTGTTTCCGCCCCGCTATGCCAATGAATCCATCACGCTATGTTTACCATCTTTCCCGTTTTCTGAGCATGTCCGAGATGTGTCTATGGATTGTTGACATTTGAACCACCCCTGGTAGACCGGTGACCGTCTGTATATGACAGCACGTGATATCTGGGAGGAATCTGTCGATATACAGACCGGTAGATCTGAGTTTGAATTCCCGTAGCGTTCAGGTTGCACAGCTTTTTACTTCATATAGTAACTGGCTGAGGTCACGTTACCCTCCACCAAATCCTCTCTTTCACCGCTCAGCGCTCAATGCTACCACGGTCCTCTGCCGATATTCTCGCGAAGGCAACGACGAAGACGAAGCGCAAGAGGCCAACCGTGCCTGCCCATAGAGGACAGAGGCCCTCATTTTCACCCCTCAGCAGTTACCGGTATCAATAATATTTTGGACGCGTGCGCGACCTCGGCATGTGCAGTGTCCGCAGGCAGGACGGCAAGATCTGCGGCAGCTGGTGCAATAAACACGTCGGCGATGTTTGCGACTACCACGTACAAAACGCCGTCCAGTGTAGGCGGGCTGCTCGTCCGGAGTTCTCTGCTGGGCACATTAACCGTCAAATTGATTAATGCAGGGAACGGATGTCGATTCTGTGAGTATTCTCTTTGCTTTCTTTCCGAGTATTCCACTTGACGTCGATCCAAGGTCGCATTCGAAGGCAAAACCGGGAGTGACGATGAAAAGCTTATCCCGGTCTGGCACTTCCAGAACTCCTTGCAGCACGGCTACCGACAAGCACTTCATGTTCGGAAACCCTGAACCAGAGCATTCCAGGCGTTCTTGTATATAGTGGGGTTTGTACCAAATATGACATATTTCGGCCCAACCACATCCCCTCTCTGCTACGAAAGCGCAAGCGCCGTGTATGCGCGAGATGAGCTTTGCGAACTTATGATTATTGTCAAGTTGCACGTAATGGGAATTCTCGAGGAACCTTGTCACATTCAGTCAAGACAAAGAGGAAAAGTCAGGCAAGATATCCAATGGTTCTCCTTCTCACTGAATTCCGACCAGAAAGTGTCAGACACAGGTCGCTGGTGCCCCGGAACTAAGACTGAATACTAGGTGTGCGGTAGCAGCTCTGGAGAAATTTTTCATTTCTCGGGAATCTCCAGAGAGTCTAGCACAAGCGTATTCAGTAATTTTGACAGAAGCAGCACCAGAGAAGGAAAGAGCAGGTGTCCAAGATGGAGCGACGCGTCGCTAGGGGCTCGCGACGCGGCTTGTTGACTGGAACGTGACCTATTAGTTTAGGGTCGGTCGAACTTGCGCATGCTATACAGGGTAGAAGCCGTGCGACCTGAACGCTACGGGAATTCAAACTCAGCTGTACCAGCCTGAATATCGATTCTCATATTCAGGCTGGTCACGAGCCTACACCCCTGGGCTCCTGTGTCGTCTGCGTCGCGTCACATCATGTGATTGTTTCGCTCGCTTCGCGAGCGTTCAAAATGTTGAGTGCTGCTAGTGCTACTGGCTACAGAATCCTAACAGAATCCCGAACCTCGCAAGGGAACTCAGAAACCAAGCCTCGCTTGGCAAAATCTTATTTTACGACTTTAGAACCGTCTCGTCCAGGGGCTTATTTGCCTTTCGCGAAGGCAGTGAACTCTTCGGCTGCGTTTGTTAGATGCCGAGTGTGTTGTATCGAGTACTGGATGACTGTCCGTAAGGTATTTATTCCACAGTAGAATATTTCATAACAAAGTCGGACCTCAAATTCAAAGATAATCTTATAATCTATTCATCTGATTAAACCGCAAGCCTCGTGATTAAAGATAATTGTCATTCCCTGGGCCTCCACCCATCTCTAGCCAGCCATGAATGAAGATGCACTCATATTCCAACAATTCACAGAGCAACTTGAAGAGGAGGCAGATGAAGAGTACTGGGAGATGGGTGCTGCTTCACTCGGCGTCATAGTGGGAGGTGCCGAGATCTCACATCAGTTACGGAATGAACGACGTCGCGAAACCTGCCAATATCTTACCCGCCCTGAACTCCTGGAGAACCCCCGGATTGCGACACCATGGACCTCCCTTTACGACAGCAGGAGTGACCGTGCATATATCACAACCATGGGGTTCGATGTTGCCACCTTCGATTTCATTCTCGAGTGGGGTTTTGTACAGACCTGGCTCTCAACACCCATCCCCCGAACTGATACCTCTCGTTCAGGAGATCCACGACCAGGCGGCCGATCTTTGGATCCCCCAGGGGCCCTTGGCCTTGTCCTCCATTATCTCAGCTCCATGATGCTCGACGTCAGCTTGCAGCAAATCTTTGCTCTCATCCCTGCCACAGTTGTCCAGTATCTTGACTTCTCACTTGACATACTTCTCGAGGTCTTGCAAAGAATGCCAGATGCCCGTATCAAGTGGCCGAAGGGTGGCCCAGGTGGTGGGCAATTCCAAGAATACAATGATCTTATCATTGTTTGACATCCTCGACTGATTGGGGCCTTCGCTGCCATCGACGGATTGAATCTTCCTGTCCAAACATCGGAGGATGAAGATATTGAGAATGCTACCTACAATGGGTGGCTCTCAGAGCATTTTGTCAGCTCAGTACTTGTGTTCTCACCGAAAGGCAAGAACATCATTCACTGATAATATCTTAGGTGAAATCATTGATGCTGTTGTAAATGCACCAGGCAGTTGGCACGATGCTAATGTTGCTCGTCCTATTTTTGAACGGCTTCGCACACGAACACCACCTGGATACTACCTCATTGCTGACACAGCATTTCCTCATGGAACACAATCCATTGCAGGACGCATTCGCGCCCTGCTCAAGGCTGGCCAGGCTGTGCGAGGTACGCCAGACGAGATTGCAGAGCGAATGGCCTATGACCGTGAGCTTCTCTCATATCGGCAAACAGCCGAGTGGGGAAATCGAGGTCTTCAAGGAGCATTTGGTCATCTCCGTGTTCCACTTCCCATTGACAATGCAGAACATCAAGGAAATCTCCTTGAGATCTGCAATCGCCTCAATAATCTGCGCACAAGACGAGTGGGAATCAATCAGATCCGGACTGTATACATGCGATACTGGCAGGACACAGCTGAGGACATTGATATCTGGCAGAACTTTGAGAATATGCTCTTCTCAGATCAACGAAAGAACGATAGAGTTGCTCGCTTCCATACTTACGCAGAATACACATAAACAGGTTTGTATTACAAGCAGGTGTATGGTAATTGTAACGGAACACAACAAGTAACAGAACATAAGTGTAGACAGAAGTAGATGTTGCACTACTCTACTCGTCCTTGGGCCCATCAGCATCCTTGACGTATATATCATCATCGTCACCCTCCTCACCATCTTGGTCCTTGCCAGCTGTGGCAGTGGCAGCATTGGGCTGGGAAGTAGTCAAAGCTTGCAACTCTATGCCAAAGTGATGGCCTGACGACGACGATGACGAAGGCTGGTCTCTATAGTCAATGTCACAGCGGCGACGGAAGAAATTGGGGTCCTCGTTCTCCTTATCACTCTCACCCGAGGTAGAGGAGGGATCCGTGACCCAGTACGTGTGTATACCTCCCTCCGGGTACCTCTCCTCGCAATGCATCTTTCCCCGGACACGCTGGACTGAACGCTTTGTGGACTTCGAGCGCTTGACATACCCATTGTGGCGGCTCCTCCTGAAAGGTCGAGACTGGCGGCTACCCTCTTCAATGAGCTGCAACTGCAACTCAGCACGATCGCGGGCTCGCTGGGCCTCATGAACCTGGGTCTGGAGAGTAGAGAGCTGGGAGCGGAGCGACTCAATGGTAAGGTTGGCGTCTCGAAGTTGCTGGGAAAGGGTGAACATCTGCGAGGCTTGGAAGGAACGCTGGGCACGTTCCTCATCACGAGCTTGTTGGACACTCGGATCAAAGGCATTGGCAAGCTTTCCGATGAGGTCGACATTGTTTGACCGAGAGCGGCGCTGGACAGCGGGGTCAGGTCGGCGGATGATAGCATTCTGGATATCACGGTTGCCAGCGGATGCCGCCTTCCTCGATTTCTTCGGCGCCTCTGGGATGTCGTCGGCATTGTCGTCGTCATCTTCAGATCCACCAGTCAACTGAACAGCATCATCGAAGTCGGAGTCATTGAGATCGCGGGTGGCAGCCCTCTTGTTGATACGCCCGTCAATCTTGTGTGCTCGTTTGATGTCCGGGGGACAATAGGCATCACCAGTGGGCTTCGTGGTCTTAACAAGCTAAGATGTGTTGTAAGTAACGATGTTTCTTACATATAACCAAAAACGGCTGACCTGTTTGAACTTGGTCTCCAGAGACTTTAACGTGCGTTCAGCAGCATCGTTACGATGAGCCCAGCGAGTGAAACCACGGTGGATGGACTGCCACCCGCGTTGGCCAAGAGGGAGCTCCTCCTCGACAAAGTCAAGGAGGGCATCAACCTCGTCTGCAGTGTAGTTGCCAGCACCCTTGGGACGGCCACGCTTGGCTACTACCTCAACTTCTTCATCATCCGAGGCATGCCTGCGCTTGCGAGCGGTGGCCTTCTCCTTTCCCTTATCGCGAGACTCGGTTAGTACAGCGCGCTGTTTGCCCTTGCCCTTCTGACATGATCCAGCAACCTTCTTCGCAGCGGCATGGCCCCGGGACTTCACAATTGTGACCGGGTCAGAGAGGTCGTCGTCCGAGACCTCAGGAAGAGGTAAAAGCGCTGGATCGATCACTGCAGTAGAAGGGCCGGCTGTCGGGGCTCGAGTGGATGCAACAATCTAACACAGCATTAGAACAAAGGAGATATATGATCTAGGAGGCTACATACCACAAGAGCCTCAGAAAGCGGTTGGTTTGGACCATCCTCCATGTTATTATGGGGGCGAGTCTGACGAAAACAAGTCAGGACTGGTGTAGACAACAATAAGATATAACAAAATGTACCGGGGCAGTTTCGTTCTGGGACACAGCAGGAAATCCATGAGTTGCAGTAGGGACAGACTGAAAGAGAAGGAAAGAGGGATTGAGACATGTAGAGACACCATATAGGGTAGGGTACCTACCTGAGAAGTCACCATGGTTGGCGCGTATAACTGAACCCAATGACCAGAGACATCTTGGACATATGGCTGCCCAAACCTGTCATATCGGATGTTAGGGTTGCCAGGAACAGGGGTAAGTTGGTTGGGGTCCATAGCGGTTGATGAAGAGGTAGAACGAGCTGAGTTTTGGTGACACGAAGCCTGGGAGGTAGCAGCAACGACTCACCACTTTTATACCTATCTCTCCATGCATTTCAGCCGTCTTCCGCTCCTCATTTCCCCTCCTAAGCCTTCGATAATGTTCCTCAAGCCATTCAAGACCGTCTCGAGACCGCTAGCGAGCGCAATTAAGCCCCTGGCAATGCGGGCTGCAGCCAATAAAGGACCTAATTGCAGACCCTGCTCATGATTGGATGTGATTAGCATGGTACGAGGAAGTAGTAGCATGTAATGACTCACTCTCACACATGAAGGGGGCTTTGGCAAGCTCGATGGGCAACGATGGACGACAACGATGGACGATGACGAAGGTTAAGATAAGAGCACGGCGTAAGCAAACAGGGAGTTGTTTGGTTGTGCATCACGGGACAAACAGTTTATTCGACCGAAAAAAGTCTATTCGAGGGGGTAGGACCCTCTGAATAGATTAAGGTTTATTGAGGGGCCCAACCAGGCACGACGGATAATCCGCGTTGACATGTTGGCAGCGGCATCGCGGCATCACCGCCAAGGAGCACGAATATAATCTATTGCGGCGAATAAATGCTTACGGACAGTCATCCACTAGTGAAAGTAATATGTTTGATTTTATCTCGAGCTATTTAGTAGATCGAGTACTGGACCAACAGCGCTTGCATCAAAGCAGCGGGTCCGTTTCCGTCAACAGCATATACCGTTCAGATGTTGGGCGTCGATGTTGGAACAATTTTCAATATACGTTCATAAAGCACAGTTCTCCCTCCGAGGTACTGACCACATAAACGCCATAGCCTAAGTAATTGAATGGGCGGAAGGTGACCTAGTCGGGCCTGGCGATCAAGTGACCCATTGTCAACATTTTCGACAGATGAATTGCTGAAAGCGACGAAATTTTGATATGATTCGGTAAAAATAAATGGGTTGCTCGAGGGACCGGCCAATGATGAAGGAAAGCTAGACGCCCACAGGAGACCCAACAGGAGCGAAGTTGGTGCGGGTCGCATCACCGAAATAGTGTCGGTAGAACTGAAAGAAAAGCAGAATGTCTTGCGCTGCCCTGCTATTCATGCACGACCTATTTCTTGGCACTCGTCATCACAGAATGCCCTCACGTATGCCTCGAAAAGCTAGAAACTGAAAGACATACCGAAAACGTGCTTATGCAGGTTGAGGCGATAGAAGGAACCGTCGAACAATAGCGAAGGAACGTTCTGGAGATGAACGTATAAAAGAACACCTCTAGATTGCTTCTCCGCACGGCCTAGGAATCAGGAGTGGACTCGATGCCCCATGAGACGTTATGCGAAGGTACTTAGGAAGATGGACTGGAACTTCAAACGGCGTTCATCCGTGCTTCCAAGTGTGCTTGGGCGACGAGATAGGGATTCTGTTGATAGTACGGAGGATGAGTGCAGGGAACATAGAAACGGGTCAAAAATGTACCTCCATCTACTGGAATGCCAGCAACTTGCGGAACCAAAAGGTATGGCATTAGCTGCGTCCAACTTGTCCATCACATTTGCCGTCATCATTCTTGAATGTATGAGGAAAGAGAGAATGAAGTTGTGATGCTGATTTATGTTTCCGATGACTAGTAGTTATGTACAAGCACCTGACGGGAAAGAAAGAGAGAGAGACTGTCCTTCAAGAAATAGAAGTGTGGATGAAAAGAACGCTGGGGTGAAAGCCAACGTTAGAAACGCCAGCGAGAAGAAAGTTGGAGGCAAAATGCGGTGGTATCGTCAAGAATGTGATGCAAGGCGGAAATAATGATGATCGGTGTCGATGAGAGTTCACGTTGATGAAAAGAAGAAGAAAAAAAAGGAAGACTGTGAGGAGAGAGAAGCTGCAGATGCGTCATGATGGTGTCGTGATGGTTCGTAAGTGCAGATGCAGTGGCCAAAGGTAAGAATGTGACAGGATGGGTGCGTTGTGCTGATGATGTCGATGATGTGTGAGGTGGTGATGGTGGTGGTAGGGGGTCTGAGCAACGCCCGAGATGTGGTGGAGCGACACTGAACCCAAGATAAAACAATAGGCCAAGAAACTCAAAGGAAAATCCGCAAGAGAACGGGTTTCAAGAAAAATAAAACCTTAAACCGCAGCCCGTCTCAGGTCCGCCATCCTCACATTCACTCCATGGCAGTCCTCCAACCACACCCCGCGCTCGCGACAACGCTCCAGCACAGCCGTCCAGAACCTGAGTACCTTCTTGCCCTGAGCCTTCGCGAGGGCGTCCTCAGCTTGTCGGGCATTGAGCTGCGCTTGCGAAGGCTTGCATCTGAGCTTCTTGACGAGTGACGGGTTCGAGGGCGTCGGTGTGGAGAGCTCGAACGGCGAGAACGTCGTAGGAGGCGATGGATCGGATGGCAGCCTACCCATACGGCCCGTCTTGCGCATCATGTTGCTCGCCGCGCTCATGTCGCGCACGTACAACAGCGATGGGAACGCAGCGCGCCTCAGCAAGCTCCCAAACTGCTCTAGGAGCATGAAGTACGGATCCTCCTCCTCGCTTGCCTGCGGGGCATGCTCGTGCCGCCTCATCGCCTCATCCGCATCACCCACCAGGCGACGCTCCATGTCCCGCACGCCGATGAACTGCAGGCCTGCGTGTGTTGGGAGGAGGACGTGCGGTGCGATCCAGTCAGGCGACTGCCAGTTCCATTCGGCATCGGCACTACAGATGAACTCGCGGAGGTTCGGGCACCATGCGTCGAGCGGGATTTGGAAGCGGCCGGAAGGGGTAGTGCCGTTCGGGTTCCAGTTGGCGTTGGCGTTCGCATTGGTGGAAGCGTTTGCGTTGAGGAAGGATCGTGGCTCCGTCACCCAGAATTCTTCGATCTCGCCGCTGGAGTGGCCCAACTCGAGCTGCTCAATCTTCGCCCCATGCACTTCAAAGAACTCCTGGAACCCCGCCCCTGCGTACCCAAAGTCGGCTGCGATGACCGAAAGGTTCGTCAGGAGGGGCATGCTCCATGTCGAGAGAACCGAGAACGTCGCATTGTCGAGAGTGACCTTCAGTGATCGCAGAGCAGGAAGGGTGAGGGTGGGTTCGGCGAGTAGATTGTCGGGTGATGGCGGTTGCGCAGAGCACAGCGGGGCGTCGGAGATGAACCTCGAGGTGGTCGTGTATGAGGCCTCCAGCTCGGTCAGCTGTGCAGCTGATGCGAACACGCCGCCCTCCAGTGAATGTGCGATCGTGATCCGGGGTGCCTTCCTTCTCTCGTACCTCTCCACGTCTATACCGTCGCCCATACCCGCACCTGCGCCTCCAACGCCCCAGCTCCTGCTCTCCGATGCCCTACCGCCCATCCCGTAGACACCCTCGCCACTCATCACGATCTCCAACAACTCCAAGTCCTTTCCAACTTGTGCCAAACGCGGGCGGACGACGTCTTCGTACAGCCTGACGCTGCGATCGTAGTCGTCCATGTCATAGGCATAGTTTGTCCAGGTGAGGCGCTTGAGGGGGCGAGCGAGGAGTGACGTCAGCAGTGCATCGGACGTCACCAACGGTGTCGGTGCGCTCGAGAACGGGGCGACGTCGGACAAGCTCAGCACGAGGGGGTGCATCGGTCGGCGCACGCTCCGGCAGTCCGTGTACACGTCTAGGAGTGGGCAGTGCTGGAGGATCAATAGCACATCATGTGGGCTGCACTTGTCCATGCTCAGCGTCTCGATGTGCAGGTGGCGGATGTGCTTGCCCGGATTCGCGTTCGCACTCGAGAGCGAGGACATCGAGCGACGGTGCCTTGGCTCCCTCCTCTCTTCGCCGGCATAGACGACCGTCGCAGGAACAAGGGCGTTTCCGCCAAGGCGGCCGGCCAGAGCTCGCCCTTCCCTAGCCTTGGAAATCCAAATGTGCTCGTACAGCACCTCCTGTGCGAGTAGGTTCCAGAGGCGGCACACGCGGGTAAGGGAAGCCTTCCATCGAAGGTGGCTGTTGTACCTTGTCACGCGCTCGTGGAAATGGGTGTGTGCGGGATTGTGCTCCAGGAACGAGAATGAAGGAGAGGGGTCGATGGGGTACGCTGATGTGGAAAAGGAGGACAGGCTACGCAGGTCGTATGGCGATGTCGCATACTGCAGAATATGCAGCCAGAGCTCGATGGGCAGCCGTGGGGTGAATATACCGGGTACCTGAGGCTTGACCGTCAAGAATGGGTCGTCTTCTTGCTCGGCCTCGGTGTTCTTGCGTGGTTTCGCGTTGTGAAAATGTGGAAAGAGCGACTTGAACGATCTTGAAGGTCTGTGTGCACAGTTAGCTACCATGGTCAAAATCGGTGGGAATTGGCGAAAAGAACGGAAAGAAGCAGCCAATGCCGTTAATCAGACGTCGGGATGTTGGGCAGTTGTGATCAGATATGATGTAAGGAGGTGAATAAGACGGATCGAAAGCTGTATGGACAAGAAAATGGACTGGAAGTGATGCTTAGGAGCTATTGTCGGGAAGAGGAGCGTGCGGAGAGGGGCATTCAAGAAACAGGGGAGAAAAGGCGGCTTGGCACTGCGGCCGTCCCCTGACAGCAGGCCTGTGGATGGTGACTCTAGCCTTTAGGGCAAGGGCACTGGCGGTGATTAAACGGAAAAGAAAGGCGAATAGACGACCAGAAGAAAGTGACGGAGGGTGAAAATTGCAAAGATAAAGCGTGGTCGTCGTGAACGCTATGCACGCGGACAGAATCGGAGAAAAGAGGCCGCAAAAAGCTTTTCGCCACTCACTTCTTGTTGACTACGTGCAATGCATCGAGTGAAGGAGGACTACGAGACAGATATTTTCAGTCCACAAAGCAAGAGATAACAAGAATGAAACCCACTGAGACCCCGAATGAAAAGACGATGTTACTCGCTCGTACAGTGAGCCAAGCTTCCTGCTGGCACTCGAACGGCGCTTCGATGCTCTTTTAGTCGACAATTCGGGCGTCGTCGTCGTTGGCATGCTGCTACTTGACGAAGAACTGGTAGACCTCTTCGTATCGGATGTCGACGAGGTGTCAACAGATGAGTGTATCGTTGTTGAAAGGATCGCCGAGGTAGGAAAGACGAGCTGCTCGCGTTCCATGTTGTCGAACGGCGTCGTCCACGTCGTCCACGGCGACAAAGATGGTGGTGGTTGCGGTTTAAGTTGGTGCTCACCCCTCGCCGCTGGTGGTGGCTAACCTTAACCACACTTATTCCAAATTTGGAGGTACCCCTGTCCCTCTCCCAGGGTCAAGTCTCTGGAAAACCCCGCTTGCTGGATGCGGGTCGGTACCGATAAAGAGACAGCGAAAGCCACATAATTGACGCATTAGTGATTATAAGAGTGCAATAAATCCCGTTTTCGCAGGAGGGAGAAATGTTTATAGCTACTCGGCGAAATCGAACTCTTCCATGTCAGTTTCCGTGGGTAAGCGCTGGTGATTTGCACACGAATCTAACGGTGAATCTACGGCTTTGAAGACTGGTTTCTCACCGTACAACAGTTGGACACTCGGCATGACTTTTTGTAAATGCAACGCGTTGATATGCACGGAAGACACTTGTGATCATGCGATCAGGTTGCATGTCTATACTACAAGATATCCTTCTCCGCTGCTGCTCGTCATCTCCCCCTTTTCTTCTGTGTTCAACCTCTCGCAGTCTTCGCTCTCGAATTCGACCAAGAATTCAAGTGGGCCTGAAAAATGAAGAACGGAAGTGTCGTACGCAGACGGATGGATGATCATCGGCACTCCCATCTCTCTGCACACGTCACCCTTCGGTTCCTGAACCAATGTTTTCAATGACATCCGTGGAAATCTGCCAATTCCAGAAGGCTTGACTCGGAATACTTCACGAGCAACCCGCTCGCATGCTTCGTAGGACGGGGGCAATCCAACGAGAGCAGCCCGGTTTCGAGCTGACCAAGTCAAATGCATAGAAGCTTTACTTGCGGGTCGAGGCGGAGACGCGTTTAGCCATGCCTCAACGGATGGATAGGGATTGTAAAGCATTGGGGTTCTTATCTCCGGATTCCATACCAGCGTCCTACCACCTGGAAGGTCCGCGTAGGGGTTGGGAGTGTGGCTGGGCATGGGGAGGTGGGAGATTTTGAATACCCCAATCTCCGAGTTGGCCAGGACGACTTTGTCCCAGTCTTCCTTGTCGAAAATAGCAGATACATTTTTTGCAGGGTGATCCCCTTGCACGATGAGTTTTAAAACAAGTTCGTCCTCCGAGGTAGCTCCCAAGACGGAACCAAGCAAACGTAATGCAACATTCACACCTTCCTAGATTTCCAAAGTCAATTTTCTGATCAATGAGTCGTAGGGTAAATCTTACCTCGTATGACGTAGGACGGGGGACAAGAGCTCCCTGGGCATTAGGGGTGGAAGTCAAAGCTCGACCTTCGTCGACAGCGAAGAGCACGAATCCTGCGTTTGGTGGACGCCATTAATGACAAGATAGGTTTGGAGTACACATAAGTGCTTGCCAGGTGGGATTTGGGTTCTGGACGGAGGAGGTTGAATCGATACAGGCTGGGGGGCTGAGAGAAGGGACGGAGGGAAAACAATTTCTGAGTTGGGTACGGTTGTCGGCATGTTGCTAGAGGTGATGATCGATGAAAGACAACAGAGGTATGCTCCGACCCTCTTTATATTGATCTTCGGCGTTTGGTATTCCCTATGGGGCATTCGATCTTACGCTGGCGAGTGTTTTCGATCGCTCGTGGGCTTCCCAAACCCTGTCGCGCCATCGCCGCGGGCATTTCGCGCGATAAGATATTGGCAGAAGTTGGCGGAAGCGGTGCATGATCGAAGATGCGCTGGGCTGAGGATGCCTCAATGAGTCGTTTTGGGCGGTGTCGTGCTGAGGAGATTTCACATCCTGCATGAACTCGTTCCGAGGGTGTTTGAAGTGATTATTGACCATCTTTATTGGCTGGCTTCTTTCTGACTTCAATACAACTATTATTTTGAATGCTTTCGAAGCGCGCACCTGTTGAAACGATCAAACATCTTTTACCGTTCTGTATGAACATAGCAGCTAGCATAGGCGCAGGGGATGATTCAAAGGGCAACGTTTCAACACTATCACATCTTAGAAAACGGAAGGGCAATAAAAGTAGCCTGATGGCTTCGCTGACATGATAGGGAGGAAAAACTACTACTTACATACAAATAGGTGATATTTATCGTACGCTGAGCGAACATGCGAGGCTGACAATGGGTAACTAGTCTTGCGTTCACCACTAGCAGAGAGAGCACAGTTCAGTAGCGTTGGCATAGAAGATATTCAAAAACCTGGGGTGAAATCCGGATGCGTGTCCTTCAAACAACCAAAACCAGCAACTGTCGTGACATCCACATTACCACCAAGAGATGCAATGAAGCGAGAAAACTCCTCAAGCTTCGCTCGGTCCTTCTCATTCTCCTCCCAAAGGTGTCTGTTCTTTTCGTTGTGGCGTAACTGTTTCTTGCTAGTGTAGCGCACATAACGAGTGGGTAAGAAAGCCTTGTCGACCATGTCATCAGTGGGCATACAAAATGCAGGGATGTCAGGAAGCGGAACCACTGAAAGAGAGAGTCAGGAACCGAAGAATTAGAGGGTAGACGGCACATACGTCGAAGCCTGGGCACTCTAGCTCGATCCGCCTTTGGGAGGCGCCGTCTCCAGGAGTCGTAGCCAAAGACATGGTCGTCGAAGGGCCTCCCGGCAAAAGAAGGCTCAACAGTAGCGAAGAAGGTCTTGAAGTCGTCCACCGCCATTAGGTAGCCGCTGTAAACAGCATCTTCCGAACGTGAGCTGGCCATGGTGATGAAGTTCAAGTTCAAACTTCAAGTTCAACGCTACATATTTAGTATTCAACATCATGCCAACCACTGATCAGCGGGCCACAGATCAGGCACGTGACCATGAGACGCGACCGCCGACCATGCCGCATCGAAGGCCGCGTCTTTCACTCTCTTTCACTACATAAGCATTAAGTACTCGAACATCGAACATCACAGCAGGATACCCCGCATGGGCGCGGGAGGTGGCTCAAATGTTAAACGTTAATATTCCGGACACATCTCAGAAAACGGAAAAGATGGTAAACATTGCCTGATGGATTCACTGGCATGACGGGACGGATAAAATTATAGTATACACAAATGGACGCTATTGTACGTTGAGCGAAGACAGAACCAGATAATTGGTAACTAGTCTCGCATTCACCACTGGCGTAGAGAGCGCAAGTTAGAGGCGTTTGCATGGAAGATATTCAAAAACCCGGGGTAAAATCCGGATGCGCGTCCCTCAAACAACCAAAGCCGGCAACTCTTGTGACGTCCAGATTGCCACCTAGAGACGCAATGAAGCGAGAAAACTCCTCAAGCTTCGCTCGATCCTCCTCATTTTCCTCCCAAAGGTGTCTGTTCTTTTCGTTGCGGCGTAGCTGTCTCTTGCTAGTGTAACGCACATAACGAGTGGGGAGGAAGGCTTTGTCGACAGTGCCATCGTCGGGTAGACTTAATGCGGGGATGTCAGGAAGCGGAACCACTGCAAGTGAGAGTGAGAGACTGAAGAACTCGAAGGTAAATGGCACGTACGTCGAAGCCTTGGCACTCTAGCTCGCTCAGCCTTTGGGAATCGCCGTCTCCAGGAGTCGTAGCCCATGACATACTCGTCGAAGGGCCTCTCAGCCAAAGAGGGCTTAATAGTAGCGAAGAAGGTCTTGAAGTCGTCCACCGACATTAAGTAGCCACTGTAAACAGCATCTTCTGAACGTGAGGGCGCCATGATGGTTAGACTGAACTTGCACTGTAATGCAGTGCCACCATGCCGAAGGAGATTCCGCCGGTGATATCCGGGACTGTGGCCACAACAAGAATACGGGCATAAATCTAAAAGACGTCAAAGATGAAGCAATTTACAGTGAATACTACTACACATAAAATGGAGGAAACAACTTCAATTAGCATATCTAGACTTTAGACTTCAAGATATCCTTCGCCCCCACTGCTGTTCGTTTACTCGCCCCTTTCCTTCATCTAGAAACGATCACATGATACGTGATGTAACCATGTCGCGTCTTTCACTTAAGTATGTTCAGGAACATCGGACATCGCAGCAGGATGGCCCGCATGATGGTTCAAATGTCAACATTCCACAGACATCGCAGAAACGGAAAAGAGGATAAACGTAGCCTCATGGATTCACTAGCATGACAGGGTAAAGGAAACTGCTATATACCAAATACAAATGGGTGGTACTTATTGTACGCTGGGCGAACATGCGATGCTGATAACGGGTTACCAGTCTCGTTTTTACCACTAGTAAAGAGAAAGCAGTTCAGTAACACGTTGGCATAGAAAACATTCGAAAACGTACGTTTCCCCAGGCAAAATCCGGATGCCTGTCTTTCAAACAACCAAAGCCAGCAACTCTCGTGACGTCTAGATCGCCACCCAGAGATGCAATGAAACGAGAAAACTCGTCAAGCTTCGCTCGGTCCTCCTCATTTTCCTCCCAAAGTTGTCTGTTCTCTTCGTCGCGGCGTAGCTGTTTCTTGCTAGTGTACCGCACATGACGAGTGGGGAGGAAGGCCTCGGATGATCAGGGAGCACACACAAGGAAACAATGAGGATCATGTTCTTGAAACCATGCAAAATCACCTGAGCATCACTGACAATCAATCAAGCTCATCGAAATTGTACTCCCGCTTATTCACTGACTGGCGACATTCCTGAATGTATCGCCAATTAATTTGAAAAACCAGGTTCACGTTCGGCGAATTGTTCGAGTTGTTGAAGCTCTCTGTCCCAGTTATCCAGATCTTCGAGGCTGCGAAGGGCAAATTCAGGACTCAAGTCCCCGACCCGTCCGACTGGTTACTTGGTCAGCTTACATGCTGAGCATTGGGATGAGAGACTCAGTCATCCCATTATTTCATGGTAAAAATATGAATGCTGATAGATAGTGAAACGACGAGGGCAGTGAATAGGCACAGGATTCCGGGGCCAAGAGATGAGTTGTTGAATGTTGAGATTTTTTGTTCTCAGCTCATGGAAAGCCATTACTGCAATAGATATCCATCTTTTATACCCCACCGGCTCCCAGAAGAACCATATCAAGGCATTGAAGAGCCGATGTTCGACCCCTTCCAAGCTATGCTTCCGCGGTTGCGTGGTTCGAACGGCTTCCAGACAGATTTGAGGGACCAAACGGAGCACGCTCTCCTCGGGAAGAACTTGCCATCTTCTCAAGATGGATTTTGAGGATCGTGGTTACCACCTTTAGGCACCACGCAGCTCTTCGGATAGGAAGAATGCGGAGGCGAATATTGCGGAATGTGCATTTCCAGAAGTTGCACGCAGCCATCCTGGTTCTGAGTTGTTGATGTTGTGCCTATTCGAATTCATAGCATTCCTAAATCCTGTCGTTCGGTATGATCCTCCACTTCTTGCTGAAGTAATTCAGTCATTCTTACGGTATTGCAGCCCGGAACCAAGAGTACACAACTCTACAACAACACACATCTATAGAATGACGCACTCTGCGATACGCTGACCCCCTTATCACCCAGTTTTCGCTTTCAGTTGCCTCCACAACGTCAGGTACATCACTCCTCCCAGACCGACGACTGCCATCTGGACTCCGATGTAGTTCACCATACCCATTTTCACACCTGCACCTCCAAGGACCGCACCCGTAACCCGTCCCGTGTAATTGCTGTACTGGATGGCCATGCTCACCCGCCCGTTCCACTCGTCAGGAAGCTGCTTCGAGAGTAAGCTCAGCGTACATGTGCTGGCGAGGTTGAACCCCAAGGCGATGAGGAACCAGCACACAAAGAGCGACCCGAAGGTAACCTTCGATGTGACGAGTAGCACGAGCATGAGGAGCAGGCCTAGGAAGCCCATGGAGGTGCCTGCGGCGAGGGTGACACGGTCTTGGATCCGCCGCGCCTGCCAGACGTTGAGGAGCAGGAAGGGGAAGGAGCAGAGCCCACCAAGGGCAATGAAGTTTCCGGCCTTGTACGGCGAGTAGCCCATCGTCTCAGAGGTGAAAACAGGGATGTTGGCTTCCCAGCTGCCGAGGATGAAGAAGCACGTCATCGAATAATAGCACATACACACGATGACACCCCATTGCGCCGGGCTGATATGGTGATGCGGGCACGGTGCAGGCTCCTGACCGGCAGTCATTTCGATAGGTCGTTCAAGGGGACGTGGGTCGACGTCCTTGAAAATGAGGTTATGCAACCCCCAGAACATGACCCAGACGAGGGCCATGATCCATCCAGGGCTCGTCACGCCGTTGAAGATCGGGTTAGGGAAGCCGATCTTGTACAGCACCCCGCCTAGGAATGGGCCTGCCGTGAACCCGAAGCCCTGTCCCACGACAAGCCAGCTCGCGAGTGTCGTGCGCCTGCGGGTGCCCACAATGCGTGGGTCAGAGCAGTACCGCTTGGAGTAGAGGAAGGAGATAAAGCCGAAGCCTGAGACCATTCGGCCGATGAGGATGAGGTAGAGGAAATGGGCCTGGTAGGCGAGGGCGTATAGGATGTTGCCGAGGACCATGGCGACATAGGAGAGGTTCATGGCCATGTTGTACTGACCTATAAGCTTGATCAGAGCTCGTAAGGATGCGAAACGAGAAAGGCGAACCTCCGTCTAATCTCGTTATGAAGATCAGGGCAAATCCAGAGCAAACGGTCGGGATACCGATTGTGAGCCCCGAGAAAGTTGCTGATCCTCCCAACATTTCGGCGTATAAGCTAGCAGACGACACGATAACGAAGAAAGACAGCTGAATGGCGTTCAATGACTTCGTAGAGGAAAATTAGACAGAAGATGATACCTGAAAGAGAGCGTTCCCTCCGATGACGATGAACAAAGACCTCCTGGTTGGTAGCTTGAATTCCGAGTTTTCTGGGGCAGAGTCCTCGGAATCCACACGTTGGATGAATGCTTCACGCGTCGCAGAGACGATTCCTGTGAGCTCTGATATTTTAGAGACATAGCCGGACTCTTTCTTCGACCTTGAGGAGGAAGCATCGCTGTGAACTTGGTGAATGCGCTCGGCGTAATCGATAGCGGTGGTTATTGGGAGGTCCGTAGACGCCATTATTGAGGGCGAGGTTCCCAAAACGTTGCTAAATACGTTCCGTCCGAGGAAAGAGAGAAAATGGGAACGGAGCAACTGCGTTTTTTCATCTTATGAAGGCTTCCTGTTTCCTCACGGCGTCCCGCACGGATAGATCTAGATGAGTCATGCGATTACCAATGGGTGTTCCCCGCGGCGTTTCGCTTGCTACGGTTGGGAAACCAACACTTGATCATGTTTCAAACACAAGTCTTCCGTCACGCCGGCGTCGCTGTCGCTGGTCCGCAGAAGAAAATAGTACCAATGAGAGAAGAGCGAAACTTGGAACTCGCACAGTCAGTAGTCGTCCAAACTTGGCTGGGAGTTGCACTTGCCTTCCCCCGATTCTTTCGTAGCTTGAAATGGGCACACAAAACTCTTGAGGGGATTGTGGTGCTGCGTAGGAAAGCTTTCAACAGGATATATGACGGGGGATCAAAAACCTACGTATGCCAGGCTATCGGAACGAAACTCTGGATCTACGCATTACGATAGCGAAGAATACGGCTTCAAATTACTCACATAAATAACTTACATATCTTCGAGCTCGATTCTAGGGTTCCACCAAGATTCCACACCCGTGAACTGATTTTCGAACGAACTTTTTCTTTCGGGGAAATTTGAGCATATTTGAGAATTGCAATTTGGCTTTGGGTATTGACGACATTATGGACCCATGTAATCCCATTGCTATTCCAATCTCTGAGAATTCGTGGGGTGGAGTACTGATCTGGTGCGCATTATCGAAAGAAAATTGGAACAATTTGAATTTTGAACGCCTTATTCACCCACAACCCCCAGCTTTCGCCTTGTTCCAGTATTCCGCAGGCCAGCTCTAGATCTGGCTCGGAGACACCCTTTCGTCCCATCGTCGCTACAGTCGCGACGACCACGTCCAGAGGACAGGCGCAAAATTTTCTGGAAGAGAGCCCGGCTGACGTGGTTGTTGTTGTTAGGTAGCTCTTGAGGAATCCTGACACACTGGCCAAGAGTTGAATAAGGAAGAGATGAAGATTTGAGACCGAGAAAGGCTTACAGACTGGTACAGACTCACTACATACCATAGAATCATCGTAGTCAATGTAGAACCTGGACAATGAGTAACGATTCCGCCGGAGATGTGCCCATGATCATCCGGTCTTCGCCTTGAGTTGCTTCCACAATGTCAGGTACATCACCCCTCCTAGGCCAACAACCGCAATCTGCACCCCCACGTAGTTCATCATCCCCATCGTCACACCAGCCCCTCCTAGGACGGCACCCGTCACTCGCGCCACGCAGTTGCTATATTCAAGAGCCATATTCAACCTCCCATTCCACTCGTCCGGAAGCTGCTTGGAGGCCAAGCTCAACGTACACGTGCTAGCGAGGTTGAACCCCAAGGCGATGAGCAACCAGCACACGAAGAGCGACCCGAAGGTAACCTTCGATGTAGCGAGTAAAAGGAGCATGAGGAGTAGGCCTAGAAATCCCATGGAAGCGCCTGCGGCGAGGATGACACGGTCTTGGATCCGCCGCGCCTGCCAGACATTGAGGAGGAGGAAGGGGAAGGAGCAGAGCCCACCAAGGGCAATGAAGTTTCCTGCTTTGTATGGCGAGTAGCCCATTGTCTCCGCAGTGAAGACCGGGATGTTAGCTTCCCAGCTCCCAAGGATGAAGAAGCACATCATCGAGTAATAGCACATGCACACGATGACACCCCATTGCGCCCGGCTAATCTGGGGTGGCTGGCGCGGGGCCGTCTCGTGCTCTGCGCTCATCTCGATAGGTCTTTCATCAGAGCGCGGGTCAACATCCTTGAAGATTAAATTGTGCAGCCCCCAGAACATGACCCAGACGAGGGCCATGATCCATCCAGGGCTCGTCACGCCGTTGAAGATTGGGTTAGGGAAGCCGATCTTGTACAGTACTCCACCGAGGAACGGGCCAGCTGTGAACCCGAAACCTTGTCCAACGACGAGCCAGCTTGCGAGCGTCGTGCGTCGCCGGATGCCTACAATCCGTGGGTCGGAGCAGTACCTCTTGGAGTAGAGGAAGCAGACGAAGCCGAGACCCGAGACCATTCGGCCGATTAGGATGAGGTAAAGGAAGTGGGTTCGGTAGGCGAGGGCGTATAGGATGTTGCCGAGGAGCACGGCGACGTAGGAGAGGTTCATGGGCATGCTGTATTGACCTGGATTTGGGATCAGAAAGTGTGATGAAGTTCAAGCTGAATAGGAAGAACAGACCTCCGTCTATTCTCGTTATGAAAATCAGCGCAACGGCAGAACAAACGGTTGGGATACCAATTGTGAGTCCCGAGAAAGTTGCTGATCCTCCCAACATCTCTGCATATAAGCTGGCAGACGACACGATCACGAAGAAAGACAGCTGAACTACGATTAGAATCCTATCATGGACACTTAAGAGTTGAACGTTGGGCACTCACCTGAAAAAGAGCATTCCCTCCGATGATGATGAACAAGGACCTCCTACTCGGGAGCTTGAATTCCGAGTTTTCTGGAACGAACCCCTCTGAATCGATATCCTGGATGAACGCTTCACGCGTCGCTGAGACGATTCCGGTGATTTCTGAGATCTTGTAGACATAGCTGGAATCTTTCTTGGATTTGGAGGAAGACGCGTCGTTCGGAACTTCGTGAACACGATCGCTGTATTCGATAGCCGTGGTTATCGGAATACCAGCGGATGACATTGGAGGAAAGACTAGGTGGGTTGGTCTTATCGAGGAAGAGAGGGCACTGCCGTCTGCCAGAAGAGGGGGAAACTAAGCGAGCTTCTTCATCTTCCCTTGTTGGCCACGATTGGAAAGGCGATGGATGTCGGCGCACTCATATCTCTTGTTCCAAAAAAAAAAAAAGTGTTCCATCCTGCCGACGGCTTTGCGATTCTTTGGAATTGCCTTCATAAGAGCTGGGAACTCTGCGTTTTATTTTTGGGCTTTATATAGGAAGTCGGCTGACTAATCTAATATTTGAAGCGGAGCTTGAATTGTCTTTCATCGTTCCAAACGAAGGCGCGCTCGTTGCAGACAGCGAGCTCACCGTCGACCCAAGAGACAATGGACACCCCCAAGCGCTCAGGATCAACCGTACCCAGCTCATCAGACTCTAAACGTATCAAGCTTACGGTCCCACAACAACCCCAAGGCGCTTCACCAGTCGACCCCGAAAATGCGCCAGGAAAGCGGAGCGAGCTCGACCCTCTCGTTTCTACTGACATTGGCAACCTCCCACCCAACGAGGGCTCATCAACAGGTCCGGAAACAGGATCGGGAAAAGTGCGGGTGTTGAAGGAGGATGGTGACGACGACGAAGGCGGGACTGGGGGACCAGGCGACGCGGACGTGTCTATGGCCGACGGTGGCGACGACGAGGGTGACTCGGGCGACGACAACGACGATGAAGACCCGGCTCAGCTCGAGGCGACGCGTCTCCGGTTGGAGGAACAAGCGCGCAAGTATCTCGCGGCCCAGACCCATGAAGTCATCGTACCCTCATATTCGGCCTGGTTCGATATGTCGAAGATCCACCCCGTTGAACAGAAAGCACTCCCAGAGTTCTTCAATTCGAGGAGCCGGAGTAAAACGCCGGCCATCTACAAGGACTACCGCGACTTTATGATCAACACATACCGCTTACGCCCAACCGAATACCTCACCGTCACAGCCTGCCGAAGGAATTTGGCCGGCGATGTGTGTGCCATTATGCGCGTTCATGCGTTCTTGGAGCAGTGGGGATTGATAAACTACCAGGTGTGTGGTCTCGTAACGGTCTTTTCCACTCTTTCTTACCTGTGGTAGATCGACCCCGAACTACGCCCAGCAGTCCTGGCTCCCCCATTCACGGGCCACTTCCGCGTCGTTCTCGATACCCCCCGAGGCCTACAATCTGTTCACCCTGGGACACGGCCCAACCCTGCCACAGGCGGCCTGAACGGTTCGAAAGTCCCCACCGCCCCAGCGGCCCCCGCTTCCCTCGAACTTCGCAACTCCATCTACCAAACCACTGCCAAAGCCTCACGACCCATCACATCCTCAGAAGCCACCGCCCTTGCCAACGGAAGCGCTCCTGTCAGAGCCAACGGCACGGGTGCTGCATCACAAAACGTCGCCCATTCATGCGACACCTGCGGGGCAGACTGCACGCAGGTGCGGTATCATTCGCTCAAGGACAAGAAGATGGAGATCTGCGGCCCCTGCTACCTCGATGGGCGGTTCCCATCGAACATGTACAGCGGCGACTTCGTGAAGCTTACCGCTGCCGCGAGCGCCGTGTCGCAGGGGAGCGGTGCAAGCGACGACTGGTCGGACCAGGAGACGCTGCTCCTGCTAGAAGGCGTGGAGATGTACGACGACGACTGGTCGAAGATCGAGGAGCATGTCGGCACGCGGTCGGCTCAGCAGTGCATTCGCCGGTTCCTTGAGCTGCCAATCGAGGACCCGTATCTGAACACCGAGGGTTCGATGGGACCACTGAGGTTCGGCAGGATACCGTTCGAACAGGCCGACAACCCTGTTATGAGCGTCGTCGCGTTCCTCGCTGGCGTCGTCAGCCCAGGTGTCGCGGCTGAGGCTGCAAAGACCGCCCTGCATGTGCTGACCGACGGCTCCACTGCCGAAGAGAAGGAAAAGTCTTCCGAAAAGAAGGCCACCGAGGACGAGAACCGGATGGACGAAGACCCAAAAGAGGACTCCGCCGCAACCGCAGAAGGCAGCAAGCCGAAGCACGCCCTCCCCCACTCCCAAGTCGTCCGCGCCGCCGACCTCGCCCTGAAGTCCTCCGCCAAAGCCGCCCAGGCTCTCGCTGACGCCGAAGATGCCCAGATTAAGAACACCCTCTCGCAGCTTATCAAACACACGCTGACTAAGCTCGAGCTCAAGATGTCGCAATTCGAGGAGCTGGAGGAGATCCTTGAGGAAGAGCGCAAGGCACTCGAGAGTGCGCGGATGGGGCTCGTTAACGAACGGGTGAACCTCAAGCGGATGCTTGATGCCGTAAGGGCGGAGATCGCGAAGAATGGGGTAGGGCAGGCGTTGTGGGTGTGGTCGCCCAAGCCGGAGCTGGGGTGATGGGTACTACCGGCCAGGGTACGATGGTCAGTGAGGTTGGGCAGAGCAGCCTCCAAGCAGATGTCGGGCCTGTGCCAGATGGGACGACGTTGCAGCTGGGCTAGAGGATGCACTGCTTGGCCGACGATCTTGGACTTGCAATGGGTTGGGTCCGGTTGACCTGGATATCGTATTGTTTTGTTGTAGAAAAGCTTGCGTCCGTGATGTTTTCTCTCGTTTCGCGTCATTTTCTCTCTTTCTTCTGTTTTTATCCTGTTCACATTCTTGCTGTTTCCTAAGTCCCTTTTCTGTATTTGTGACCTTGTCGACTAATTTTACCTTCTCCTTACCTGTCATTCAGCTCTTGTTTTGGCGCTCGTCGGTTACACGCTCAAGCTTCAAGCTTCAAGTGCCAATACCTGTCCCATTGCGTATCTTTATGGTCAGCGACGGCCGTTCTGCCCAGACTTGTATGTCAACACCATTCCTTGCGGGAATGCTGAACGTTGACGTTGAGCATTGAATATTTGAATATTGAACGTATTGAACGCTGGCTCTACTGGCTCTCCTTCCTTCAAGAGCCAACATGCGAATCTTACTCTCGCCTCTTTTCGTGCTTGCCTGGAGCATGTTGGTTCCAAGCGTGGGGCGTAGACGGTCAGTTCTTTCATACATCCTGGTCTTCTCTATCTGATTTTTTTTGAACGAATAGGGTCATGAAATCGTCGCGACCATGGTGCAAATGTTCCTGCGGCCCATCACCCTCTCCAACCTTTGTGACGTCCTCAATCCCTCTACACGGCGACACCTCGCGCCAATCTCGACCTGGGCAGACGAGAACCGCGACAGGATGCGCTGGTCTACTTATAGCATACATTCGCATACTTACAACAGATCACAAATGTTCTCTGGGTCGTCCAAACCGAGTTTCAGGACAAAATGAAGTCAATTTAAGTATGCGCACTATCTATGCCTTCCCAACAACTGTACACTCCCCAGAATAGACACTGTTGCTAGTCGTCTTCATCGAGCCAGAGATCATCGATATTTGGGAGAGCCTGTTCAATGTTAACAGCCCCTATGAACCCAAAAAAAAATCAGAGCCTAGTCAAGTTGTTGAATAGAAGTATCACATACATTTGTAGTGCGTGTCGTTCGGGTCACCATTCACTGGTGCTCGCTTAAAATGCAAGTGCTTCAGCGGTTTAGCTTTGGTTAGGGGTGTGCGGGAGCTTACCTTGTCGTCGTAGTTGAACCAGACCCACCCACTCCCAACGAAACGCACTTTTCCTTGCCCGGTGTTAGTGCATGTTTTAGTTTCAAGCTTTAAAGCGGGCAGTTATATGAGAAAAAATAGAATTCGACTGAAGTCCCACATACCGAAGCCGTGCATCTCTGTCCTTGGGTAGACTTCAGCGTGACGGTTTGCTGAACCTCATTGTTGACACTAGAGGTAAAGCTTGAGAGGTAAAATAAATCAGCAACCAAGAAATCACCGCGAAAGATTTGATTAAATAAAAGGCTCATACATACCTCGATGCCAACGAGTTTTCTATCGTGACCGTTGCTGTAGAGATATCTGCAACCTCGGGGACTCCAATTTGTACAGAGAATCCAATAGATTGTGCCAGGGAGCTCGTTTCTACTCAGAGGCGAAATAAGAAAGACGTCAACACGAGCAAGGCAGGATTAGCCTACCGGTAACAGTCCAGCTCCCGGAGGTTGAGTATCCTTGCTTGGAGCTAAGGCTTGCATCAACATCTGTTTGTTTAATTTGTCCTGAGATATCCTGCTTGGTTTCCTGACAGCTCGGAGATCCTGGAGGAATGATAATCAATTTATCACCGCACTGACCATTGGGAGAAAGGCGCTATTGAATGGAAATACTTACCAGTCATCTCCACTTGGACAACCTCATTTGCGGCGCAGATAACGGCAGGGCTGTCCGTGTACTGGCTTGCGTTGTCAGCATTGATGCGCCAATTTCGACGTTGGAGACTTGCCTCGGGAGGGTTGACTGCAATGTTAACACCACCGTCTCCGTAGTGATCTTTGGCATATTGTTGTATCTTTCCCCATCCAGGAACTATATACAGTGGTTAGATTAGACAGGCAGCGTAAGGTGCTCTCACTTTTCTCAGCCTGCTCCTTAGTCATAGGAGTGCAAGAAGATACGCCACCTCGTCTTTGGAGCGCGTCGTACTCCATTTCTCTCTTGAAGCCGTCCTCGTTAAATCGCCCATAGAGAGACCCATCACGGCGATAAACGTGATATATGTCTGCACGTGTATCGTGCATAACAAGAGCAGGCTCCGAAGCTGCCCTGCGGTTGTACGGACGAGCAGAGACTGCCTGAAGTGCGAAGAGAAAAGTGGAGAGCTAGGCACACCCAAGCGTCAGCAAAGGAAACCGTCTGACAACCCGGAGAAAGAATGCCGGGACAATAGTTTCGGAAACTGACGTTGAGCAGGAACATGATGTCGAAAGGGATGTAAAATTCTTTGGTTGAGAGCGAGGAGGCAGCGTAGGCGGGATTAAACGACCGATGTGTGTCTATAGACAAAGACCAGCTTTGTTAGGGAAACCACTCAGAATACGGTACTGACCTTATATACGCTCGCTTAACCCCACTGGCAAACCAGGGCCGCCTGTATTTTCCCCAATAAGGCTGAGTCTCGAACAGTCACTATTGCTAAAACAAAATAACTGCATTCGTGGCGTAGTGAGGGCCCTCTTGGCAACAAGGCGTGATCGACTGCCCAGGCCGTGGCGCTCATGTCTATTTTTAGACTAGGCGCTTAAGAGATGTTCGGCTGATCATGAAGACCATAGAAAGAGTGTGGTAAGCTGACAGGCATGGCAGTGTAATCAAGGGATAATTTGATATCCTCGCGATGATCAGCCAATAAAGACAGAGGGGATGAAGCGCAAGGGCAATAATGCGGGCATGCCATAGCAGGGTTGCTGGGTCCACCAAGTTTTAGACATGATATATGATGGTCCGTACGGCCTCAGACACGTATTATGAGCAGATATCTGATGCTGCAGAAAGTTCGTTGACTGGGCGATCTGACCTTTTTTCGGAGAACATTCTCTATCACGAATGAGATACCGAAGTAAAGCTAAATGAGGTGGTGTTCTTTTAAGCAACAGTAAAGATCATCGCGAGTTGGAGGATGCCTGAACAAGTCGGTTGACCAATAAAAGGCTTCAATATCCCTTCTATCCGAAGTGGTGGACTAGTAGACAGAGGGCAGCCAGATTACACACAAATGCTACAGCGAGATATTCCACTCCCGGCTTCGTCCGCGATTTTGAGACTCCGCAAGCGTTTTCGGCAGCTCTTCTCGAGTTGACCGTACCATGGACCCGCTACACCTTCGAATTCCACTTGACAGTTGTACGATCTAAGGACCCAGTTCTGCAGTGGCGATCAAGAATCGATGGCAGGTTGCGCCCTTCGATGATCTTCCTCGTCTCCTCAGTCAATTCTCCAGCTTGGCTGGTGTTGTAAGAGGCAAGAAATGGTTCGAAAGTGTCCTCAATAGTGAGTCCTGTGCAGTGTTAATCCCTTCGAAGAGCTTATTGCCAGCTTCTACGCAAGCCATAACGACGAGCTGTTGCCAGAGACGACTTCGCGTACTTCGGCTCTCCTTCTCGGGAAAGGAAATGCACCAGGACCTCAGCACCAGGTACGACATGGAAGCGCATAGAAGACCATCTGAAGGCATTTTCACTTGTTGTGGTGGTCCCGAGGCTCATTCTCATTACACTTTGATATATAAGATTGGAAGCTCAGGAAGCCCATCGTCCGTCAGGAATGTGCACTCCTCTCGCCCAACTCTTCGAAGGCAGCAATCGCATTTCCAAAGGCGCCTCTAATAATAATCCTGGTCTTCGCCATTTAAATAGCATCGGGGGTTTACCCCCTCGTCGGTACAACACGAAACGCCAGGGATGTTGATACGCCCCGTTCTCCAGCTAGCGCTCATCTACTCGTTGTGTCTCTCAGCGTATGGCGGCATTGTCGACGACATAATCGATGCTATAAAACATGCAGCGACTTGTAATGGATGCCACACCCTCCTCGGTTTGCTTTCAGGACTCGCCTACTCGGGCGACAGCACCTTTTCCAGCACTATGGCCACGGCATGCAAGAGGCTTCATGTGAATCTTCCTCTTCCTCCCATATGAACGATCTCTGAACAAGTTCGCGCTCTTATCCAGGCCCAGGATGATGACGTCTGCGACGGCGTTATGAGCCAGCAGGGGCCCATCCTCGCGCACGATCTGCGTGCAATATCTCTATTCAGCCAAACGTCTACGAAGCTGTGCAATGCCCTCGTCGGGCTCTGCGAAAACCCTGCCGTGAACAAATACAGAGTTCCCTTCCCCAAGCCGGCTCCAGCCCACCCAAGGGTCTTCACTTCGAGGGGACGACTTCCCATCAAGGTGGTTCATTTCAGCGACGTCCATATTGATCGTTCGTACACGGTATGCTCTTCAATGCTCCGTTTAATGATTGTGTCCTTTAATGACCCCCATTTCGTTATAGACGGGGTCCGAAGCCAATTGCACCAAGCCGATCTGCTGCAGGAGGTTCCCAGACCAGACAGGATCTGTCCATGTCGCGGCAGGGCCGTTGGGGAGCCACGGGTGTGACGCACCGGCTTCGCTCGCGCAGTCGATGCTCCTAGCTATTGCTGGAGAGAATACTAAGTTCTCAATCTTTACCGGGGACGTCGTCGAAGGTGTGTTGCCTCCAATTTGCCTCCACAAGAATCCTTTAATATTAACGATGACCCTGTGAACAGTTGCGCTATGGGATATCGACAAAGCGTCAGGACCTTGCACTTCTTGACTTCTCGAAGCCTGACATCACTCTAGGGAAGCCACCTCCGACCTAAAAGAATTCAATAGAGAATTGTCGTCATTACTCAGGTCGCCCATATTCCCTGTCATCGGAAATCAGTGCGTTTTATATCCTTCTAATAAGCGCGAACCTCGGAGATTACTTTCTTTCAGCGACGTCACCCCTGTTAACAGCTTCCCAAGGAATACGACGAAGGGTCAGAGCTCTCAATGGGTATACAACACTCAGAGCTCTGGGTGGGCGGTATGTAGCGGCCACAATGCGTTCTATATGTGCTAACTGGCGAACTCAACAATTAGTCCTTGATCGGAGCCAACGCCGCAAACCAGGTCAAAGGGGATTCCGGGAGCTACGCGTCTGTCGTCCCTGGAACGAAACTCAGGTAATGGAGCTCTCCCTATACGCATCAGAGGCTTTCCTAAAATACTCCTCGCCATCAGGATAATTTCGCTGAATACGATCTATTGGTACAAACTTAAGCGCGAATATTCCTCTTCCATCCCTTGATCTAGTACTCATTACCATATCACCTAGCTTCTGGCTCTTTGACACCAACGCCACCCAGCCCGACCCGAACGGAGTCCTCTCCTTCATGGTCCGACAGCTCCAAGAAGCCGAGGACGCCGGTCAACGCGCGTGGATCATCGGACACATGCCACCCAGCAGCGGCGACGCGCTGTACGACCAGTCGAACTACTTTGATCAGATCGTCCAGAGATACAAGAACACAGTTGCGGGTCAATTTTATGGGCATTCGCATCAGGTGGGTCTTTTCGGTGTTTCGGTTTGGAAGTGGATCGTTGGAATGATTCTGATGACGAACGCGTGGTTTTGGTACTAGGATGAGTTTGCTATTGCGTATGAAGATTACAAGAGGCAGACGGCAGAGACGGCGGACAGCATCGCGTGGATCGTCCCGTCTTTGACTCCGAGACGTGAGCGGCTTCTTCGCGTCAAGAACCCTCCGGGGTGTTCTGATCCGTGGCATTTGTTTACGTAGAGTCCGACCCGGCATTTAGGGTGTACGATGTCGATCCCGACACCTATGAGGTCATGGATTCTCGCACTTTCATCAGTAAGCCATCGGTCATCGCATTCCCCAGTTATGAACCCCGTTCCGACAGGCGACATGTCCGATCCCAACTTCCAAGTGTTCCGTCAGTAATTCTTCCATCGACCCACCTCCATCTCCAGAGAAATTTCACGTGTTTCTTTCTAGCCGTCTGGAAGCAGGAATATAGCGCTCGTGCAACCTATGGACCCGCCATCGGCGGCTGGCCGTCAGACAAACCGCTGAACCCTGCATTCTGGCACAAAGTGACAGAGGCGTTCGAGAAGCACGACACTTTATTCCAGAAGTTTCACACGTTGAAGACGCCAGGTGGAAAGATTACCCCCTGCGAAGGGGATTGCAAGAAGGAGACAATATGCAACATGCGTGCTATGCGTGCGGAGAATGGATGTGTGAGTAGATGCATATCATCTTTCAGTAGTTGATTTGATTCTGATTCGTCGACGTCGGGGCGCTAGCATCCGGCAAAGCCTGGGTTCAACTTCGAGCGCAGGGCTGATAATAACTCAACTTTGGGGCATAGCCACCTCGATAATCATTGCGAAGGCTTTGGCCTATCCCACATTTTCATGCAGATGATGACTGAAGCTGTAAGTGATTGTCGCCCCGGCGTCCCGACTTTTGGAGACCTTTTGCTGACATCCACTTCTGCAACAGCAAAAGATTTCGACGTGACCGAGGGCTCTGATAAAAGTACTAGCTTCACTTTCTTAAGAACAAAATTCAGAGCTAAAATTCTCTCCCGATTTGTATGTGCAAAATTTGATTTCGAAGATATATCGAGCGCGTTCTCGACTTGCTCCGATGGGGGCGCAACGCCCCAGATGCTAAATATGGATGATTTGTTGAACTCCGTCGACGTCATCACTCGATCATGATGCCGAAATCGACATCCACAACTGTCTCTTGGTGCTATAGACTCGACATACTCCACTCGCGAAGCAAGAATAACCAGAAATTTGCCGTTGCTAGATCTGCTGCAGCGCGCGGTCCTGCAAATATCGTAAGTATTCGAGTAGCATGCAGGGTTGCCACCTTGACGTCGGGTTTCTCTGAGGCTTATATCTTCGTCTTACTTTTTGACTTCAAGGTGACTTTAGGTGAGCACGTATTATATTCGGCGGCCGAGAGGCAGTCGCTTTTTCAAGTACCGATGTCCCACACTCATACCCCGGCACCACTGACTTCGAATTCGAGATCTTACGGAAGCTCACACACTACGAAGCTTCCAGTGTCATTCGGCTATCCTAGTGGACTTCGTATCTTCCTAACTATGCAATGGCACTTCATTTCAGCTCTGTCTTAACCTCAGCCTTCGACGACTCCGTACGCGCATGCCTCTCGAGGCCACAGTGGAAGCCGATGACAGTAAGCCGGTACGTCCACAGCCTTTCTCAAGCGCTTAGTCTCCGACTTCGCCATTGACAGTTCAGATCACAGAAAAGCTATTTTTTCTCTTCAACTCGCATGGAAGCATGAAACGTTCTTGCCACCACATGAGGTCGTCTTGTCGATTCAGTTTCGGGGCTGTTTTTAGTACAAGCATCACCCGACAGGATGACCAGAAGAAGCCGCCAAGGGAATCACCTGCCTATCCGTTGCCTCGAGGTCCGCTCTGCCTTTAGATGATGACGTGAGGGTTGCAAAGGCAAATTGTCCACGCAAGCCCAAGAGATGCAGTGTTCTAGCGTCTCCCTGTCGAACGTGGGATAGGGTTGCATGGTTTCTGTGGAGAGTATTTAACCAAGAGCTTTGCAGGATCATATGTTCTCCGTTAACGCTTTCTGGCGTTTTCAGAGGCGACGATGCTGTTCTTCAGGCGTATCGTGGTCATCTTGTCGCTGTTTTTAGCTGTCGCTCAGGCGAGCCTCATCGACGACATCATCAAGGCGATCGCGCAAGCCTTAACGTGCGGCAGCTGCCATTCGCTTCTGGTGGTTCTACAAGGACTGGCGCTCTTCGGGGACAAGGTGTTTTCGGAGACTTTCGTAGGCGTGTGCAAGCTTCTTCAGGTGAGTATGCACCGCAATATTCGCGTTTGAAGTCGTTCTTACCGAATGTATGCGCGCCTCCAGGTCCAGGACGATGATGTCTGTGAAGGCACCCTGAGACAGCAAGGCCCCATCCTCGCACACAATCTTCGCTCGATCTCAGCGCTCGGACAAACCTCCACGAAGCTGTGCAGCACGCTCCTTGGCCTGTGCCAACCACCGCCTGTGAACAGGTACACCGTCCCGATCCCCAAACCTGCCCCTACGAATCCCAAGGTCTGGACCTCGATAGGCCAAGCACCGTTCCAAGTGGTTCACTTCAGTGATGTTCATATCGACCGGTCTTACACCGTACGTGACAGTACCTCGGGCAATGATGAGACAAACTTATGGAGGTTATTTGCGATAGCCGGGATCAGACGCTGACTGCACGAAACCGATCTGTTGCAGGAACTATACAGACAAGACTGGCCCGGTTAATGTTCCTGCAGGACCCATGGGGAGTCGTCGATGCGATACGACTACCTCGCTGGCTCAGTCGATGCTTCTAGCCGTTCATGGTCAGAACACGAAATTCTCGATTTTCACCGGTGATGTAATCGAAGGTACGTAAATCTGCCCATCTTGCTTCTGTGGTTCTACGGTGTCAGGAAGTAACGGACGTGTTTTCCCTTTCTTTTTTTTCCTCAGCCGATATCTGGAGCTTGACACAAGAGTACGGTAAATCCTACCTCATAATCAGTACTTTGCTGATGACCTCATCTAGTGAAGTGGCGTCGGACCTCCAACAGTTCAACAACGAAATGGCGACGCTACTTAACTCTCCGGTATTTCCTACAATCGGCAACCAGTATGTTCGGCTTCGCACAACTTCCAACCCTTCCGCAATGCTGATTTCATTCGTGCTTCAGCGAGGCCGCCCCGGTTAACAGCTTCCCAAGGAATACAACCAGGGGCAAGAACTCGCAGTGGGTATTCGACACTCAAAGCGAAGGATGGGCTGTGAGTGTCGCCACTAGGAGACAAGCAGATTGCTAATTGAACGATACGGATACCACTAGTCGATGATTGGCTCTCCGGCTGCAACACAAGTTCGGCATCTTTCAGGGAGTTACGCCACTATGGTACCGTATACAAGCTTGCGGTGCGAATCTTCTCTCATTGCCGTTCATCTCAAATACTTATCGACGAAATACCCAGAATTATCTCGCTAAACACCGTTTACTGGTACCAGGACAAGTGAGTCGTTCGCCATCTTGGTCCCAACTATTTCTTACCGCATCCGATGTTTAGCTTCTGGTTGTTCGACAGCGACCGCTTCCAGTAAGCGCATGCCAGTGCCACCCCTCTCAACACTACCTCACTCAATCTGAGTAGACCCGACCCGAACGGCGTCCTCGCATTTGCCGTCGAGCAGCTTCAGCAAGCCGAAGACGGCGGCCAACGCGTGTGGATCATCGCGCATATGCCTCCCAGCAGCGGAGATGCGATGCTCGACCAGTCGAATTATTTCGATCAGATCGTGCAGAGATATAAGAATACGATCGCGGGGCAGTTCTATGGGCATTCGCACGTGGTGAGTGTTAACGGGCATCTGATTGAGACTGGTCCCTGGAGGGAAGTTGATTTGGGACTGTAGGACGAATTCGCGCTCGCGTATTCTGATTATTCGAGCCGCAGTGCGGATACAGCGAGTAGCATCGCGTGGATGGCACCATCGTTGACACCGAGAGGTGAGTTGTCTCCCTTACGCCCATTCGATTCGATACTCAGATAGAGTTGTAGATGCGAACCCATCATTCCGGGTATACGACGTGGATCCTGATACGTACGAGGTCATGGACTCTCGCACGTTCGTCAGTGAGTCCATACCCACCTCGGTTAGCTAAAACCCGTTGTTCACAGCAACTCTGCAGGCGATCTAGCAGATCCGGATTTCCAGACGTTCCGTAAGACCTAGAATAGTCCGTCTCTCGTTCCACCCACTAATATAGCTTTAGCCGTCTGGAAGCAAGAATACAGCGCCAGAGAAACTTACGGACCAGCGATTGGCGGGTGGCCGGCAACCCAGTCGCTAAACCCCTCGTTCTGGCACAGAGTCACCGACGCCTTCGTGTCGAATGATGCCCTCTTTCAGACGTTCAACGCATTCAAGACGCGCGGCGTCAACGTATCTCCGTGCACCGGAGCCTGCAAAACCAACACCGTATGCAACTTGCGTGCATTGCGCGCGGAGAATGGATGCGTGAGTCCACCCTTCCTCCGCCATGACTCTTCCCTGCCACGACGCTGGAGTCACCCTATGCTGATTGCTTCCATTCCCTGCTTCCATTCCACAGCACCCAATCACGCCTGGGCTCAACTTCCGTCGGGACGGAGACGAGGACGAGGACGAGGACGAGGAGGTCTCGATCGAAAATCTCAGGTTACGCGCGAGTCACATCGACAATCACTGCGAAGGCGTCGGAATGCGCCACATTTTCACGCAAATGGTAATCAAGGCGCAAGAGGTCCGTGTATTTCTTTCGTGGGTTCCTGAGAGATCGGCGATTGATGTTATTTGTTAATTGTCTGCAGAGGCAGAAACTACTCAGGGAGGCATCGTCTGTGTGAAATGATTGGATTTGAATATACCACGAGGGTGGGGGCTTGGACAACGGAAAGCTAGCTCAGCTGGGGCGATTGGCTGTGGGGTGATATCCAGGGAGGAGTGTAAATTATGTGTATTGAACTGATACTTGATTAGACGCGCGACGCGGGCCAATGTATGTATTCTCAGAATATTTGAGATCAACTGTCTGAATTCTAGAGCAAAGGTATACGTTTCTAAAGCAGGTTGGAGGAACGGACAACTACGGATCAATGATAAGTCTCGCAGAATCGGATACATATGGGATATCAGTGCGCCACATTCTGTGCTTACTCCAGGCTTACCCTTGCAATCTTGACGAACTGGTGCATATGTTTTGGGTGCCAATGGCGAACCAAGTCTACGTTCGTCCCCTCGCTGAGTGTTCAGAAATGTGAGCCGTCGTGTATATGCGCGCCAGAGACCTTTTCCAAGGGAAAACCTGAGAATAAATGCTACACTTTCCGACGCTCACGGTGATTTGCTTATAGAGTCGCTTGTAGTTCTGAGTCCTGACTCATTTGAAAGGCAAAATTGACTCGGACCGCGCCTCCATGTGGACCTTTCGTCCCAATACAGTTATCACGGCGAAGCCTGTATGGTGCATTCTGGACTCTTGAGGATCCTTATCAGAACTCTGCTCTATGTATAACTTCTTTATCTATTCGCGTTCTACACCCCCGATGGCTATTCGTCCTGAAGGCATACAAACTGGGATGTTCGCGTCCACGCGGGCCGCTATGATCTGAGATCAGCATTTGTCATCCATGGCATAATTTTGAACTAGCCGACACTTTGGGGTGGTACCGAATTCTGACTCCTCCCACTGCGTTACCCTCGGCGCTAGCAAATACAAAACGCAGTGCCAGGAGTCGAGGGTGTTATTCAATTCACGAATTACCCTTCGAAGGGATTATGCCTCGTTTCCAGCTCCCAATCGCAGTCGCGCTATCAGTCAGCGCTCTTGGAAGTTTAGTCGCGCTCTACCTCACCCGAAATGTGGAAGGCAAGATCCAACTCCCTCTACACGACAATGAAGACGACGAACATCTCAAACATGATCCCTTCGACGTGACGACCATCGAGGATGTAACAGACGGGTACCCAATTGACGGGGAGAGGTTTTGGGCAAGGGTGAGTAGCAGAAATGGCGCAATTGAACGAGATAATTGAATGGACGACGTAGATGCGGTGGAGGAAAATATTCATCTCATCGTTGCTTGCCGTATGTCTCGCTATATGTGGCGTGTCACTGGGATGGTCAATAGCAGAAGATAACCGTTTCGACATTGCAGTGTGCTCGTTACACGTCTTCTTCGCCCTCTACGCTTTCCTGCTTTCCGCGCGCTCTGTTGGTCAAACGGACGACGAGCATTCACAATCTATCATCCACCTTACGTCCCTAATGACCGTAGCGTTCCTATTGCTGGGTTCTTCTGCACTTCTACCCGACTATTCTCCACCAGTACCAGCCACCGTTCGCCAATTCTCCGCACTTTTGGCACTGTGGTACACGCTTGTTGCCCTGTACACGGTCGTCTGCGTCCTCTGTTTCACTACTCCACTCGGCCCACCTCTCCATTACGACCCGGCCGATATCTACTCGGAGAAAGTTGTTCAATCAATTACGAACATGGACGAAGCAAACGTCTGCGGGCTTACTGGTGGGTTGTATCTCGACTGCGGGGTATGCGGAGTAGCTAATTTTAATTTCAGGTGCATCCCCTTGGGACGTCCTCTTCTTCTCGTACACCACGAAGGTCGTTTGGTTAGGAAATGTCGCGGAGAGCCTTGACATCGGCGACCTGCCCATCGTCCCGGCGAACATGCGGGCAACGTACAACTATGCTTCCATGAAGCAGGCCATGCGCACAATGAAAATGCGCATATTCTCCTGGGCCCCTGCTCCCGGCACGGGATGGCAATTGGCGTACAGGCTTTTGCGTTTGAATTACCTCGCATTTCTCGCGTTGCTTCTGCTTGCTTCGGTCGCGGCTTGCTTGTTCTACACGCCTGCTATGTTCTTGAAGCAGCTCGTCAGATATCTCGAGATAGATCATAATAGAGAACAGACCGGTTGGGGTTGGGTGTACGTCGTTGGTCTCTTCAGCGCTAACGCTATTTGCTTCCTGAGTGCGTTTCTTTTGGCTCTCCTTGATTTCTCTACCTGAATTTAACCAAACTGCAGTTACCGGCCAGCTGTGGTCCTTATCCACGACGACCCTCCAAGTCCGCCTTAAAGTTCAACTTAACACTATCCTGTTCGCGAAGACCCTTATCCGTAAGGACGTGGCCTCTTCCGCGCCTCCTGCTCAGTCTGCCGCAAAGGACGGTGCTGAAAACGGAACAGCATTATCGCCAGTAGCTGAGGATAAGAAGAAGGAAGACGACGACGAGAAAGACTTTTCCAGCAAGGCTCAGATCATGACTTTGATGACAACCGATGTTGATCGGGTCAGTGACTTCGCGTGGCATGCCTTCTCTCTCGTCGGTATGTTTTTAGCTCTTTTTCTTGTCCAGGATGACCGATGCTTATGCTGGCCACAGATGCACCCATCGAGATTGTTATTGGGACGCTCTTCCTGTATAACCTCCTTGGTGTGTTTTTGTGATAATTTCGATGAAAGTCGCGGGGGTCTGATGCTTTCGTAGGTGTTTCTTGTTTCTTCGGGTTGGCCGTAACGTGCCTCTTCCTTCCTATGAACCACTACGCTGGTAAAGTCGTGGTCGGGGCTCAAGAGAATCTCATGAAAGCTCGCGACGAGAGAGTCGCGCTCATGAACGAAGTGCGTTTCTTGGTTATTTGACCTAGACGATGTCTGATTTATTGCAAAAGATCCTCGGTGGCATTCGCATGCTCAAATTCATGGCCTGGGAGCGCAGCTTCGAAAAAAGAGTTCTCGTCATCCGCGATAAGGAACTCAAATACCAAAAACTCAATTACACGATTGAGGCACGTTTGTCTTGTTTCAGGCTACTTCTTTTTGCTGATGTTTTTCATGACAGACCTTGTGGAATGCGATCTGGTAATAATCGGCGTTAAACTCTCGTGATATGTAGGAAGCTCATCCTGTCTTTAGGAACGGCTCTCCGATTCTGGTTACTCTTGTTTCGTTCTATCATTTTGCCATTGTCAGAGGCCAATTGTTGACGCCTTCAATTGCCTTCACATCCATCCTGGGTAAGCTCTACGTCCCGCTTCCACCGAACGCAAAGCTCATCTCGTTGACAGTCTTCTCTGAGATGAAATTCGCTCTCAGTGCGCTACCCGAGACCTTCATCAACCTCCTCCAGAGCTTTGTATCTCTACGCCGTATCGAGAAGTACCTCGGTGGTGCCGAAGTCAACCACGTCGCACCCCTCTCCGAGCAGTCCAAGACCGTCGCATTCCAATCCTGCACTGTCACCTGGCCTCAAGACCGCTCTGTCGGCTCAGTCAATGCCAGTCGTGCCCCTTCTGTTGCGCCGACACCTAAGCACAAGTTTCTGCTTGTCGACCTCACATTGAACTTCCCACAGAACGAGCTGTCGCTCATCTGTGGCAAGCTTGGGTCAGGAAAGACGTTGCTCCTGTTGGCGCTGCTTGGCGAGGCCGACATCCTCGCTGGTCAGGTGCTCTGCCCGAGATCCCCGCCAGATTCGCTGGCTTCATTCTACAGGAAGAAAGTGAGGAAGGAGGAGTGGATCGTCGACGGCATTTGTGCATTTGTGCCCCAGGCTGCTTGGTTGAGGAACGCCTCGATTAAGGGTGCGCCTTCCTTTGTTTACTGGGAAGCTCGAGGAGATGTTTAATCATGTTTTTCTTCTTCTAGATAACATTTTGTTCAACCTTCCGTACGACGAGGAGCGTTATCAGAAGACCCTCGAGGTCTGTGCTCTGATTAGCGATCTGGACATCCTCGAGGATGGCGATGAATCAGAGATCGGAGAACGTGGTGTCAATCTTTCCGGTGGGCAAAAAGCCCGAGTGTCGTTGGCTCGTGCTGTCTACTCAAGAGCATCCATTCTCTTCCTTGATGACGTTCTTTCTGCTGGTCAGTACGAGCTTCCTCAGTTAGTTGTCATCACTGACCCATCTTTTTAAGTCGACGCTCATACTGCTCATCACCTCTACCATGAGTGCCTCAAAGGCGAGCTCATGAAGGGTCGTACCGTCATTCTCGTCTCACATCATGTGCAGCTCTGCGCACCTGGAGCCAGCTACGTCGTCGCCCTTGACAACGGTCGAGTGCAATTTGAGGGTCCCAAAGACGAATTCTACTCTTCCGGCGCCATTAAGACCCTAGTGCAATCAACAAGTACTGCCGATCAGGAGGATGACAAAGAGGAGAAAGAGGCCCTGGAGGAAGCAGAAAAACGAATCCTTGCCGCCGAGGCAGAATCGGGCTCTGAGGCGAGCTCGACTGTTGCTACCTCGACACCTGCTTCCGTCAAATTGGACAAGAAGCCGGCAAGGAAACTGGTCGAGGAAGAGAAGAGAGCTGTTGGGCGGATCAGCCGTGATATCTGGGAGACCTATGTCTGGGCCTGTGGAAATGGGTGGTACTGGGTGGTCTTCATCTTCATCCTCATCGTCGCTTCTGCAAGTCCTGTTCTAGAAAACGGCTGGCTAAGGTAGCATTGGCCGATTTCTGTTGATTTCTCGTGCCTTTCTGACAGTTTTTATCAGACATTGGTCTAATTCCGCTCTCAATGGCGGAGGAGACAGTCCAGGCTTTTATATCTCGGTATACGCCATCATAACCACCCTCGGCCTTGTAATTGGCACCGTACGATGGTTCATCCTCTATAATGGCTCCATTCACGCTTCGGATGTCTTGTACAAGCGCCTTCTGGAGGGGGTTCTGTTCGCCGACATCAGGTTCCATGACACAGTCTCGCGCGGCCGCCTCCTCAACCGTTTCGGAAAGGACTTTGAAGGTTCGTCGTCCGAATTTTCTGCGTGACTCTCCGACCTGATAGGGGTACTCGGGGCTGTAGGTATCGATAGCAGTTTATCAGACAACTTCGGACGAAGTATAATGTATGGACTATCGGCATTCACAACAATCGCTACGGTTAGCGTTGTGGGCGGGCTTCCTTTCATGATCGCAGTCGGCATCCTGGGAGTCCTGTATTGGAATGGCAAGTGGCTCTCGCTTCATTGGCTTTGTTGTTGATCGTTTACATCCTCTTTTGTAGTCGCTAGAGTAAGATCAAAGTCAGAGAGAGGAACATTTAGCTGACATTCTTGATGTAGATTTACGGACAGACGTCCAGGGATATGAGGCGGCTCGGTATAACCTCCTTCATTATCATGCGTGCATTTCTGATGGAGACGTTGTTTAGACTCGGTGACGAGATCGCCTCTATACTCGATATATGGCGAGACGATTGCAGGAGTTACGATTATTCGATCCTTTGGAGCCTCATCGAAGTTCTTGAGAGATATGCTTCGATGTGTGGACACGGTTTGTCACAATACCTATTGACGCTAGCGCGGTTTTGACGTTCATGCCCTTTAGAATTCAAATCCTTATTACTGGATGTGGGGCGTCAATCGCTGGCTCTCTGTTCGTTTCAACCTTCTCTCCGCGGGAATTGTCGGTGCCACCGGTGTCGCCTGCCTCATTACGCCGAGTATTAGCGCTTCAACAGCCGGTTTCGCGCTCGCCTTTGCTTCCACTATAACTGGCGATCTTCTCTTCATGGTTCGCCGTTTTGTTGGCTTGGAGCAATCCATGGTGCGGGAATATTCTTCTCCAGTGGCGTCGGCACATTTAACCTTCCTGATGCAGGTTGCCCTGGAACGAGTAAAGGAGTATACGGAACTGAAACGAGAGCCTCCTGAGTTCATTGAACCTCGTCCGGCAACCAATTGGCCGTCTGAGGGAGACATTAAATGCGAGGACTTAGTTATTCGCTATGCTGTAAGTTGTATTGTGATTCCTGTAGTTACGAAGACTCACCTTCCGCAGCCCGAATTGCCAGACGTCCTTCATCACCTCAACTTTGAAATAAAACCCGGTGAAAAGGTCGGATTTGGCCGAGTAGTAGAGCAAAGTTAACTAACAGGAGTAACAAACATATAGGTTGGCATTCTCGGACGGACAGGGTCGGGAAAGAGCACCTTGGCGCTTTCTTTCTTCCGATTCGTCGAAGCCACTGGGGGCAGGATCCTCATTGACGGCATCGACATTGCCAAAATTGGTCTGACCGACCTGCGCGGCCGGTTGACGATTATTCCCCGTATGTCTCGATTCTACCTGGTCCTTTCTGTGGGCAAGTCTCATGTGTATCCACAGAGGATCCTACGATCTTGAGCGGATCTCTTCGGTCCACGCTAGATGTCTTCGATGAGTATCAAGACGCCGAAATTGTAGGCCCTCGGACATTTCTTTCTCGGCTTATATCTTACACGACTTCAGTATGAAGCATTGCGACGTGTTCATCTCATCCCATCAGAGGATACTCCCGAGGAGGCAGCTGACACAGTCAATGCAAATGTCTTCCGCAATCTTGACTCGACGGTTTCTGAGGGCGGCGAAAATTTCTCGACAGGGTAGGTCTACCATCCCAAGAACTGCTGGGTTTGACGCCGATTTATTTGTGCAGCGAGAAGCAACTCTTGTGCATGGCTAGAGCTATCCTCAAACGCTCAAAAGTTCTCGTGATGGACGAGGTGCGTGACCCTCTTAGCACTATATAGCGGCCGAGCTGACGACTAACCCTCTATTTTCTCTAGGCAACAGCTAGGTACGTCTCCGAGTTGCCAATCCAGGCGATCCCCATGTAGAACATGTCTTTTTCAGCGTCGATTATGCAACGGACGAGCTGATTAGCAAGACAATTCGACAGTATGTCTTTCTGGCCACAGGTTTGAAAGATCCACTGACGCAACTTTTTCCGAACAGCGAATTCGCTTCAAGCACGATATTGACGATCGCCCATCGATTACGCACTGTGATTGACTATGATAAAGTAAGTGCAGCGTTGACCTGAACATCACGGTGGTACTAAGTTGCCTTCAAGGTTATGCTTCTCGAGCAAGGTCGGATAGTCGAATTTGACCGGTACGAGCCCTCCTACACGTAGCCAAGAGAGGACTTACGACCGAGATATTTTAGGCCCTCTGTCTTGTTGAACAACTCGGCGTCAAAATTCTATGCTCTATGTAGAGCCACTGGGAAAGATGAGTTTGCGACCTTGAAGAAAATGGCAGGAGTGTAATTACGACCGTCCCCTCCCCCTCCCAGCTACTCCATCTTTCAATTATCTGTTACAACGTAGAATATTTGGTCTTCATTTTGCTTCCGTTTGGGTGCTTTCGCCTTTTCACGTTTTCCCTCAATATTATGAAGTTCACACGCCATGCACAATGCCTCCAGCCTATCAACCATGAGAACACGTTGCTCTGAACACTGATGAGGCTAAACACTCTGCATTTTCTCCTCAAATCCAAAATCCCCTGGCAGCAAGTTCCTCAGGTATGCCCAATATTCAACGCTTTTCCACCTCTCTGCCCTCCTAAAATTACGTCTACTGCTGCAGTAGACCATCCTCACATTAAGAAAAAAACCCGGTTGGCAACACCCTTTGGGTCAATGGACTGGATGTTGGAGAAGTGGTTACCGTAGGGTAACTATGATGCCCACACTTCCTCCGAGCGGGGTACGTCCAATGGCTTGGGCCCCGATTCGACCGAGGAACACTGAATAAGACCCGTCCCAAGAGCATGGGGCCTCTTGAGAACGAGTATAAATCCCTAGACTCCTTTCTCGCGCTGGCCCTCCTCAAATCTAGACGATTTTCATACATGTACGTCGCCTTTGGCTCGTTATCCTAACAATGACGCTCATTTTGGATCGCGATCCAGGCGGTAGACTTTACATAACGTCAAATTTTAATCTACCATGGCTCCTCGATGGACTTCAGATGGTGAGTTATCGACAGTGGACAAAGCCTTTCGTTTTCTAACTTGGGGAGGCGACGTATAGGTGCATATCTCGCAGATACGAACTCCACAGACGACGCAACGACGTCACATTCATTTGCCTCGACGTCGACTCCCCCCGGTCGCCATGCCCCTAGGATGGTGAAACGTACCATAACGAAACGTCAATTCAATAATCGCCCCAATTCCAACAACACCAACTCGAGAGATGATGATGATAGGGACAGGGACAGGGATAGGGATAGGGATCGGCAAAGGAATTCGTTTGGGTGTCCACAGTGCAACATACGGGACAACGACCCTCGCGTGCGGTACGTAGGGAATTGGATCCTCAACGGGACGCAGCTTTCGACCTCACATATCACATCAACAATTGGGTCCACTGTTACGTTACGTTTCAACGGTAGGCTCTCCGTCAGAGACCTCTATTCCCTTCATCTCTAATCCCTCCTCGGCCGCTTAGGAACCGGAATCATTGTCTTTGGCACCGTCCCCGCAAGTAATGAGACCGTCCTTCCTCCGTCTGCCGTATATCTCCTTGACGCCGACCCACCCTTCGCAACCTCGGCACCTTTCGCTCCCGCGAGTGTACCGAACCAGCCTATGTTTGCCTCCGGCCAGCTAGCAGCAGACAGAGAGCACTCCCTCGTGATCAACGTCACCAGCGCCGAAACTCCCTATATCCTGCAGAGATTCTTCGTTTTCCCGAGACCCCCGTCTACATTGAAGGACATGATCGGCCAGCTGCCTAGTGGCTCTGCGCGAGGTCAGAATCCGGCAGCGACAGCGACATCCTCGCCGAAGCCGTCGGTGACATCCCAAACGCTCAACAGCAATCGTCCTGACGCAGGTGCCCAGCAGGCTGTCCGGGCTCTAGCTGCTGTCCTTGGGACGTTGGCCTTCTTGATAATCGCTTGCATCATTGTCTTCCTCTTCCTTCGATTTCGACGGCGCAGGCAGCTGGAAGCACAACTAGCGGCGGACGAGAAATCAGCGTACGGATCGCAAGTTGGCTCAAGAAGATCGAGACGGCCAGGTATGTTGCTTCACTTTTCGCCGAGATGTTCGAGACTTGACCGTCCTTTCTCCGCTGTAGAAACCGTGTACACCACATTCACGTCTACGGAATCGATATTACGGAACGACAGTGTGTGGTCTCCGTCTCATCGTTCCACCCGCAGCCACTTCTCGCGAGGCGACGGGTACCGCAGCGAAGGTCGAAACACGATAGACTTTACGCCTCCTCCCATACCTCCAAAACCTGGCCGCGTCTCTTCTCCGAACACTGTAGGGTCAGGAACCGCCTGATTCCCTCCTTCCGCTCCTTTAGTTCTTGCTCTTCTGTCCTTTGCATTAGTCCTACATACCATCTCTTCGCATTTCGAACACCATTGTATCGTCTACCACTCATTACCCTTTTTGTATCTATCACTCTCTGCACTCTGGACGGACTCTATCTCTACACGCAGACTATTGTAACTAGCATTTATGATCACCTATGTACACCTCAGTGCTGTCGCTTGCTATTCGTACCCCTACACAACTCGCAGAAGCAGCAATCGCATAGGAAACGACACCAAATGTATTTTTGTCTAATGTATCTATCTATCCACATCATAGACTATTAAGATGGGCGGGCTAAGTCTATCATACAGGTCTAAGTTTAAAGGCGTATATACCAGAAAGCAAGCATAAAGCAATGATAAATGGAGAGGAAGATTTATAAGAGCATAGATCAAAGGCGAGCGATTAGGGATGAAGACAAAGATGAAGGTGATGCAGGAGGATAGATTGGCCATGGATCATGTATTCATGGCTTCCACATCTTCTGGTTGATGAACGAGATGAGCTCAGCATCGCTCTTGTTGCGGAGATCAGGCGACCGGTCAACACCCTGAAGACGATAAGGTCAATATTAAAATGTGCGACGATGGTGGCGCTGAATACGAACAGATTTCTGTGCAGCACGGATAACCTCCTTGGCGATGAATGCGCTGATTTCGCGAACTTAAACGGAGCATGTCAGGACCACAGCGTAACAGACGAACAGTCAAACGACATACTCCTGTTGACCTGGGGGTAAAGCAGACCCAAAGAGCGCTCCTCATCCGTCAACGAGTTCGCCAGGCCAAGGGACGACGCCTCGACCATCGTATCTGTCACTTGGGACACGCGGGCGAGGATGGCGGCTAGGCCCAAGCCGGGGAAGATGTACATGTTGTTCCCTTGGCCGGGGTAGAGCGTCTTGCCCTGGTACTCCTGCTCAGGGAACGGCGAGCCGGACGCGAAGAGGACCTGGCCACGCGTGTGCTCGACAGCAGCGGCGAAGGAGCACTCGGAGAGCTTGACGGGGTTGGAGAGCGGGAAGAGGATAGGACGGGGGTTGATCAGCGCCATAGCCTCGATGACTTCGGTGGTAAAAGCATTCTAAGAGCAATTTACGTTATGTTAGGAAGATAAGCAAGTAATCGGATAGCAAAGAAAAGCTTACGGTGATGGTGGAGAGACCGAGGAGAGCAGTCGGCCTGACATAGTCAATGATATCCAGCAGGCTGGTCATGGGCGGGCCTTGATAGTCATTGCGGGAGAAGTCTGCACATCCAATGAAACTTAATAAACACGTTCTGGGGTCTCTGTGCTCGAAGCACGACATAGGCAGGACGTACATTTCTTGTGTTCAGCCAAGCGGCCACGGGCGTTATACACCAGACCCTGCGAGTCGACGAGCCAGATCGAGCGGCGAGCCTCTTCCTGGGACAGGCCCTGCAACGTGAAGAAGCTCATCAGCTGCGAGGCGACACCGACGCCTGCAGAGCCGGCACCGAAGAAGAGGATACGGTGAGTAGAGAGAGGCTTGCCAGACGCGGCGGAGGCGAGCTTGGCGGCGTTCAGGAAGCCGCTGAGAACGACGGCGCCGGTGCCCTGAATATCGTCGTTGAACACGGGGTACTGCTTGCGGTACCGCTCGAGGTACTTGAATGCATTGTCGGTCGAGAAGTCCTACATGAGCAGAAAGATATCGGAGTGATTAGTAAGAGGAACGGGATAGGACGATAAAGAAAGACCCAGGTCAAACCCAGGTAAAAATAATGCTGCAGGTCTGGTCTCACCTCGAATTGGATCATGAGCTTGGGGAAGGTGGCGGTCATTTCGTGCATGAACTCGTCCATGAAGGCCTCCATCTCGGGGTCGGAGACGCGCTTTTGGCGGAGGCCGAGGTAGAGGGGGTCGTCCAGGTACCTCTGGGTGTTCGTGCCTAGGTCAAGGCAGATAGGAATGGTAGACTCCGGTCGGATGCTGCGGCTATCGTCAGTTTCGTTCGTGTGATGACGAGCAAATCGCGACGTACCCAGCCCCAGCAACGTAGAGCGAAAGCTTTCCGATAGAAATGCCCATCCCATTCACACCAAGGTCTCCCAAACCGAGAATACGCGAGCCTGGTCCGACGTCAGCGGTGGCGTCATGGAGGAGGCTATTCTAGAACTCACCGTCAGTGACGACGCTGATACGAGCCTCGTCGATTCTTGGCCAGTTCTGCAAGACTAGAGTGTCTCGTCAGACGATGCACGATGTGTCAGGAGATTCGAGAACGTACCATCCCTAATTTTCCCCTTGTCCTTGATAGAAACATACTGCACCACGTGTCAGTCTGGAGGGAAAGGATGATGACTAGCAAGAGATACAGACGAGACCCTCGGGGCGTCTGAAGATGTGGGAGAAATTCACACAGGCGTCACCAACGGTGGGCGTGTAGATGAGAGGGGTAATCTCGGCCATGTGCTCGAGACAGAGCTTGTAGAACATCGCAGGGTCCTCATTCTTGAGGTAAGAGAGGTAGATGTATTTCTCGATGCCCTTGTCCTTGGAACGGAGTTGGAGGAGGCAGCGCTCAGTATGCACGTCGCGGTCGAAGGCTGCAGGAATAAGGCCGCGCTTGGGGGCTGCTGGGGCTAGAAAACTCGTTAATTGCACTGGCAGCACGGAAGCGAAGAAACACACTCACGTTGGGGAGCAACCTTGAGCTTTTGGACACCATTGGACCAGTACGGGGTGAGAACGATGGTCATAGTGAAGAATGGGCGTTAATGTCGTAAGGTTAAAGCCTAGTGTATGTCCAAGGGCACAGTTTTGGGGATCAAGGAGGGTCGCACTTTTGAACAATTGCAAGCTGGCATGAGTTTTATATTTGGACCCCTGCCTCGCCGCCGGCCTCTGTCGGTGTTCCGTCTGCAAACGGTCGGATTCAACCGTATGTTGCCTTAGTCCCTGATCTCATTTTGGCCGGCATCCTTTGTTTCATGTGCGATTTAGGTATGTGCTGCCTCCTTTTCTGTCATCTTTGACGGCCGATATCTTCGCCCTAGTGATGCATGGAGCGCCCAGGCTGGACGAGGGGGTGGGGGAGACCTTGCGAGAGTGCTGATAACGCAGAACCGTCGAGAAAGACATGGCGGTAAGGAGCTGAAGGCCGTGCTCTGCATCGCCGGGGGTCTGGAATGTCGGCGCCAAGGGGCTCTGTGGACCCTCTTCGACAAAAATTCGACGAATCATAGGATGGCAAAACGCGCTCCTGCTGATTGGCGTGGCCTGATTGGGGCTTTTGTTACCATGGGTAGGGATTCCAGCAAAATCTGCGGAATTTGGGTGGATTCGTAACATTTGTCTGCGATCTTCTGTCGGGATGTGCGCTGAAAATTTCCTGATGGTCGCTGCCGGCGCAGCGGGGCAGATTGTTCGCCTCCTTTTCTTCGTCATCGTTACTGGCGTCCGTCTCAATCGTTTCTCCACCCAAAATTAATGGCGTCGGAGGGCTGGAACATTGCTTGAAATTAAACCTTCAACTCGACCTTCACGCACCTTTCACCTTTCAAGACCTCGGAATTTTCTCTTCACTCATACGAAACCCTGGACGAACTTACCCTGGATTGTATCCCTCTCGTCAACGAGGCACCGGAGCTTGCATCATAACTCTGGGGCACTGGGGTAAATAGCCCCGCAACCTCGTGTCGACCTAACCTCCTTCCAACTAGCAAGTACCTGAGTCTGGCGACCTAATATTCTCGCCTATACGTCTTCGCCGCCCATCAATCGCACCAGACGCGTCTGTTTCTTTTGAAATACTCTTGAACTCGTATCATCAACGCCATACCAGGTGTCGACCTCAGGTGGTGATGTCCAGGACACCCTTTTCCGCATTCGTTTGCTCGTGGGCGGCTCTGCTGGAGAAAGAGACAAAGAAAAAGTCGCTTATGGCCCCACTTTCCCTATTTCCGTGGGTGTCGCGTCTATTCTAAGCACCTGTGTGGGCAAGCCGTCCGAAGAAAACATCACATGCTGCACCCAGATGGACAGGACGTACCCACCACCGAATGTTCGTTCCCCCGTTCCACCTCTTACTCGATGTCGGATCATTCCGTAGGCTCTCGATTCGAAAACGAGGGAAATGCCTTACAATTGTAGGACACACAAGGGCCTTTCCGTCGCGAACTGCCTCGGGGACGAGCCCTCGGACGTGTCGTTCGTTCCGAACCGCATTGTCGCAATATTCTCCTCATATCACAAGATCGTTTCGGCAATACACAGCACGTCCCGTGTCAATAGCGTTGGAAGGCCGTGGAGTTTCGAGTCCGCTGGGCGATGCTTCCTGATTAACCGCCTCCCAAAGTCGACACGACCTGTCGACTTCCGAGTTCCCGGTGACTATTTGATGCCGGACGACAGGATTTTCCTCCCACCTCTAGTGTATTCCCATGTTCATGTCCTCGTCCTTCTTCACGACGTCGTGTTTCGAAATGCTCCACAGTCATAATGTCTCTCGACGTCGAAGAACGAGACTGCAAAAATTTGCTTTCTAATTCCTTCTTCCATGCCAGCGAATCACATAGACACTGGCCTCGACGTTATCTGATAACTCATATGATTTCGAACGGCAGTCCTATTCCTTCCTTCGGACCGTGCAAGCGTTCATCCTTCAGCCACCAGGACCCCCACTCGGTTTCCCCAGATCTCGAGGGAACTCGCCGACCATCTTATTACTGCCTTTGCCCGTTCGTCCGTCTGTCATCGGAGATTGCCATGGATTATGCACTGGTTCCCTTGTGGCCCCATATCTTGCTACGATGGTACTGGGAGCGCGCGATAAACAGAATCCGAAGGGGGGAGCAGTACGCGAATACCGGGAACGTGGCCCGTTCACGAAGACCGCTCCTCATCCAAGTTATCTCTTCTCATGCGCGCGCCACAAGCCTAAAATGGTCTTCCTATTCGGGATATCACACCTCTCACAGTCTAGTACGACTGACACGCCTACTGCGCGGCCTAGAACCTATCTTATCGCTGTGTTGCCTGGTACGTCGCTGAAACCTGTGCGCCACTGGCCGGTGCGGCGCGGGCCGTGCAACCGGCAACCCGTTGTCCGTCCCTGTGTCTAGTTCCTTCTCGAGCCATCACCTGCAGAAAATCAAGTCCATCGCCCAAGAAGGGATTGAAATAATCACCCCGATTTTTATGGACTTCCGTCCGTATTGGATACTCTCTTCCACTGGCTCTTGAAAAGCTTCGTGGGCTATCCATCGGACCGAAAATACTTTGGAACGGTTGCTCGAAACGCATTCGCCGCTCGCTTTTCCGGCAAAATCTCATCTCGGGACATTTGCCTGAGGGTACACCCTACTTTTCTCCCTGCTTGTTCCATGTCTCGGGTCAACCAGGTAGATATCTTTGTCCGGAGCCGTCGAGATAGAACCCTAGGGCTCTTCAATGGCGCAATGTTGGTCTGTTGGATATACTACGGGGTGCGACCTATTATTGCAAGCGCCAATCCACTTAGCCTACTTCTTTCCACGTTATCGGGCCGGATGTTCGTCAACAACGCTGAAGGCGCATCCGAAAGGGATCTGGGGTGTCTAGCATTCCACAGGCACTCTAACTGTATCGTGAAATAAGTTCCTTGAATCTAATTCAATAATGCATACGGGGCTCGCTTCATGGTAAGCATCACAAATTTCCTTTGGAGAGAAAGGCGTTCTGATGATTGTTTTCTGAGGACAACAAACAGACCGTCCGGCAAATCCCAGAGCCACTTCTGTTTCGTGTGCTCAGATGCTCCGAAACCGGTTCGTTTTCGCAGTCGGGATCACCTGCTCCTCGACTGCGCGGACGCTAGAAAGCTCAACCCCGACCTCTCTCTTCCAGCCGATTTTTCCCTTGACAATCCATTCTCTTGCCCACGAAGTCCCAATATAAGTTCGACCACACGGCAGCGCGAACGTAGAATAACCTGCGCCAGACCGCAGAATTGCGGGAGCTATCTTTACTTTCCCCATTCTCATGTCTTAGAGCCTTTTCTTCCGTTCTTGGCCAGATCGGAATAACACAATCTCTCCAGGTCGCACGCATCCACTCTTCCGTTCTCAGAGGACGACATAGATCTGGTTCGTGGAGTAGGCAGCCACAAGCCCCACGAACAGCCTTTCTGTGCGTGTCATAGGATCTTTGGGCCGTGCCAAAAGCATCTCGGGCGTATTCCCTCTTTCTCAGGACAACGTAATGCGTCCCCGTTCGAATCTCTGTTGTTTCTGCTGTATCCTACGGGTCTCCTCTGCTTCTGTGTCAAATAAGAGTCAGGGAAGGACGCGGGCGGCGCATTTGTTTGGTAGGATATGGTTTTAAGGACTCATCTGCCACTCGGTCGTGTTTTGGGTGCAGCTCGAAGGAGGGTGCGCACGCAGGAAAGGTGGCTCGCGGGATGGGCCCAAGTGGCACACCTCGGAAGTTCGTGCCGGAGTTCCCGTTCTGGATTTGATGTGCTTCGAAATGAACGGACTTGATGAACTTGATGAACGCGAGTCGTAATCAACGCCTTCGCTACGTAGTTGAGCTCGACGGTGTATAGCTCGGAGGGATGAACTCCTTTGCCTTGGCCCGCTTTAATTTCCGAAGTTCGAGAATCTTCGCGTGGATGGTTGTCGAGGCGGTCTTCGAGATTAAACGTGTAAGACGCTGAGAAATTCATTGCAGAGTCGTCGCAGTAGGCCACCGTGTACAGGACCGAGGACCGTCGCGTTGGATGGGAAGCACAAGCTCGGCTGCCTTGTATTCTTTCCCATAAAATTTCTTCCGGTCGATCATCAGCAGTTTTACTAAGGTCTAGGTTGTCACAGCGAGCAATTGAGAAGTGCGCAGCTAGTGAGTGAGGGCATCCACACGATAAATCTTCACAGGATATGCCACCGCACCATGAGAGATTGTAGGTAAGATTTACAGGGGGCGTTCGCCTGAGTATGAGAATTTTTGTTTTTAACCAGTGAGAGACCTCTCGGGATGTAGGCGCACGGATGATTTCGGGAACCCTTTCGACTCATATAGACATATAGAAGTATTCTTCTTGAACCTGAGGCAAGTATTCCCTTCGCAGAAGGTGCAATGAACGGAACAAAATTTAAATATCGTCCCCTCCATTAATGTTCTCCTCTGCCACGGATCCCTGCCCCGAACCTTCTATGAGAAGAAGGACGGGGACTTCCAAAATTACTATATAGCTAGCGGTCAAGTGTACAAGGGTCAGACGTCGAAGAATGGTACGCACACCTGGGTCAGACTTCGAGCCAGGGATGTCCTCGAAGGCCGCCAAGTAGGTGCAAGCCTGGTTGTACCTCAGCCTAGTTTATTTCCGCCTTCAAGGCAGCCCTTTCTCATCTTAATAGACTTCCTCACCGCGCTGAAATCAGGCGATGTCACCCAGGCGAAGTCCAGAACCAGGACTTCCAAGCTTCCCAAGGGTCATAACCGTTTCGCACCGGCTTGCATGAAGTCTCCTGTGAGCTGAGAACTCGCTCTTCGTCCAAAAACGGGGACTTCAATGATAAATTTCCCACATCCAGGTAATCTCCTCCGCCGATACGTTCCTACGCCCACCGTGGTCCATGGACGATGAGCAGGATCCACCACGCTCTAACTTGCCGCTTCTTTCTTGGCGTATCCACGCACGTCCTGCCACAAAAATTCACCTGACCACCGTGGGTCGTGCTCTGGCGCAACGTGATGTTTCTCAGCCATTAAAATCTCTATTTAGCTCAGTCTAACAAGCTTCAAATTTCATCATAGCCAGTTGGCAGTCTAAAAATAACTCGGCGTACCGGTCCAGCCTCTTATGGACCCTCACGACGAAAATTCATGTAGAGGCGGCCCTGACTTGGGGGGATTTGAATGGTCTAGAAATCACGAACAGGAAGACCGCCTTATTTCCATGACGGGACATTGTAGGCGCCCAGGATGGGGGCGCGTAGCACCGCATTGTCGGGTATTCCAAATACGCGAATTGATAAATGGGGTAAATACCCATAAATGCTCATGGCGTTTAACCTCGGAAGTTCGTTCCGGAGATGCCTCCGTACTAATTTCTTAGCGGTATTCTCAAACCAATACGCCTGAATATCCAGCATAACATCACGCGAAAACCGGAAAAATGCGAACACCTCATGGAATACCTGCGAGTCCTCGTTTTCTCGTTTCCATCTATCCCGGATGATAGGTCATTCGTATGGTGTTCGCAAGATATCCGATTGGCAGATGCGTGTTTTCGGAACGGTCTCCGTTTTTCCCACTTAACAGACATGTATCAATTACACCTTTAAGGCCATGAGTGACTTCAGCAGAACGTAAATATTGTGATGAAGGTCACAGAGCAGAATTTATATAGAAAACTCCGTAGCCAGGACCTAAAGTTAATTCCACGGCATCATGCTAGAATGCTATGATACGTTGTCACGCTCATCCATCCGATGCGAAGTGGGTCCTGGTAAGTAGCGAGCTAGGGTCACCGACATCATTCCATCTGACCCACTTCGCAAGCTCTAACCACGCAAAAGGGGTTAGATGGGTCATTATGTATTCATCCATATGCCCACAGGCGGTCCCATTCTCCAGGGTTTCAAACCGGCCCATCACCAGGGAAGGGGAGCTATGTACCAGACCACTACAGCACAGGATCGGAAAATTTGGCGAAGTAAACACGCCATGCCTAGAGGGAAGAAAAGGGTATTCGAGATGCCTCACCTGCAGGCTGCGTCCCCCACTTGGCCGAGTAAATTCCAAGCAAGTGGACCAGGAAGTTCGGAACGACCTTCCGAGAGGCTGGGGTTATCTTATCAGTCTTACTACCCCATTCAGGCTTTGCAAATACGGGTCTTCAGGAATCGACGCCTCATGATAACTTTATGCCGCCCCGCGATCGCGAAGCGAACTTGCGCTGCGATGCCGGAACCCTAACTACTTCCATACTGCTGACAGTTTGGCCATTGGCTTCTCGTTTCTGGGAATTTTTCACACTCAACAGTGAGATCGGAAGGGTACAATGTCCGCCCGAAGCGTGTGCTAAGGCCAGTGTGGCGTTCGACGTCGATGAAGAGAGCGAGGGCTGGTGATCATGGTAGGTAAGAAGGTATATAATTATGATCTAATTCAGGATGTATGGATCACTAAAGGAGGTCAAGCAGGAAGTCTAGGGTCCATTGTATCGAGGCGCGACGCTCAGGAAGTGAGATGAAACGGCCCTCGAGTTCTGGAACGGTGTACTGAGTGAACTTGGTGATCACCGTGTCCTTAATTAATGGCATCCGTCGCGGACCGTCGCAGCCCAGTTCATGTGCAGATCGCATTGTCAATAGGCCATTCCTCATCTGTGCGCTGACTATTCAATTCGTTCTTTACTGAGCTGGATCCTCTCACCCCAGCTTCTCCAACGTCCGACCCAGGGCGGAGATGAATGAGCAGGGTCCTTCCATAGTCATTCACCTCTGTTTTTGGCAAGCTAAGTACGTACTGAGTTGACTCTCGGAGTTGGGCTGGATACCTCAGCCTCGACCCATGATCATGAGCAGGAAAGCCAGCGGCAGGTCTCTCAATCAAATGAGCTATCTGATAACTTGGACGGGGTCCGTGCTGTCCATTTCACTTCTGGCTTCCGTCATGAGGCTCACGGATCGCATGCCTGAGTTCAGGTAGCTAGGCGTCCTCGACAACACCTCCCCTTGTCGCCATAGCACTACTGGATTCATTGACTAAGGGTGACACCGTAGACGTCTAAGGACCAGCTAAATGGTGCTTAGTTGTTCAAAATCTGAACGGACGGAAGATCGTCCCGGGCTCCGAGTCAGATGACTTCCCAGCATGCACCCCCAAAAGGAAGGTAGAGTTCGATTCTGACGACCTGAGCCGCCCACACTCTGCACACCGAGTCGCTCCTGATGGAATATGAGCTTGAAATAGCCGTGAACTTGGACTGAAATACATCTCTTGGCGAACCAACAGAACAGTAACGCCCGCGGATTTAAACCCCTGGAGGTCTCGTGTAGAATTAGATTCCGTCAACTACGTACCGGGATGGCACCCACCGAGTCCAAATGGGAATTTCCTGGTTCAAGTTTTTGATATATACAACGCCACGGACTGTCCAAAAAACCCACCCAACTTCCGAGATACGACGCAGTTCGCTTGCAAGCGGGCGGCGGCCGAGACGCTAACCACTGGAAATGGCTTTCTGGACAGCGCTAGCAGTAAACCATTTTCTTATCCAACGGTCGGCCGCAGCTATTTGCGACAGAGATTGATAAATGCACTGTTCCACTCTCGCCCACAACGGGCGATTAAATGCTAAATGTGACAACCCGACAGCGCTCCCGCCCGCCCCGCATTGCTCCCGGCGACGGCGCTTACTTGACGGCCACGAGGGAATCAGCGCAGACGTCATTGTTTTCTCGACGTTCGTGACAGTGGTGGCGCTCGGAAGCGGCGCCCGAGCGGCGAGGGGTGTTTACTATGAATTGCGGACTGATTGACACTGGCAGACGGGCTGTTCATTCAACGTCGACTTGTCGGTGGCGTCGGCCTCCGTGCGGCCTAGACGGGCCTAGGTCGTGCGGAAGCGCGAAGGGTTTGAATACGAGGTCCTGAATGGTGAAGGAGAGAGAATTCAAACATGTCCAGCATATTAATCTTATGCAACTGCTTTCCGTCATTTCCCAGCTTCCTCCGCAGGCTAGGGACCTGGCGGGCGGGATACGTACGAAATCGCAGAATAATTGTGATATGTCAGGGTTTTGACTTGATTAACCCAATGCGGACGACGATTAGCGGTAGGGTACTGCAACCATTCCGAGACTGCACACACCACGCACGGACCCATTAGACTGAGATCGGTGTGGCGCACTTGACATACTTGTCCTACCTCCGTGACCCACCTTGTCACGACTGCTCGATTCTCAGCAATCACTAGTTAAGTCCATCTCCCAACGCGAACCAAGAAAAAAGAATAGTGATGTACATGTACACATTTACAGTCAAGTTGATAATGCATTTCTTTGTAGTCGTGCCGTCCAAAGAGCCCTTCACCTTCCCATGGACCGACCGAACCCTCAGTCCCCCGGACCACTTCTTTCTCCCCCCGTTCCTTTCCGGAATTCAGTCCACCAAACCTCTCCGTCCTTTTCCCTTCTCGTCACGTAACCCGAACGAGCATCACACGATACCGCACGAGAATGCCACCACGCCCAAGACGGGCACGACACGGCCGTCGACGGCCATTCAAACTCATCCAATCCCAACGCTAATCCCTATCCCCCCTCGATGTCACAGCGAAACGCTCCGCGCATCCATTCACTACGTCCATCCACCCCTCCTATTCATTCTACGCATTCACTACCGCCGCCCCGCGGCCGCCTTCCCTCCCCTTCGATCCGCACGCCTTCCCTGTGTTCCCGCACCGCCGATCCAATTAGCGGCCCATCCAGCCCTGGAGGTGCATAATGAATAAATGAATGTCGTTAGGGTCTGTGAGGTAAAGTGACGAGAGCAAGGGAAGGCGGGAGAGAACGGATAGTATAACATAAGATAACATAAGATAATGAAAGTGACCAACGTTGGACGGGTCGGCAAGAAGGTCAGAACAAGGGCAACAAAATACAAGGGAAAAAAAGGAAAAGGTTCCAAAATAGAACAAAGATGGTTGGTTGGTCGGTTATGAGTGATCATGATTTCCTAACGGTGTTCGTTGATGTCATGATGCGGCCGGAACCAACAGGCCAGAACAGAAGGGCGGAGCGGAAACAGACGCAGAAGGACAGACGGAAAGGGAAAGGTGAACAAAAAGAGAAAGGCGCAGATCAGAAAGGCCCTGCATCCACCCTGGTCAGGGTACGCGAAGGGCAGGGTCGCCCACCACCTTCTCGGGCCCGCCCCCACATCCACGTCCACGGTCTACATCCACACCCAAGCTTCCTCCATCTCGGACTCGGGCAGAAGGGCGCCTACCCACCCACTACCCACCCACTACCCACCCCACCCGAGAGGTCACATTAACGATCCCTGCACAACGCTTCGCAATCAGGTGAGATTGCGCAGTTGCTTGGATGAGTTGTGCGTGAGCACATCACTTATCACCTCCCTTGCTGGATAAGGATTGGGGAAGACGACCTTCTCCTTGCGCTTCCTCCAAGCGAAGGTTCCAGAAAGGGCATGAGCGAGCCAGGAAGACGAGTGTGGGGTAGGTAACGCCTGCTGCCCGCGGCTAGCGTTGTCGTAATGCCCGAGTAAGTGGCGGGGTGGAAGGGTGTTTAGCGAGCACCCGAGCACCCCGATAAGGAGGATGACGTTCTGGTAGAATCGGCGGAGATGGGGTAGAGAAAGAAAGAAAGAAGGAATTCGAAAGAATTCGAAAGATGATAGACACACCACCAGAACTACCCAAATGGATGCTCGATTGCCCCGCAGGCACAGAAACACAGGGAAAGAAAGAAGAGAACGGGACTCGATGGTGTTACAGACGATCGAACCATAGAGAGCAGAACGAAAGCGGATAATGGACCAACAACCCCAAAGCGGAAGCGTGCGGCGGAGAGCACGCGCTCGGGTCCAGTCCAGTCGTTCTGTCCATCACTTGCACTGCCATCGCTCATCCCCATCGCTGGTGGTTCATTAAAAACACTGCCATTGCTCATCTCGCTCTATCTCCATCGACGCCAGCTCCGAGAGGAGGCTCTTCCATTCCAGTGGCAGTGGTGGCAGTGGCAGGATCGAGACCGAGACCGGTGTAAGTGCCAACTCAATCAAGAGTCAAGACCGTGCAGCGGGCCCGTGTATAATGAAAACCAAAATTAAGTGTAGCACGCGGAAAACCCCACCCGGATGGAAATACAAAGAAAAAGAAAAAGAAAGAAAGAAGAAAAAGCAGAAAATAAGAACGTCGAAGAAATCACGTACCCCATCGACGACCAACACCTCACCACACACGTACTGGCTCGCCTTGCTCGCCAAGAAAACAACGGGGCCGGCAAAGTCCTCCGGGCGACCCCATCGCCCCGCGGGGATGCGCTCGGAGATCTGCCGGAGGCGGATGGGGTCTTTGAGGAGTTTCTCGTTCCTGGAAAACGGGGGTTGTAAAATGGAGGTTTGAGCCTTGGAAAGGGGGGGATTGGGTGGAAGGGGACAGGAGATGGAGAGGGGAAGGGGGAAAGGAAAAGGACGTACATGTCCGTCTCGATGTACCCCGGCGCGATCGCGTTCACGCCCACCCCGTGCGCGCTCCATTCGTTCGCGAGCGCCTTGGTGAGCTGCCCGACGCCACCCTTGGCTGCTGCGTACGCGGGCACGGTGAGGCCGCCCTACATACCAATGGGTTCAAAGCCGATGAGGGAACATCCGATGGGAGAAGAAGGTGAAGGTTGACGTACCTGGAAAGTCAACAACGAAGCGACGTTGATAATCCGCCCGCGCCGGAGGGGCACCATGTGTCGCCCTGCGGCTTGGCAGAGGAGGAAGACGGACTTGAGGTTCGTCGTGAGGACCTAGGGTTTGGGAGGGGTTTGCGTTAGCATAGCTTCGGGTTTGGGTGGACAGGTGAGAGTAAGAAAGAAAGAGAACGGGAAGAACAGCGCCCGTGGAGAAAGTGTGTAAAGGATAGGATGGAAGAGGAAGGAGGGGGACGATCGACCAGAAGACGTCGACAAGAAGTCTAAGGCGAAGGCTCGATGCGACGAGGGAGGGAAAGATCGAACAAGGAAGATTTTTTAAGGTAGTTTGCGA